ACAATACTTACTGACGGTTTTGAGAGATATAATTAAGAGTTGTCTGAGACGAGCCTAAAGAAATTGTGAAGCTGAAAATTATAAATTGTTGGTTTTTTTCTTTTTCTTTTTCGAGTGAGATTGTGGGAGTTTATGACAGGTTCAGAGTCGAACAATTCACAGATTTTTACTCCAAGAGAACTGACCGTTCTTTTTCTCAAGTTGGTTCATCTCTAGTTCAAGAGCAGTTCGACTATTGAAGTTTTTTCACAAAACTATTAGTGCACTTGTTTTTGTTGTTTTTCTTTTCTGATTCTTTTCAAAAACTATCAACAAAGTTTTTAGTTGAACTTTGAATTTATTTTTTGAAGTTTAAAAGAAACTGTCAGAATTTTTTCTGAAGAGGTTCGAGAGCAGGTTTCAGTGAAATCAATTAATTACAGAGCTCCGCTGACGGTTTTCATTGACAGACATTTGTGACTGTGGTTTTCTCAGTTCATGAGACAACTTATCTGATATCTGCCGGATTCCAGTTTTCTGAGACTAGCTGACAGAATTTATGACGCTGAAAGCTTCTATCCGAGTTGTTGAAAAAGCACAGGACAGTGACTGGGTGAGCTGAGGTATTTCATCCGGATGCACGCTAAGTGGCTGCACGAGCCTGAAAGTGAGCTCAGGTCCACAAGAAGTGTCAGCAGTACCTCGGCATGATCACTTAAAGATGTCGATGTCAATATCGCCAAACTGCAGACAAGCAGAGACAATGAGCGCTTTGAACATTGCCGTCACCCACACGCGGCCGCATCTCGCTTATATCTTCCGACGTGGAAATCTGCACCGTGGTCCGAGGCTTCTGAATTTAACGGAATTATGTAGGTTGCAGTAGTTTGGATCACTAAACAGGCGAGAATTATATCATCGCACTGATGCAAGGTTCAAGCTGCTTTGAGACAATATTCAAAAGTGGAGATTTGGTTTTGCATATCAAGAACTCATAATTTTTGAATCATATCCCATGGGAGGAGCAAATTTGGTGAAAGAAGAGAATGGTGCCACGGACCAGGCTTGTGCTAGCCTGGGGGAGTCGGTAATAGAGAATCCTTTTCTAATAGATTTGAAAGGGCTCGGGAGCATGGAGCGAACAAAAAATTAGCAATGAGATCAATGAAACTTGCAAGAAGTGGGGCATTTTTCAGATAATCAATCACAGATTCGATTCATCGTTGATGTGGAAGGCGATAGAGCTTTACAAGAAACTTTTAGCTCTGATATCAGAAACAATTGGGCTTGATGCATTGAGGCAAGCAAGTGAAGGATCTGCCGGACCTGTTCGAACAGCAGCACGAATGAAGTACTATCAATCTTGAAGCAACGAGAACAAGCCAGAAAAGGAAACTGTTCTGGCCTCTCACACTGATATAGGAATCAGAGGTGCTCGCGGCTACTCCACCTTCGCTTTGTGTCGCGGCAGGTGAGACGAAGGTGATTCTTTCAGGACCGACAACGGCCGGAGATAACCTGGCCTAACGGTGAGCCACCCACTATCCGAGCGGCAGGGCTTCCTTTGTTTTTTCCCTGAATGGCGCGTGCGGAAGGGTGATGCCGCGTTGCGGGTCTACCGAACCCCCTCTTTTTTTTTTAACCGCGATAAGTAAGCAAGCGTGGTGAGTGGAGAACCACGATAGTTGGTAAGAGCCGTGCTCTGAAAGACGAATCACGTCGGCCGGGCAAACTATGGTCGGTGGAGTAATCGAAGTTGGGGAGAAGAAACCAAGTGTGGTTTACCAGCTGTGGATTAGGATTACCAACTGTGGTTGGCAATAACCGTGGTAGGGTTGACACACCACGGTAGAAAGATCAACCATGTTCGGATGATCAACTGTGGTTGGTGGTAACTGCGGTATGATTGATGTGCCATAGTAGACAGATCAACCACATTCGGATGATCAACTGTGGTTGGCGGTAACCATGGTAGGATTTACACACCACGGTAGACATGTTAATCACGTTATGCTGGTAACTATGATGGCAAGAAGAACGTAGTAAGTCGCGGGCGACAGTGAGTCACGGGCGCAGTAAGGCGTGGACGCAGTAAGTCACCGTCGACTGTGAGTCGCGGATGCAGTAAGGCGAGGACGCAGTAAGTCACGGGCGACTGTGAGTCGCAAGCGCAGTAAGGCGTGAACGCGGTAAGTCACGGTCGACTGTGAGTCGCGTGTGCAGTAAGGCGTGGGCGCGGTAAGTCACGGGCGACTATGAGTCGCGGGTGCAGTAAGGCGTGGACGCAGTAAGTCACGGATGACTGTGAGTCGCAAGCGCAGTAAGGCGTGAACGCGGTAAAGCGTGGACGCAGTAAGTCACGGTCGACTGTGAGTCGCGGGTGCAGTAAGGCGTGGGCACAGTAAGTCACGGACGACTATGAGTCACGGGTGCAGTAAGACGTGGACGCAGTAAGTCACGGACGACTGTAAGTAGCAAGCGCAGTAAGGCGTGAACGCGGTAAAGCGTGGACGTAGTAAGTCACAATCGACTGTGAGTCGCGGGTGCAGTAAGGCGTGGACGCCGTAAGTCGTGGGCGATGGTAATAGTTAATCGCGGATGCCGTAAGTCGGAGTGACGGTGAGTGGTGAGCATCAAAAGAATTCTTGTCAAAAAGATTATCTTTCAATGTGTCTAGCTCATTGAAAGAGGGGAAGAGTAATCTTGTCATTTTAATGTGCATATCTCGTTGAAATAGTGGAAGAGTGTACATGATTTTCATATTGACAAGTAAAAATCTGAGAGTTTAAAAGTGCACTAATTACTTAACCTAAGTTAAGTAGAACATTTCTTAGCTTGAGATGAAATGTTAAGAGGTTAAGAGTGCAATGGTGACTGAGATTTCTTAACACACGTTAAGGGGGAGATTGTTAGTTATCTATGTATATTATTACTCTATCATGTTATGGTTACGGCTTAGTTCTAGTTAACTCTCGTTTAAAGAGTGACCTTGTGGTAGGTTTCCGCCTAGAACTTCTTGCAGAGTAATAATATAAGTTAGAAAGGTTACTGAGTTTACTTTAACATGAGTTAAGGGGTAGATTGTTGAGGTTAACCCCTGTTTAGAAGTAACCTCAGGTCTTAACTATATTTAGCTAGAACGGTCTTCTACACAAGAGTTAAATACCCGGCTTCTGTTGTACATGAGGTCAATCTTGTGAGTAATAATGCAGCGTGTTCTCGGTGGACGTAGCCCTGGTCCCAAGGCTGAACCACGTTATTTCTGGCTCGGAATGTTGGCTGATGATTTCTCGTGTTTCGTCAAGATAATTCTTGTGATTTTAGTTTTACAATTGAATGTTGATTAATATGCATGCGAAACGTTAATCATTGAGATCATGGTCATCACCATATTCACCTTTACCAAGAATTTTTGGTGCAGTTTGGCCGGCAATAATCCAACACATTAAGACATGTGTATAACTATCATGGTAGTCAAAAGATATACATAACATTCATCATAGTAGAATTAAAGATAATATCCAAAATGCTCCCATAGGATGTTCCAATAAATCACCTAGTACCATTCAGATTAAGATTTGAATTTGTCATACGCGAACATGTAAACATGAACGTCATCTTCTGATGGGTGTTTCAATCTATCTTGTTTGTACTTTGAGCTTTCCGTTTTCATTAAACATATATTATTAATTTGCTTTTTGCATCATATGTTTTGAAATCTGCCATTCTTCTCATTGATTGTAAGACCATGTATCAATTTGCTCAACATTTTTACTTTTCATCAAAACGTCCCGCTTTAGATCGGATTTGCTGTAAAGTGACGAAAACTAGCCTCAACCTGCTCCAGTATGCTACATTTTTTAACGGACTCATGTACTTTATGTTGACTGTAGACAAGCTTGGAGCGCACGATGTTGAGTTGCACGACCTTTGCGTGTTAGCCAACAAGGAATTTACCCAACTTTGGCTTTTTGCACGCATTAGCTTATCGTTATAAGGCCATTTGGCGTCACAGATAAAGAATGCAATGGATCGTGATGCTTTGTTTGAAGACCTGAATTCCTCAGACAGAGATGATCTCCCTCTTGGTGCTTTCACTTTTCAGTTGGTTTTACTTGATTCCTATGAACTCCTTATTTTCAATGGAGGGGAATCTAAACTCTCTCATGATAAAATCTTTAACTCCTATACTGTTACTTTCATTTGTCACACCCGTGGATGTAATACTAAGTCTTTGAAACAGCAAAACCGTCTATTGTTATCATCGCAATGCAATGATAAGCTAATGTGTGCGAAAAGGTAAGATTACATCGTCCCGCTTTTTGCCTAAAACAAGTAGAGGATTGAAAGTCCCCTTTTCAATTCCTGTGTCCTAGGTGCTTTTAGACATCATTAATATTATTCCAAATCCTCAACTGTTCACTTCTGCAAGTAATTCTCCCTTCCTCTTGGTACTCTTGCTGGGTTTCCTCGTATCAACTAGAGTAAGCCTCCCCTCCTTTCCTTCTTCAACGATGCCCGCATCCTTGCACTGCAACCGGGAGAGCACTTGCCGTTGTATTGACGTTCATGGCTTCTCATCGCGTTTACTTTATGCGTCACCCTTTCCTCCTCCTTCGACACTGGACCCGAGAGGCCACACGCTGTACAGTATGAGAAGACTGGATTTATATGGATAAGATAACCATCCTTCGAAAGAGGTTCGAGGGGCGAGCTTTAGAACTACTTTAAGCATGAACATAGACACTTGGTTTCATAGTACAATGTCAAATGGCGTAGATGAAGATGGGCAGGATAACATGTACGTCGTGTTGAAAGCTTAACAAGTAATGATATGCATTTACTCTGCTAGTACCGAGATGGTGACAGTTTTGCAACCACGTATCACTTCATACAATCTAGTCCTCGACAATGGTCAAGTACCTGGTCTAAAAGTTGATGCATCGTTTACACTGATTAACTTCATTTCTGGGGCTTCTGCTTGAAGACGTAATTGATGTAAGTCCAGACGACAGTTCAAAGCAGGAATAGCGTAACATTAGTTGGGGACCTCGGGCCTTCAATGGATTTCAACTTAGTGGCTGATACATATTGAGCCGTTGCAATTACAATATCGCTTCATGTATACGAAGAGATTCGTGGACCCCTTCAGTTATCAGTATGACTTCGTTGACATCCTCTACTCGACCTGTCCCAACTTTCTGCATTCTATGATGTGGCGGTTCCTATAAAGAATTAGATAAGGGAATTGTGATCATCACTCCATTTGTGACAACGTGGGAAAAGAATATGGTGATAACAATGAGCATCATAGAGATGGTGAAATTAAACTGACCCACCTCTCTGTCTCATAAACCCGTCTGACCCTAGATTCACCTATGCTTGGGCGTTCTTACCACCGAGTCTGCTGACAGCGGCACAAAGTCGACAAGGTAGAGTATCAAGACTTACTGCTCGAGTGTGATAATATTGACCTGAAACTCCACAACGCCTCCAGGCATGGTACTCGGCGTACAGCACAGGGTTGACTGCCAACATTTTGACATATATTGCGAGCTCTTCCATGGATGAGTAATTACTGCCCAGAATAATGGACTTAGGGGGCACTAAGTCGAGAACATTAGGGGCTCCAAAGTATATAGGAACCGCACCTGAATCTAGAGCATAGAAAAGTTTTTCTGTAACATAACTTTCTGTAAGCGTGTTCTCGATGGCCAGGACGAACTTGTAATGTGACATGGCGCAGTGAAGGCTCTGGAACCAGCTAGATCCACCTCCATTTTCTAAGCATCTTGGGTACATCTCCAGAAGTGAATCTCGCCCACCGACATTGTTGAGGCATTTTCCAAAGGAGTGATACGGCACAAGAGGCAGAAACCTTCGGGCTATATCCTGTCTATCCTTCAAGCATCGGGATGAAGACCAATAGACCAGAACATCCTGCGGATTCCAAAGAATTCGTCAACAAAAGCCTCAGCTAAGACACAGACAGCTGGCAGCATATACACGGACATATCTATAACCTACAGCAGCGAAGACAACGCTATCGGTATTGAATGATATGAAGTACAAAAGCTACTATCAACAGCTGTGATGATTTCACGTACTCCAATCAACTTTGCAATATATGACATAACGTGCTTTATGGATGTAACAACAGCATTGTACCGGCTACCTGACTTTTCACAGACATGTCAAGCCTTGTCCTCGGCAGACCGTCTGGATCAAAGCAACGAGTGAAACTTACGGGATTCTTTTGCGTCGAGATGTAATGGTTGCGGTTCATGTGGAAAGCAGTGCCCGCATACGTCGCCTGCAGATTATCTCCGGCATGATAGCTAACAAATAAATCTTGCGAAGCCCGAGTTCTTGCTGGTTCCAAGTCCATATACACACGGAGAGGATCCCCTGTTCTTCTCTGCGATTCATATGTGTTAGACTACAACTCGTAAAGTGGTATCTTCTTCGAGTCTTAGACCTTTTGTGTAGTCTTCAACCGACAATACTAAGCAAAATTTAATCTATCGTCAAGTTCAGGTTCAGAAAAATATTCTCTTGACTACAAACTACAATTTAGAAATCGACGTCAAGAAAAGACGTCGTCAAAGGTAAGTATGAATGCACACAGGTACTAAGCATTTAAGACGCGAGCGAACCTTCTTTCATGAGTTTTAGAATCTATGCGCAAGTGTCCGTATATCGTAAGGTCGGCCAAATTGGGCAACATCTAATTTCTGAACTGGGAATAGACTTTCTTAGAGACTGCGTACGCCAACGAAAATGATACCACATTTGAAGGCTTTACTTCAGAGGACAGATTGCTAGGATGAATGGTAGAATTCCTCAAAGCTACGCAAAGAATTCGTTGATGACTTGATAGGATTCGGACACTGCGCACTTCTTTTCCTAATTTGCAAGAAAAATCAACAACGCAAAATATCAAAACAGTTCACAGAGAATAATACAGACAAAGTCAGTGTAAAGTACCTTCTGCGGTGGTTTGTACATCTCATAAAAGTTCGCGTCTGGATTGTCCGCTAAAACTAACGATTTTGTCCATAAGCAGGTCAGCCCACAGTTACAGGCATAGAGGTTGTCTAAAGCGTCCGGAATCCATGTATACTCTTTAACTAGCACAGATACGTGCAACTGCTTCAATTCAGAGCACTTGACAGAATTCGGATCTTGGAGGTGCACGGAGCGATTGAGCGGGGGCAGGCCTTGCCTGAAGGCTTTGCAACCAACTTGACCGTCCCACTTATGAAAAGCCTCCACGATATTTGTGAATGAAGGTTCAGTTGTGGCAATCGACCTTCTTCCCGATTCGTCCTCGTCCGTCAGACCATTTGAAAATTCCCCTTCCTTCTCAAACCAAACAGCAACAGATCGAGCAGGATTGACAAAACTTTCAGCGTCCAGCTCAATTTCAGGACCCAGCATGAACGAGGCACCGATGAAAAATACCACCAAAAAAATTAGTACGATTGATACGCAAGGCGAGACCATGCGTCTCAAGGAGAACGGACCCATTCTACCCTCAGCCTGTCTGCGTGCGTGCCTGCCTGCTCGTCGTCGCAAACAGCCTCCACTCCGCCGGCGCTCAACAAAACTGAACGCTCCGAGGAGGAAGAGGAGGAGGAAGAGTCCGTCGCTCTAGAGACCACATCTTTCAATCCTGCCTACGCCTGCTCTTGCTCTTGCTCTTGCTCTTGCTCGTCATCGTCATCGTCCTCGTAAGTCCTGAAGCCAACCCCTACAACCAAGAATCGGCGGTGGCCAATCGTCTCCATGCATGCCGCCCGCAGACACAGGGAGAGAGAGAGAGATAGAGAGAGAGACCCCTTCCGGCACTTTCAAGAACTCATGATCGTGTACGCCTCTTCCTCCGTCTATCCTCAATTCTGCGAGTAAACGCCTTCAACGCAATCATCGAAGGCATTCCTCCAGCCTCCGAGAGAAGATGGTCGTACAGCAACGCATACTACACTCGACACGGGTGACGCGAGGAACGCAAAGCACGATGATTGAATTCTGCGAGAAATCATCGTTCACCTCCAGCTTCCGCATGACAAACGATGATTCGGTGGAGGCTTGACATGCAAGGACGATGAGCGGCGAGAGAGAGAGAGAGAGACCGATGACTTCAGAAGCAGCTAATCTCGGCAGGGTCCCATGGCGGGCAGGCGGGCGGGCGGGCAGACGGGCAGACGGCGAAGGCTCCAGGCTCCTCCCCTCCTCCTCCTCCTCCTCCGCTGTTTCCCACCTGATGCTCTGTACTGTACTGTAGTTGTCTGAATCTCTACAAAATCTGGCCTACTGTCAACATGGCTCTCGCATCCGGACCATCTCCCGCTCTCTTGCCCTTTTCGCTTTTCATTCTTCCAGTGACGGGGCCTGAGCCTCAGCTGCAGGGATTTTCTCTACTCCTCCCGCTCTGCTCCGCCATAGATCTGCCCTCCCCGATCTCCCCGATCTCCCTCCCGGCAGGTTTCAGATGCTCCAGGAGTGTCCAATTTCCACTTCCAGGAATCTGCCCTTCTGTTCCTTCCTCTTTGCTTCCTTTCCTCGGTCTGACCCTCTAGGACTGCACTTGAATCATGCGCATCTTGAGGCATATGTTCTTCGCTGTCTCTTATGTCCGGAGAAGACCATTTGCATAGAAGCAATTTTTTTCTACCTTTCTTGCCCAACACGATCTCGAACGACTTCCTGTGGGTCATGCAGCCCGAGATATTATCAACAGAGAGGGAAGCTCTCGCCCTTTTGCTTTGTACCCAAGAACATAGGGTTTCATCGCGCCTTTCATTCCGTTCCATGCGATTGTGTCGACAGGCCGGAAGCAGAAGAATAATTGACGACTTTCATGACGACTTTCATGACTTCCAGCACTAGCGTGGCGCCGTCTAAGTCCAGGACTTCGCAAAATTTGATTAATTATAACGCGAGCTTCTCCATTAACAACAAAAGTACCTTGTGATTTCATTTTAGGAATAGTTCCAATAAATTTTATCTGTTTTTGTTAATTGAGCTGTGGCCAAGGCCTTCTAATATTCCAAAAGCTAGGCTCAGAAGAACTAATAGGCACCATGTTCTGTGGGGTTTTCTCTGGGTTGCTAGATCCAACTTCCGCAGCCCTATTTGACCTCCTCACGTGCACTCGCGTAAACCCAACGCAAACTCTTCGCAGATGTATTTCTCCCCTCGAGGCTAGCGGAATCTCTGCCCCGCTTTTTTCAGCAAAACCCGGTGATAACGCCGACGTGCGAATTCTTTTGATAGTTGACTCAAGTTCCTGGACATGCATTCATTTCGTCCTCCCATTCAGCCAAGGCTAACCCTTTGCAGACGTAAATCCCCGCTTGTGCTGTACCGTAGAGGTCAGTGCAATCTCCCAGCAGGGTAAGCTTTCCTCCCTCTGATGCTCGATTCAGTAAAACCTCGTTACAATGCCGACATGTTATTGGTCTCAACCCGCTATTGATTTCACCTATATCTTGGTTATTTTTCCTTTCGAACTTCATTTGATTTTTTTATCTGTTTCCAATGTCCTATGACAAGCTCTACAGAGGGTGCGAGAATTGGCATGATCGAGTAGTTAAAATACACTTGTTGGTACAGTACTCCACGTCGTACTAATGAGCCTAGACTCGATTCACAAATCTGAATATGACTTACTCGTTGAACTTGTGTACACTTGTAATTCCATGCAAGAGGAACTTGTAATAAAGAGAAGAATCAAGTAACGGTTAGACTCAATATGGATGATAATTGTATTGCTACTTTATAGAGGTGATTGTAAAATCACGTCATGTTTACAAAATTGATTATCAAAATATGATTAAAAATAAAATAACATTTGTAATTTTCTATCAATGTGATACTGCACACTCTGGAATAATGAATAATGAAGAGTATGAAGCAAAGAGATGCATATGTCTTAAATTTCATATAATTGAACACTCTTTTTGAACTTAATCTGATATATATATATATATATATATATATATTCTCATAATGTTTAGATTTTAAAATCTTCTTACATATATAATGAATTTCTGATTATATCCAATCGGTTTATCTCAATCTAGTAACTATATCAATTTCAGCAAGTACATATATGTCAAGAACAACTATCTTTTCAATAAAAATTTTATTTGGTTTTCGGTTTTTGCAGGATTGTTATAGAGGATTGATTCAAATCAATTTGAGATATTTTTCTTTTTATGAATTTTTTTTCCATATATAGGATTTTTTTAGTAATAAATATGAGTATTAAATTGCAACAAATTTATAAATGATAAAACATATTGGTTGAAATCATTTATGAACAATTCTGATTGAATACGTTGGGAAAGAAATTTATGTATCAACATGCATCTACTATTCATAAGTTTCAGTCGTATTTTTTAATTCCTTCAGTGTGAATTAAATTTTCTAATAGTTTTTGAAATTACTTTTTAACATAATATTTTTTGTTAAATACTTGAATATCATCAAACTAATCAGTAATTTATCCTTAAATTAGAAGTGGTCACCATAAAGATTGTTCAATTTTAGTTAACTCTACTGTAAATTGAGTTGTTCAATCATTACTTTACACAGCAATAAATATTGTAACACTAGATATCAAAAATTTAAAATTTAAAATAAAAAAAAGCATTTATGAATTGTGACTATGTAATACAATCCTAAAATAACAAAATATCAGTAATTTTTTTCTTTCAATGCTCAATTTTGACATACCAGCTAAAATAGTTAGATCTATATTAAAAATTCAAATTTATTATATAAATAAATATTATTTTAAAATTTTAAATTCAGATATGATTATCTTATTTTGAAATGCATAAAAAATTAACATAATGTAAAACTATTTGTAAATGTCATCATGAACACTTGTGGATATTAAAAATGTATATACTGAAACAAAAGATATAATACATCTGTATCATTTATTCTGAGCTTATTTTCAAGCATAATAAACTGACATCTTCAATATTTTATTGAAAAAATAATTTCTTAAACATATAATTTAGGAAAGAAAAAATTTATGCTAGCTGGATATAACATCTGCTAGAAAAATAAAATTCCAAGGATTCTACTTATTTATCAGAAACTCGAATTAAAATATTCATGTAAATTATTATTGAATTATAAAAATTTACTTCAAATTTATGTTCGAAAAGGTCATGAGTTGGAACTAAGTACCAGAGTCTATATGTCATTTGCTTAAATTCACTTTCATAATAATATTTTGTTATATAAGTGTTATTAAATTTTTTTGATACATGCAAATAATTGATTTTCAATATTATAATTTAGAAAAAAATATTACAACATATTCCATGATGTGGATTGAAATTTTTAAAATCACATTCCAGTAAAGATATTAATAATCCTCTAATTATTTCTTGTTATGAAATAAAATAAATGTCATTCTAGTGTATCAAATCAAAATTCTGTTAAGTTCTGTATACATATGTTTATAAAAATAAAAAAATGATAAGAAACCAATAATTGAATAGTGTATTTTATATGTGAGTTACATTATAAAAACTTTGTTACTTGGTATGTGTATTTAGTGAATTTGATAATGTGGATGATTGAGATAGTCCAAGTTGTCAATTCTAGTTCTTGAGGATACGAATTCACAGATTTAAAATAAAATAAAATAATTATATGTATTGCACTGCAAGTCATATAGTTGTGAAATTGCAAACAAGTATTTTACAACATCTCTAACATTTAATATACAACTTATAAAGTAAAAATAAAGACCATAGTACAATGTACTAATCAATCTCACATCAATTTTAATTCTGACAAATGAATTAGTCTTTTCATTGAGCGGTATGACTATATGAATTCTCAATACATATAATAAATGTATTCGTCCTGCAGCTTGTATTAATTGCCCTGTACTTTTAGTATATTGAGGGTTTTCTTTATGATCTAAAAAAATGTTGTTAACTCTTTCATATATATAATATTTAATCTTTTGAAAATTCGATCTATATAAATAATTTAGTAAGATAGAAAAAATAAAAACAATGTGTAACAAGATCAACTTTTTCCTAAATTTGTATGAGACAAAGATTTCAGGTGCATTTCAAACCGATTATTGACTTTTTTATTTTTTCAAAATCAAGTTGTATGTCACAAACTATTTGTCGAAGACTTGCATAGCATAAACTCAATTATAACAGACACTTCAAAAGATATTCAGTACCATTAAAATTTTAAATCATATTGTTGAATACGATGTTATAATAATGGTAATTTCTATATTTTTAATTTGAATAAAATTTTAAAATTTTAGTGAAATTTTCCGAAAATTTTACATTATGTAAATTAACAGACTATTTTAGGCCTACGAACTTATATTTTTTCAAGTATTGATCAAAAATTTATTTATGAATATAAAAAATATAAAACTATTCGAATGTAATTTTATTGAGATATGCATGCCAAACGTGTTCATAACGTAATATACTACGTGTTTGTTTCCTATACATAACATGTTTGACTAACAGTATTATATATCTGAGAGGTTATGCAATTTGAAATTATGCACACGAGTAAATCTCTTTCGCACATAGTTTATGTAAGCTTAGATTTATTTAGAGAGAAAACGTTTAAAGCTTTCAGGCTAGATTTGGGGTGATGACAAAAGTTTCATGGCCTGCTGAAAGATTAGGTTGTGAGTCTTCGGGCAGTCAAGTTGAGAAAGTCTTGGCACGTTCTTGTGGCTGACCCATGATCCATCCCATCTTCCTCACGATCTTCTCACTCTCAAATCTCTCGGTGACTTCACCGACTGGATTGCCTTGATGGACTGGAGAAGTACGAGAAAACAGAATTGGGTGTGCTTATTCACTTTCATGATCACCAGTCTCAAGGTATTTTCTCTGTTGGTGCCTATTCAAATCTAGTATATCTCAAAAAACGTACGAGTTATTGATACACGATCAGGGTCCAATTGCATCAATAATTCGTTAGACAAAGTATTATCCGAAGTGCAGAGTAGCTAACATGATCATGACAACGTTCCTTCTTCGCGGTCGATACAACATTGTCAACATTTGAAACATCATTTCACTTGTACTGACGCCTAGCGACAATGACATATCTTCTTAAGAAAACCTTCAAATTATAAATTCCACGTCCTGCGCTTTGTCACACTCCCACTCTTCATACTTTTCCATGCACATCACTAACTCAGAGTTTATGTCCCACCTTCCTCCTCAACGCGGAAGCACGGCTGGCCAAACGGCGTCCCACATTTCTTTCTCAATAGGCCTTGCAACTTTACTGATTCTGCCGGTACTACAGACAGCTCCGCGAATTTAATTCTCATCCTAATAGGTTCTGGTTATGCGAAAGCGTGGACACTTAGTCCCACTCTCCACTTGAGGCCCGTTCGTCTCGTGCCTGCCTCGACCAAGGTCCATCTGAGGACCAGGAATTTTCTGGGGGAGAAATCAGCCTACTTGGTCGAAGAGGAGTTTTCTACAGGTTGTTAAGTTCTCCAATCCTTCATCACATCATCTGTAACTGAAATATCACGAGTGCATGCTACGACTGTCCAGGTGCTAATATAAGCACACATACCGGCTACATAGTAAAGAACTGGTAAAGTATAGTTACTTGCGGAGCAATCTTTTTTCCACCTTAAATCCTAACCTCGAATTCGAAACACAGTCTCATTCTTGCTAGTCTATGACACAGCCTTCTATATACAAAAACTTTACAGGTTCAAGTAACACAAATTCCAACCTCTAAACATCGAAGGCAGAACCTGATTCTTGGTAGTCTAAAACACAATCTCCTACGCAAAAGACACTGAAAGGTCCAAGACAAGCAAACCCATAAAGCCAGGAAACTCCCGCTCCTTGTACGTTACCTAAGGTAAAAATTTCATCCAAAATCAAATAGTCCTCATACTTCACCCCAAAGAACACCCCAGGCACAGTCACAATACTCATCGAACAAACCTCTATATTAGAACTAGAAATCAGGTTTCGACGAAAGGTTCTATCAAGATGTATGCTATGTCTCCCAGGGCTTCCTAAGCTTGTGAGCACGTCCAGTTAACAACTAGTCAGTGGTAAACATTAATAGGTTTGCTCTGAACATTAAGTACAATTCCGTGTCAGCTGCTTGAAGCATCATAAGATCATACAATATACCACCTGATTCTTGCCATGACCGAAATAGATAGAACAACCAGACAAATGTCCTTTTACTGTTAACGGCACAATATTACCTCCCTACAGTGATGGAGAAGGAACAGCCTGATGAGGTAGCGTAAACAGATCTTTCCCTGTAAAAGGAGAAGTCCACTCAGGTACTCCCATACCTGTTGAACTCCCAGATTCGTTTAGTGACTTTTCTTGGAGCCCTATACTGTTACCCCTGTTTGAATTATTCCAAAGATTGTAATTGATATTGTTACTTACCTCCTCTCTGCTTCCTGTCAAGCCTTGTGAAGTTCCTTCACCAGCTAATCCTAGCCTAGGCTTCCCACTGTCCGATAGCTTCAACAAGGAGGCTAAGTTACTGGTAACTCCCCAAACGCTTGTATCTGTTGAGTTAGATGGCGATGCCCCCATACTCCAGTCAATTGTCTTATAATCACACCCACCGGAGACCCACATGCTCCACTCTGCTGATGCGCCTGACAGCCCAGAACCCCAGCCTGACAGAAAACCAGGTGTAGATTGGCTTCTCGAGTGGGATGTGGAAGCTCGAAGACTAGAAGACTGAGCACCGATATCCCGTGAGCCAAAGCTGCCGCTGTTGCTCCAGGCTGAATACACGTCCATTCGATTTGCCTGTGCTGGTTGAACGTGTACAATATCTTCTACTTGTTTGCCATATGTTTCCCCTGATGCTTTGTTTGTCGTGCCCCCCTTCGAAATGACTTCTCCCGGAAGTCCATTGAAGTAAAGAACACTAGACGGAGAGGAGACACTCGGGCCATTTCCATTCCAGCTGGAGGGAGAAAATGAAGGTGAGGCTGAAGAAGATCTGATGTTTGGAGGAGGTGTGATTGGAGACTGGGAAAGTTGAGGCATGACAACAGGGTCCCTGGAAGTCAGGTGGTTACTTTGCTCTTTGTGAAAAGACGGCCCGTGATCTGTTGGATGTACTCTGGTTCCTGACACATGCCTCACAGGGGTAGGGTAGGCGTGAGGTGAAGGCTGAGGAACATGAGATGTCTTCAAAGAGTTGTTAAGATACCGGCCGCTGACGTTTGAGGATAACCTTTGCCATTCACTCCCATTTTGAGGAACAGTTCTCGCTAATGGGAAAGATCCTTCAACTGTTCCTGAGGGTCGAATCGACGACGGATGCCCTTGATTTCGGCTCTGACTTAGGTGGAGCTCTTTATCCTCTCTCCGTTGATTATTTAAGGCCTGGTAGAGACCACTGTTTACTCGTCCTTGACCATTCACCAAGTAAGGAGAAGATTCGGCAGGAGTTGGATAGTTCTGTTCCTTGGTCCTCTCCTGCGACAAATGCCCATAATCAGTAGTTGAGGCGGAAGCAGTCGCAGGTGGCGGTACTGGTGTTGGTACTTGAGGATGACGATCTCGCAGCCATTCCGCAGCCTTCTCTAAATCACCTTCGCATGCGACAACTGCTCTCTCGATTTCAACCCGTTGGTACTTGAATCGGAACTCTAATTCTGCAATACGAGCCTGCTCTTCAGAGATATCTATTTTCAAATGGTCATTCCAATTTTCTTTCACCTCTCCTTCTCCTCCTTCTAAAAGCCACGCAACTGAACGCTCCACGTGACCTTCGTTGAGAATGAGTGCCATAGTAGCCCTTTCGCTTGGGAAACCCATGGCCACAAGCTGCTGAGCAAGGGCCTCCAACCTGCGAGACATGAGATAATTTGTGCATCGATCTCTAAGCTCCTGAGCCCTTCGCTCCTTCTGCCGCTGATGCTTCTTCTCATTCTTGTAACGAATTTTATCTCTCTTATCGGATCCGCTGGCACCAACTAGGCCTGGTGGATGAGTACCTTTTTTGTCTTTCCCGTGTATGTTGTGTGACTGATCTTCCGACTCACCCGAGCAGCTTCCGTTATTAGACATAGAGTCATACTCGGAATAAGATCCAATGATACTCCCAATATCGTCTGAATCATCAATTGATCGAAATCGACCACTCTGATTCACAACCATTGTCTCCGGTATGGACGAGTCTAACCTGTGAAATGTACCCGAGCCTGGATTATAGGCATTTGTAGGTATCCCACTGCCAGAAGAATGCCGGGAAGAAGCTTTCCATTCCTTCCCCTTCTCACTGCCTTTATCTCCAGGTCCAAGTCGGTGCTTCGCAGCAGGAGACATGGCTGCAGCTCTGCAGGCCACCGCACCGAGTACTCCCGCTCCTTGTGCAGAATCAGTCTGAACACAAGAAGAAGAAAGCCAAAGAATAGTTCAAATAATAGCAGTAGCTCGAGCCAGCTCTTCGCGGATTAAAGACCTCGAAACGAACATCAGTAAAGTACTCTCAACAAAGGCGATAAAAATTCTAGCTTTACTCATTCAATCAAACCAGAAACAATTTTCACATTATCATCAGTATCGGCCCTAGATAGGTCAAGTAAATTGATAAGATGTTACAGATGTAGTTCTTCCTGGCACGAGACTTAATCATGTTATCCCACGAGGGACAGCGATATAGGGCCAGCAAGACCGGCATTCCCTTCAGAGATAGGGCGGAGGCCTTTCGGTGGTAATAGGCATTCATGATCATCCTGGGCAGGGCGAGAAAGAGAACGGCTTGGTCTGAGGCAAGGCTCGAGGTTTCTTCATCTTCTTCAACTTTCCCTTTGAAGTTCTTTGATTTCTAACACTTCACTTTATCCCTGTCCCACGCTACAAGATCGGCAATAATTCGATCTTCTTTGAAAGTCTAGAGAGCGTTCAACTTGTTTCACTACCACGGCTGCCCATTGCCACCTACATTCGATGTCTTTTCCTCGACATTTAAGTCCGTCAAATTACGCTCCCATCATGGAACGGACTCTAACGCTCTTTATCGTCCAGAACCTTGAGTCTGGAAAAATTGATCCACGATTGATAAAACCGAACCAAGTGTCAATTCCATCTACACAGCAAGATCGCCTCCAGGTGAGGAAATCACACAAGCTGGCTGTTCGTCTGATACCGGACGCTGAAAAACCTGCCCTCTTGCGTATCTATCATGGAACGTGCCCTGTTCTAACTTTCAGGTTCTGACTTCCCAAAATCCTGGGCCGGAAGATAGACCAAATTAAGGCTCCGACACCTCACATACTACCTACAAATCGGTACTCCGGATGTCCCCGACATTGTGCTGATGACGTGAACTAAAATCACATCCAAGATCTGAGACGCGTCCCAACTGGTGAATCCATGCTCACCTCCGAGTTCCCGTATGTGGGGCATTTGGATCTGTAAACTGGAGAATTTCATATAGCACTCCTTGCCCGGAGTCATACTGCAAGTGGAAAGAAAGCCTCACTCGGAAACGTCCAGGATTCCTCATGGTAAGTGATCCCAAGGTGCCGGCGAGCTTCCCAAAAATCGTCGTATATAATTAAGATGGTCCGAAAGAGTGGCAACCTTTAACCTCTTGTTCCGAAAGAATAAAGTCCATTTGCTTGCTCCCAGATCAAATGATTCAGAAACCGCTCGCTCCCAGATGAACAAGGGCCCTAGCCAATTCTCCGCTCTAAATGCTTACTTCTTGAAAAGGCTGGAAAAGTGAAGCAATCAGGATAATCAACGTCCTACCCAATGCGGCACAACCCTGAATCTCGTGAACCTCTCACATTTTAGACATCAATTCCTCCTCGTAGTTCAGTTCTCTCGATTGAGAAAGATAGGCCAATTGCTCGCTCAACTGGCCCCACAACGGCAAATCCGAATACCTAGTAAAATTAAGCCATCCATTGGCATACGAGAACATGCAAGACGGAAGAACCTGCGTTCCGTGCAGGGAGGGCCTAACAGACCTAGGGTTTCGTGCACCCCGTCCAACCCAACTCACTCACGCATTCCACCCTTGCAACAGACACGCAATTACCAAACCACTCCAAAACAACACCGGCGAAAACGACATCGATGGGGCACGCTCGCTCGCAAGCACATAATGCTTACCAGATATCTTCTTCCTCGTCCTCCTTATTCATACGCGAAAAGCAGCAGCAGCAGCAGCAGGCTGGTCTCGCTAGCGTTCGCAGCCACAGAGGTCGCTCTGGGCTTGTCTTGGGATGGTTTGACGGGGAAACAAACTCGCACTGATGTTGATGGTGCTGGTGCTGGTGCTGCTGGTGGTGATGGTCTCGTCGTTGCGCCAGAGAGAAGACAGAGTGAGGAAGAGTGATCGAGACTGAGAATGGAGGACAGAATGGGCGGTGCGGAGAAAAGTCGAGCGGATGGATCAAATGATGCAGACAAAAAGCAGCAGACGTCAACAGACTTCTCAGCACTTGAAAAGTCGACGAAGCTGAGCAGCAACAGCAGAAAGCGGAGGCCGGAGACGCCTGGAAGGAAGGAGATGCTTCAGTGGCATATGCAAATATAATAAAAATTAGGCCATCAACAGCATAATCCGCGCTTCTGTCTGTCTGTCGCTCAGAACAAGGCAAAAGCGAATGGCTGTCATTAAACCCCACGAGACTGAGAAAGAGGGCAGCAAGAGCGAAAGGCGGATCGCAGCAAATTGCAATCACGCCTAAAAAGGCGCGGTCACCAACAGAAATTCACCATCACGAGTGCAAGTGCGCTCGGCCCTTTCCTTTAACTTCTGTCCCGCTAAGTATAGCGACCCCGCGACCTTGGGAGCCCCGATCCGCCCCTCCGCAGCCTTAATGACATCTATGCTTTGCCACCAACACGTGGATTATCTCCAGTCCAGCTACAGAGCTCTGGAATTCGGATAGCCTGCCAATCCCCCACAGCCACGCCACCATCGCATTCTGTCCATCTCCCATCTCCTCATCTCATCGTCCGTCCCTCCGTCAGGTCCCGTCAGTTTCCTTCTGCGAGCTCCTTGAATTTCAAATCTACCCACGGGGCGCTCCTTTTTCTCGCGATAAGAAAGTGAAAACAGAATTCATGTCCCTCTCATCCCTCCCCCCTCCCCCCTCCCTGCTCAGTCTACTGTCCTGTCCTGTACTGGGCCTCCGTTCGGTGGACTCGTCCCACTGGATACACATTGTCCACCACTAAGGTAGTCCCAACATATATTTATATTTATTTTATATATATATAACACCAGTGCTATACGCCTTGTAGTAACTACCTTGCACTGTTCTGTAATATCAGATGTCGGAGAGCTCGGTTTCACATCGTCTCGACCCCTTTGCTCAACGTTTGAAATGAACCTCAAGAGAACGCGGCGTCGAGACAATCGAGCTTATGGTAGGTAGTGTACGACTGTAGTTTTTATTCACTCAACCAGTCCCGTACAAGAGGTTCAATGGTGACAATACGAAAACTTTTTATTGCATTCATAAGTGGTGACGATTCAATTACATGGACATGTTCCCGTTCAAAAAAACGTAGAATCTGCCAATCTTAATTAAAAACTTTTTTTTCTCTTGAGCCTTTAGGATCTTAAGAAGAGTCAGTAGATTTTCCAACGAATTTTTCTATGGACGCATAGAATGTTTTATGATAGTTTCACGATTATAGGAGGTAAAAGTCTTCGAAGAATAACTCGTATGGGTTTAAAGATGTGTTTTGGAACCCCCTATTGAATGGAAGACCAGAAATATTTTCAGTGGGAATAAAACGTTGAGGATCTAATCCCGGCGATGAGAATCGTAAGAAATGAGATTAGAGAAATAAGGATGTACGAAAACCATTTCCATCATCAATATCCAGTATCCAATCGTATCTATATGTGCACACAAAAATAATAATTTTTTAAGCACTTAATTATATAAGATCATAAATACATATGTGGCGCTCATGAAAAAATATGTGGTACCTTTCCATGTTACATATGTATTTTTTATAATCTTTTAAGAACAAATTTTATATACAAAACACTAGTAGATATAATTCTATATGAGAACAAGATATTTTCATCTCCATACATAGAACACGAGTTAGTACAGCTTACACGAGAACGATACATAAGTATTGTTCTCATATAGACTATCTGCGTAATACAGGAGCAGCTAGTTCACATTGTGATGGTCTTTGGGCTCGCCCCATGAATCCCGTTAGATTTCATGCATGTACGGACTTATCCGGTCTTCCAAATTTTTGCTTGATTCCCAATTAATTTGTAATTATATACATTCTATGTGGACATGCGCCTAATAGATCACCGCCGTACATACTTTTATATGCATCGGTTTTGGACACCTATAGCCACGACGTTATATCGCGTCAGGCTTTCTGATCTTTCCATAAGTAGCGTGTACGTTCTCATTCATCTACATAGTTAGTTCTATCCCGAGGCCACTCTCAATCTCCCTGGAGAAGAGAATGTATTTCTATGCGAGACTTTAATGACGACCCCATAATACAGGAAAAAGTAAGGAAAGATGTAAACCGTACAGGGAAGTAAAACCCAACGGGTAACATGGAGCTAGCCCTACGAGACCTTTAATGACCACACATGCTCTCACTCCAACTAAGTAAAGGGATCACATTGCTTATCATCATGCTGTCAGAGTCGCAATAGGTGTATGAATATGATGGGAGTGTGGACAATACATTAAAATAAATACTGCGGGTTTTACCGTGAACATATACATATGAGAACACGGAGAATACAACTTCGAGGGAAAGGCTCCAGGTACAGTAGCCCTCTTTTCTAGAGATCTATCGATTCACAGCTACCTTACAGAAGGAAATGAAAAAAAAATGTTCGTGATGTTCAAATGTCGAGTACACATGTTAAGGGCGAGATAGCAGGAGGCGTTATATCCCTTCGTATCGACACCAGATATGGGGTTTCATAATGGATCCAAAATATAATCGACGTGATTTACGTTGGGACTTGCTGGTTTCCCATGAAGTAGGACCATGATGAACTTTATAGTATTTCCGTATATGGTTATACTTAAGTTCGATGGCCCTAAAGCCATTGCAAGGCGCTAAAGCTGCTACGCTGGAGTACCCCATTTAGTGCTCAACGTTGGATATGCTCTTGAACTAGTGATCGATATTGCCTTAGTTTCCGATGAGCAGATTGGAACTTCTTGCTTTCGAGTCTGTGCATATATGCAAATTACCTAATTATTCGAAGCAGCCTGTAACTTCCAAGTGCAGATTTACCTGAAGAAACTATCTCTGATGAAAACAAGTTGGAAGTACCAAGTTGTATGGTGACCTTCAACAGAGATGTTTCTGTTGAGACACAACATGGTATCAACATCCATTATAAATATACCGACACCGGCATGGATATACTTGGCCCTTTCAGGATAGAATGAATGTGTATATTGTCGAAAGATAAAAATTGCAAATGTTTGTCATAAGCAGTAACCCAGTTTGCAATAGACCTCTACAATAGCAATAGCAATAATTTACTTGAATCTTCCCTGTCAACAACTTGGTTTTGACCACTGTTTATGTGTAGCATCATAACATATAATCATAATAGCTCCTCCTATACGTGGAAACCAATATATAATAGTACCGAACGTGTTAGATATGCAAAGAGTAAGACGTCTCCAGATATGCAATTAGATATTTTTATGTTTCATAAGGTTTGGTATGAAGAGGGTCACAAAATTATTATTACTTTGTGATCATGCATCTAATTAGAAAGCTTAAGCTTGATAGTGTTTTAAACGTACTGATGAACATCCACATTAATAGGCCTTGAGTAAGGGTCAATAGACAAGGTCCCAAAACATATAAAATTGAATAGACATCAGATTTTTGTCTCTCTAGTTTTGAAAGTATGGATACATACTTTTGAGAGAGTTCTATACATTCTTGAGAGAGCTCTCTAAAGCATATCACTGTGGGAGGTGGGCTAACACAACATTAATTTTGTGTATAGCTTACTATGTGATTTCTACCATTTATCAGTATACATGACTATCTGATGCAATCCATGAAAGAGCAATCCGCAGTACTCAGATGCTCATATTAGAAGCCGACCATTTGGTTCAGACATTTTCTATACAGCAAGAAAAATCTTCATTGTCATGCTATGATGGTCTAGCCTAATATTTCTCCTCTGGTTTCATGTATTCAAGGCTTGATGGGATCTTCCCATCCATTTTTTATTCATCTCATTGGATGATTGATAATCTAGAGGGTTGCGAATATTTTCCAAACATTGTTTTATCAAAGTATCGAAAATTTGTGGTTGTACTTTTTTTTCCCTCTATAGATATGAGAGAGTCCATTGCTGTTTGTTTAAATCAACATACCTGCTTTTTATGCAACTTCAAGCTCTGTATAGCCATCACCAAAGTAAAAAATAAGTACAACTTTGGATGATAACATCATGGTATGGTTACTTAGCAAATAGAGTTAGTTATAATGCTCAAATCTTCCAATTTTTTTAATGGTCACGTAAAACATAGATATTTCTTCAATATATATGATTATGACCTCACTAGTGTTACCAAAACTAAAACTAAAATAGAGTATCAATGATGTAATTCGGCATGTTAATCAATGTTAATCAATTATGAACGGATGTACCACCGTACATAATTGACATGAAACACCATAATATCAAAAAGGTCGAGTTACAAGTTTTGTCAAGGATTCGAATGGCACACTTGGTGCCACCGAAACGGATGCACACTGCAGTGCTTTCACAACGCTTTACCAGCGTCACATGTTTTGAGAAAGACATGCGGATCGCACCCAACTGCCACAAAGTTCCATCATTCGGTCAATATGGCTGCTTTGATTCTGCGAATTGTGGGCAAAACATCTTTCTCGCCTGATGTCAGAATGGAAGACAATTCATAGCTTGAGAAGAAAGATACTGCTATAGAGCCCAAGTTTGTGAGAGACATCTGGTGCGGCTCAACAAAGAAAACGATTAAGAAGAAGGCGCAATAGTAGTCTAACATGGAAAAGCGAATAAAATGAGGAAATTGTAGACGTGCATTGTAAATTGACAGCTTTCTTCGTGCTCAAGCTACGTTCAGCATTTTCGTCGCGGGCAGTTCAATGACTCGGGTGAAACACGGCGCGGCAGACCAGGCTTGTCCTCATACCTCAGGGTCAAAACCTCGTCGAACTTTCGTCCAATGCCTGGCAAGTTGCCACAGAAACGACGCATCCACGTTGTCGTGCATCTGGACCGGAGTCACGGGAACCCAAGGGCTTGTAAAAGGGCATTCTGAAAAGTACAGAAAGAGAGAAGAAAAGAGAATCTCTGCAGGTATGGTCACCAACAAACTGCAGTCCACTGTAATCTCATTTATTCGATTCAATGGGTGAAAGGGAATTAAGCTTCAACCATATTTCTAACTCCTTTCTTAGGGTTTATGGCTAATGAAACCAGTGCTAACGGTTTTCCGTGGAAGGAGGAGTTGGAAAACATTAGGTGCCTGATCCTTGGTCCATGGGCTGGAAGTGGGCCTCTACCTGTAAAGGTGAGAGAGCTGAGAGGTGGCTAAAGTATGTAGAGCACAGTCTCTCACTCTCTCGCTTTCCCAACTGTGAATAAACATGTCATGCTAGCCGAGGCCGAAACCATTCTACAATGCTGTACATTGTTCGCATCCCGAAGTTACCCGTCTGCCTCTGTCCCTCGGTCAAGATGAGAGTTTCTGTCTCGAGGCCTCGATGTCGTAGTGTTGAACAGGAAGTGAACACTGGAGAGTCACTGTTTCTCGGACCTTCGTGACATCTTCTTCAATGTAGAAGGCGTGGAAGCTTTTTGGAATGTGCATCGTCTCAGTATACAGCGATTTTGCAGCTGAGGATATAATGTGAAATGACTCTGTCACGGAGGAGTCAAAACAAGAGAGATCGTCAACACCAATTATCAACATATGTACCGGCTATGTTCCCATCTTTTCAATGACATGGTACAAGCTGATGCGTCGAAGCTGTTTGCAAGACTCTTCAATTTTGAATTAATCCTAATTCCATCTTTGAAGAGAGAAATCAGTACAATTCAGCTCTCAATGCAGATAACTGAACAAAGAATGAAGGTAATGCATTGGAGCATGATTATGTATAATCATGAAGTTCATTCCTTCATATGCAAGCAAAGATTGGAGTAGGATGGCAGCGGGGACGAAGGACTGAGAAGAGAGGTCTGATCAAGTATATCAAATAAGCCGGGCATTGGAGGTGAGTCCTACTCACAACAAATACAAACGAAAATTAGTTCTGATTAGTTGTATAAAATCGTCCAAAGCATAACTGCCCAGGGTCTGTGTTTATTTCATGATCACCATATCCCGATGATGGGAACATTTGAATTCAGAGCAATATAATTAGATTTAGCATCAAGTACAAACCCTCTCATTGATACATTTTACAACAAGATTCTGCTTCATGCGTTGGAGATATATGCTCCTGCAGTGGATTTATATATAAACATATATATTCATGTACATAAAGTTGATGTTCCCGAATCATTTACATCCAGAGAATGCAAGCAGCACTACTATCAGAACAATGTAATGGGCTGGGATGAGAATGTGAGAGACTGGATGCGAGATACACAGTGAAAACATCAGTATTCAATTCAGGTTAGTGCTCATTTTTTATGCAGTTATAACACAACTCAAACATGAAGCATCTTTTGGTGAAAGCTTCAGGTAACGATGCTCTACACAACCTAAGTAAAAACTAACCTTTTGGTGAATTTTCACCTACTATTTGAAAAGAAATTTCATATTTGATCGTATGATTTTAAATTTTATCAATTTCTTCTTCAATATGTGTATGCTTTTAGAGTTTTTAGGTTACCATCACACATCTAGTTAGAACTTACTTCTTATCACTATGAGATATGTTAGCGGCTTCAACTCGATATGATATAAGGACTAGTTCCTGTTGTATGTACCCATCTGAATTGTACTATCAAACCTTGATGATTCAAGCTATGATGGACTCTTACTATGTATCATTTCTCATACTTCGCAGTTTCTAGTTGGATGATTATAAACTAGAATTCAGACTTTAGCAGTAATTTTTCACTTGTTAATCATTCCCGATATTTCTCTTGTGATCATGTGCTGCGTTCATCTCCATGAATTTTGGTTTTTTATCGATGAAATGTAACCGATCACTGATGAGATGATAAACATCTCTTATTAAAATGTGATGTATGCTACATGCGGTGAATGGTAGATTTTTTTCATTCCAATGTCTACAGTCACATACATTAATCAATCATTAGGTATGAAACGGTTGACATGTAAGAAGATATTACAAATGAAGATTACAATGTGTTATACAGTTTCAAGAGAAATCATGTGGTTAAATTTGGTGCGGTTTGAGTCGGATATTTAGAGTATCAACTACTCAGTGAGGTAAATTTGAGAGTACTTAACAAATTTCCTTTTTGATTTGCCTCAGCTTAATATTTTCATCTTGTTGAAAAGAAATGAACTCTTCCAATCAAGTAATGATGGATGAAAATCCCTGGCCGGATGTACGGTACTACGATCAAGGGAATAAGGTAAATTATGGCTACTTACCTGATTCTGTCTATTACATTTGCGAACATGTATTTTATTAGGAAAGAAAATATTAAACTTGTTATTGTGGAATATAAATGGAATTATGGTACTTTTTTATGCATCGTACTAGAAACTTAAATCCGCTAGGACGAGAATACTCATGGTTAGGAGCTTTGTCAATTTCTCACTGACATGTGAAAATTTTTCACATGGTAAGAATTCAGCGTAGTTGATTGTTTGATGAATCCTCTGCATTCAACCTTATATTTGATTTGAAATTTGTGTTTTCTATCAACTTGTATCGTAGATTATATTGGACAATTGCATTCTCCAAGTCACTCTTTCCAAGCCCGGAGGAATTGTCACATGCATTCGATATGGAGGATTGGATAACTTATTAGAGATTCACAACAAGGAAATTAATCGAGGGTATGTATTTCATTTCCCCATCCATATATTGTCAGCATAGTAAATCTTTTCTATCTATTCTAGTCAGCTTATCATGAGGTTTTCTAAGCTGTCCCGACTCCGTATCCCAGGAACATTGTTGTGTTTGTCAAGATTATAGAAACTTCAGTTCATTCAGTACAGATTACTGGCGTAATCTGTACTGTATGGAGAGAAATGGATGTATTTTGTCTCACCAAAACATGTTGTGTATGTAGGTACTGGGATTTGAATTGGAGTGAACCAGATGGTAAAGACAACTTTGATGTGTAAGTATTGAAGATGTGTTGTGGATAAAATGTTCCCTACCCTGAAAATTAATTTGCTTTGAAGAATGGTGTATTAACAATCAGATAGATAACGTCAGTACTTAAGTTACAAGGTGAGAAATATGTAAAAAGAGGAATCTGCATATTCAATCCAATATGTGCTTGCAGTTTTATCAAGAATATGTTTGTATGATAGCTGTACCTGAACATCATTATCAATTTTATTCTCTATCTATGTTGTTCAATGTACTTCATATCTAAGCCTTGGAGTGCTACAATCGGAGGAAAGCATTCCTTTGTTTAAGTAGCATAACCTCTTTAGCTTCTTTGATACCGTATGTACTCATTCGTTGACATGGTGCAGGCCAACTGGAACTGAGTTTCAAATAATACATGCCGATCGTGATAAAATCGAGGTTTCTTTTGTTCGACCTTATGATCCTAACCATCATTGGCCCATGGTGCCCCTCAACATAGATAAAAGGTAATTATAGAGTTTCCAATTCATTTGTCTTCTACCAGCTACCTTTTCTGCAGGTTTGAGGGCGAGTTTGGCTGTGGATATTACAATCTGTAAATTCAACCTATGATTCTCTTGGTCTGTCCATGTTGACATCTTCTATGCAAAAATTGCCATTTTGCTTGTTCATCTCAACAGAAATAGAGCATGTGTTTAATAGGTTGATTTGGAAATATCACAACCTCTGATAAAGTTTTCGAGAAATATCTCATCAGGTTTGTCTTGCTTCGTGGACATTCGGGTTTCTACTCCTACGGCATATACGAGCGTCCCTATGGATTTCCTGACTTCAATCTTAATCAAACTCGAATTACCTTTAAGCTTCGCAAAGACAGGTATTTCTCTATGTTTTGCGCATGAGCTTCCCATAGCCAACACATGATTTTATCTTGCAAAGGCTCCCTTCGAGTAGGATCGAGCATGATTCCATCACATTGGGCAAGCCTGTGGTTCTGGAGTATATTTTTATTTGAATGAGGAGACAGACGTGTGTTCGATAATACGGTCTGATAAGGACATTTGTGGGAAAGTTGTAGAGATCATTGTTCTGTGGTTTGTTTTGAACTTACCTTGGAGTTGATCACCGCAATTGGAGTACTGTTAGCGGATCTGTTTCAAGGTCCTTGCTGTCTGGGCTTGCCTGCAGATTTCATTATATGGCAATAGCTGACAACAAGCTCAGGCTTATGCCGTCACCTGATGATCTTTGTCACGATCGTTGCCAAGAGCTTGCTTATCCAGAAGCCGTACTTCTTACCAAACCTGTCAATATTGTTCTGCAAGGAGAGGTATATATGTACTCTCTTCACTTTTCTCCCTTTTCATTCTTTTGGAGGTTGTGACGCTTTCGGCTGTTGTAACAGTGTAGACACTCAAACTCTGTAGATTGGCAAACTGGTAAGCTTACGAGGAATATTTGTAGTCTTTCTCTTAAAATTCACGAAAGTTTTCTTCTTGCTGTAGGTTGACGACAAATATCAGTACTCTTGCTCAAACAGGGAGAATAGAGTGCACGGGTGGATATCTACCGATCCATCGATTGGATTTTGGATCATCACACCCAGCTATGAGTTTAGGAATGGAGGTCCGACGAAACAGAATCTTACGTGCCACGTTGGTCCTACATGTCTCGCAGTAAGATAAACTAATATACTCTGGTGGCCTATTATTCTACCTGTTCTTCCTGGTGAGCAGTAGTTTTTGGACCAAATTACCGACTGCCCTTACCTTGTTGCAGATGTTTCACAGTGCACACTACGCTGGAATAGATCTCTGTCCTCAGTTCAAAAATCAAGAACCTTGGCAGAAGGTGTTTGGTCCAGTTTTCATATACCTCAACTCAGCACCTGTCGGAGCTGAGCCTCGCCACCTTTGGGATGATGCACAACGTCAAGTAAATGTTCTCCTTATTTACCCATTATCCCCGTGGTTTAAGTCTCTAGATAGTTTACTCACAACTCTTTGGGTAAGTCGGTTCAGTGGATACTAGGTCGTCAATTCTTCATTGACAACATCATCTAACTTTTAATTCCTTCCTTCGAGCCTTCACCTTATTTATCTGGTTATCCACCGGAGGCCTACATACTAATCTGCAACAGATCTTTCTGAGAGGGTGTTTTGTTTATGCCCAGATGACGAAAGAAGTGAGCGCATGGCCGTATAGCTGGCCATCTTCTCCCGACTTTGCAAAGGCAGAAGAACGAGGTCAAATATCAGGCCGGCTTCTTGTTCTTGACAGGTGCATTGTGGAACAGATGTGGTTTATCTTAACTAGATAGAAAGAACTCGTGAAAAGAATGTTATGAATTCGAAATAGGAAAGCCTCTGTTTCGAGAGCACTTGTTAGCGAGAGTTAGTGTTATGTAAAACCTGCTGTAAATTTCATGAAATAATTAGTGCAACCGAAGGAAACACAAAGGTTCAAAGAAGGGACTAAATCGGATGGATCTATCAAATCTTGCAGATATGCAATGCCAAATCTACATTCAGGTACATATGCGTTCTTGGGATTGGCAGCGCCGGGAGAGAAGGGATCTTGGCAAAGGGAAAGCAAGGTAGATGGTTCCTCTGATGCTGAAAGAGCGCTGCGGAAAACAGTTAATTCATCTCTAGAATGTGTACCTATGTTAAGTGGGACCTGACGTAGTTGAATGGTAATTTTATCGGTATTTAGAACGTACTAGAAGATCTCATTTTGCGTTTGGTTGTCCACAGGGTTATCAGTTTTGGGCCCAAGCAGATTGCTACGGATACTTCTCAATTAAAAATGTCCGTGCCGGGGTTTATGATCTCTACGGATGGGTACCGGGAATACTTGGTGATTATAAAAGAGAAGGCAGTATTCACATCTCTCCAGGTTCAGTTTCAGTCTCACATTTCTTTCTCCTCTATTATGTTCGCATTTTCGCGTGTGGTCAAAGCAGAAAACTCCTTGGTTTAGTCGAAGTTTGCCTCAGCATACATGCTTTGACATATCCGGGGGTAACTAGAAGCAGGTCTACGTTATTCCACTTTCCGGGAAAGAACGTGTTGGCCCTAAACATGATCAGCAACATCTCCACCTGAAGAGGTCTATAACCTCTTGAGTTTTTCTCTCAACAGAAAATGTTAGTGATCTTATAAACGCTATAAGGTCAAATCTGGATTCATCAATGTCTTCGATGTTGATGGGAAACATGGGCCTTTGTCCTCCGGTTATGTCTTATTCACATCTCTGATTCCTTGTTCTGTCGTAGGTGGTATTTTCTATTCCTTTGCTTCTTCCCTCCTCGCCTGCTCTCTCACTAGCTTCACTTGGGTTTTTCTCCATATATCTGAGTTGCAATAATTTTTTTCTTAACGTAGATCTCCCATTTAAATACAGGTGACATCATACCACTCGATGATCTGGTTTACACGCCTCCAAGAGATGGACCCACAATTTGGGAAATCGGTATTCCTGATCGAACTGCCACCAAATTTTACGTCCCGGACCCAAATCCCAAATACATAAACAGGCTTTATGTGAATCATCCTGAAAAGTCAGTTACCTCTTCTTGCCTCTTTCATTGTCATTGTGGTGTTTGTAAGTTAGTGCAGAATATGCTCCGAGGGGTGATAGTGGGATGCTTGCCCATTGCGGCCTCTCCACCGCCAAGTCTTGCTTAGGACAAAGTCTAGTTGCGGAAGAAATGTAGATATCAATCCGTTTTCACCAGTACTTAGGCGTCAATTTCTGTATCAGCTTCACATATTTGGCCATGTGGTGGCCTTAGGAGATCTAGGGTTTCAAACACCTCACTAAGATCATGTACTGAGTCTCCCTTCGTCAGTAGTGCCAACTAGCGAAGCAAGAATACTACAATAGGTAATTTGTGCTTGTACTCCAACGGTTCTGACTCTACAGATGAGGGAAAGAACTCTACATATGCATTATTTAGCTCAGCACATATTCTGAACTTGCAGGAATGAATATCTTCTGACAAAGAAGAATTGGAATCTCATAGAAGCTTGAGAACACGTATTTTTACAGTGACTCACATTCCTCGACCTCTTGGAGTAGTGTATCCTTGTCCTTCGGAATTTCGTTTCACTATGGACTCGCCTACACACATTCATATATAGTTTTTCTTCCCTGTAGGACATTTTTCCACTACGACGTCTATGTGCTCATCGATGACAAAAGACGATGGCTGCGTTCGCTATTTTACAGTGCTGATGCATGAAACAGGCGTTGGTTTTCTGTTGTCTGCAAAGTCAGTCATTCTCTGCATGCTGACTCTCGTCAAAGTTGGAATTGCATGCCTAGACTATCTGGCCTCCTGACATACTACTTGACGATAGAGAATTGACGAGTTTTGTGAAATTGGAGCAGATATCGCCACTATGGCCTCTGGGCCAGGTACTCTGAGATCTATCCTTCAGAAGATCTAGTATTTACAGTCGGCAGAAGTGACTATAGAAGAGACTGGTTCTTTGCACATCTTTGCCGGTTAGTACCAATACTTGTTCCAAATTCATCCTGCTTCAGATATCACAATCAATGTTAATTTGTAGAAGGGGCTCCTTGCTTGACGTCCACTTTATTGTCAAGTTGAGCCCCTCTCAAGAAAAATGCCACTAAAATTGACGGCAAAATGTATGTCAGATCTATAGCGTAGAAATCTCCTTCACCTCTGTTCCTATCTGAGGGAAGTAACCAGGAGCCTGGGGATTTTCTTCTTGGCAGGATCGAGGCTGATGGAAGCTATCAACCAGCAACGTGGCAGATCAGATTTTTTCTTCCGCTCCATGAACAATATCGTGGTATCTTCAAGCTCCGGATGGCCATTGCTGCATCGAACAACGCAGCAATCCAGGTGAGTGGAAGAAGCGACGTCTAGTATTATCTATCTCAGTAGTCCAATTCAGCTTAGTTCAACTATTACATTCTAGGGAGCTCTGTGTACTGGATGAAGACAAGGTAGATTGAAACATTTCTGCTCTCATCAAGGATATCGAACTTTTATTGCAGGTCCGGGTGAATGATCCGAGTTCACCGAAACCTTTGTTTGATACGATGCAATTTGGCAAGGACAACGCCATCGCACGTCACGGTATACATGGCTTGTACACTCTATTCAATATCGACATTCCTGCATCACTTATGAGAAGGGGAGACAACACTATATACCTCACTCAAAGGAAAGCTTCGGGTCCCTTTACAGGCGTTATGTATGATTACCTGCGACTAGAAGCTCCAACTCCGGAATTTTCACCTGTAACGCACAGTTTTTCCTGAAAATGAGTGCGGAATTATACACGATGTACATCAAGGGTATCATGCTGCCTCCACACTGTATTGACCATGGCACTGGTCCTGTCACCGACAGTAGTGTGTTCAGATAGAGCCTTTCTGAAGGCCCATCTATATATGTCGTGCAATTCTTCAAATTATGTCACTGAAGATTTGTCAAAGAGGTTGTAATCGCCGCCTCAATCCTGTTTGATGGTAAGATTCCCAGATCCAGACTAGCTCTGGTTAGATGAGGAGGTGGTATATTCTGCCTTTACTGTGGTCTTGAGTTGTTAGGCATCTGTGTAGATATACATTCATCATTATTTACAAAAAAACAAAAAAAGGAAGAAAAAGCTTGTCTCTTCTTTCTCTTGTGACCTGAGACGGTGTAATCTTGCTGATGTTTACTCCATTCTGAAGGGTGTCTTCTGTAGTTCATTTATGTTGCATTGTTCAATCACACTACTTAATTTAAGATCTCAAGGACCATAATCTAGGCGAAGTTTTAAATATAGATGATTTTTATGAATCTCATGTTGAGTCTCATGTGCTAGCTTAAAGGCCGTTCCTTCGATATTGGTCAACTAACAACATTAGTGGCAACTTATTTATCAGCACGCAGACTCACCGATATTGACATGAACCGGTTCCCGTTCACTACGGTAACCTACTGGGCTTGCCCTAAATTCTGCTTGCTGCACAGTGACCTTTTACAATCTCGTGTGGGCGGTCCACGATTTGACTGACATCATGTACTTCATCACTCACGTAATTGACGAAGTCCTTTCCACATACGGCAGCTTTCAGGATGTCTGATAAGAAGGAACGTTTATGCATGTTCTACACGGATCTTAAGGCTTAGGTCTACTATATGAGATGTTACTTTCTAAGGCAGGATCTCCAGTTTGGAATGGATCCACATTCGGATTCAGTACTTGTTTTCGACTTATTCTCTCTACTGTTCTGTCACTTATGGGCCAATCTGTAGAGACTCAGACCAGCAAATTGCCAACTAGAAACGCCCACTTTCCTTTACAGTCCATTGATGTAGACAGATCATTGAACCTTAATTTACATGCCCTCCAAACTGAACAATGGCCAACCCTCCACTTGGAAGAGAGACCACCACTTGATTCCAAACAAAACAATCAATTGATTAATATAAAGTTCATGTCAGCTGAACTCATCTCAGCCGGGGTCAACACATCAGAAAACCATGAAATCTGGAGGCATCCTTGGGGTTTTGAAATGATTCTCGGTGGAGCTGAGCCGAGCTCAAATTATTCCTTACCGAGCTGAGACAAGGCCATTCCACATCCTGGGATGCGACAGACAAGACGACAAATGGGGATATTAGCACAATAATTGAGCCAAACTCTGCAACAAGGTCACATCACTGCATGGCATGCGACAGAGAAGACGACAAAAGGGGAAATTAGCATAACAGTTGAAGGTGGAAGTGCCGAGCGGACACAGTCGGAGAGCGGGGCCGTGAAAGAGCAGAGAAGAGGAGCAAGAGAAGCGAGGATCCATCATTGAGAATACAGAGCCTAGACAAGAATCGATGGAATGAAACGATGGAGAAAGCTTACAGCAGAGTCGCCGCATTTGACAGAGACCTGTAGAGCCCAGCCAGGGCCCAGGGGTTGGTTGCGCCTGCGAACGCAAGCGAACAAGAAGATCCGAGCGGAATGAACGAATGGACGGATGGGACGTCGAGGAAAGCGAGAGGCAGATTCGAGTGCGGTCGCAGTGAGCAGGAGTTCAAGCGGCCGAGTTGACAGCAGAGCCGCGCCTGGAGAGAAGTTGAAATTCAGACGTTCCAGACGGGACGGTAGGTGAGACAGAAGCGCCTCCAGCATGTGGAGAACGTCAGAAGGTGTGAAGGATACGTCGTCGCAGCTCCAGCTCCATCTCCATCTCCAAGATGCTCCGCGCCTAGAAATCACAGCGTGGAGCGGACCAGCACGATCAAACGCGACGCTTCGAAGCAAGTGCGTGGATGGTGTGGCTCACATCTTTGACCGCCTTGCGCTTGCCGGATTTGTGATGAGCGAGACCGTACCAATTCGATGCGGTCACGGATTCGTGATGATGTTCGAACACTGAGGTGACACGGTCCGTCCGGCAATGCGTGCGACAATCTGGCACAATCAGCGCAATTTTCGGTTTCATTGAGGTCAGTCTTATCGCTGTGATCGTGCTGAACTTTGGTCACTGTTCTCAGTACCGTCATCTTGAGTAGTGTTGAGCTGCATCGGATGGTTATGACGGTCCATTCGCAGAATGATTTTCTAGTTCCATACAGGCGAATTGTGGAGCTGCTGTCTTGTTTTGCATCATCTCCGTCTCGAATTTGCATGGCCAGGTTTCTTTGGCCCCTAGACGCATATCATTCGTTCTTCATATTTTTACATGTCGCAGGGACCCTTCTTCCTTGAGGAAACAAGCGTCTTGATCTGTCAGGAGTGCTCATGGGCTCGATGTATGTCATGAGATCTTAATTCAAACTGACTCGAGGAAGCAATTTTTCGAATTTGTCTGCGGAAACAACAGGCAAACTCAACAACTCGGAATTCGTAACGGGAAAATACGCATCCAACTAAAGCACCGAGCCTACATGCTTTCTTGGAAAGACAAGGAATTGTGCAGATCAATTCACTGCCTCAATTCTACCCTTGTCATATCATGTATTCCACTCACCAAGGATGAGAAAGATGGACTCATAACACGAGCATTATCTTCCTATCCTTACTGCTGGTTGTTCTTCTGTTGAGGCCTAAGATCTTGAGAATTCTCCTAAGTTCTGAATTCGTCGAATCTGTCCAGTTTCCGTATTAATCCTTGGACTGTGATGAAGGTACCAAAGGATGCTCTGGTGACCAAGAAATAGCCAGTTTTGGAGGCTGATTCACCCTTGCGAAGTCTGAATCAATAAGTAGGGGAACCTGGCTTATCGTCACCAGTGTATGTAACAAATCTTACCGGCAGATGTGTCTTCGCAGTTGTACTTCATTCTACATTGATTGCTATATATGCTACATTTAACAACTCCACACTTCATTGTATAGATTGTGACGAGGTGACAGATTGCAATCGACTCTCCTATAGTTTCTTTTATAAAGATACCAATGTGAGGGAGCTCCCCTAGCGCAGCCAAGTGATCTTTGCAACAATCAAAAAGCATCAGCATCAGTGAACGCGGGATGTAGTATGAATATCTTCCTGGACTAAGAGGTCAAAGTGAGGATGTTCAGTTTCTTTATCGATGGTAGTTTCTTTGTATGATCAGAGAATCAAACTCATTACCTCTTCAACATGCAGGACCTGAAGGTTATGGTTAAAGATTATCAACCGAAAATGGTCAACATCCAGAGACCGAAGAATGATCCCCCTTCTAATGAGATGATGGAGACACTGCTGACGTTCACCATTGGCCAAGAGGTGGAGTCCAAGTCGCACGCGCAAGGTTATCGTGGAGCGTGGTTTAAATGCAAAGTAAGTTAGGTATTGAGTACAATCAAAATTGACTCATATACTGGTCTTGATCATCGGTGTCGATAAACCTGTAAACTTTGACACTGCTTCTTCTTTCTATATACAGCTCCTCTTAATGTAGGAGTTGGTGTGCCGTGAAAGCCTAAACTGTAATTTCTTTCATTTCTTTTATTGTGCAATATGTTCTCTCTTTCTATGTTATGCGCCTCTGATTGCTCCTTGTCTGTCAGACTTCTTCACATGCTACGGCTCGACACTAAGGCATTTTTTTTTGGCCCAGATTGCCTTTTGTCTTCTAATACACCTTCGAAATCTTTCGGGCTATACATTGATCCTCGAAGTGTAGACTTTAAAAAAAAACATAGCATATTTCTGTCGAGTGCAGAGCATCTACTTTTGTAATTTTAGTGGATCTGGTGATCCCATTGTTCTCGATTAAATTCTCGAATTGAGTTAAAGTCAGCAATTTTGAGCAATCAACCAGCCTTCAGTAAGCCCCTATCATGTGCAAATAAAATCTATGACGGAGTGATGTCCTATTTGAGGTTTAAGGCGTACTACGTGCTTGCAGGGAAGTTAATTGTAAATTGAGCGTTCAGTCTTCTTTATAAATATGTATGGCTACATATTAAAACTTTGCTGAGTATATCCTCTTGTATCTATATGTTCTGGAACCGTTATCCAGTCAGTTGACGACTGTGGTGAAAAACTTGCCAATCGCAGATAGAGGACATTGACAGGGGTGGTAGAGGACAACTGCGTTTCAAGCTGCGGTACTTGAACTTTCCTGATGAGGGTAGGAGTCTTATGCAACTCTTAAAGTTCACGAAGGTTCAGTTTAGCATTGTTGTAAGGATCGCAGAGTTCTGATGGTCTATCACCTCTTGTGATGATGCTGCAGCATTGCATTGGTCGCAGGCCTATCAGCAAAGGCAGCGAGGGAACGCGGCCACATTTGAACTAATGTTACGGCCACCCATGCCACCCATTATAACTGAAGAAGATCTTCCCGATGTTATGTTTGACGGCGTGGTGGTCGTTGTAAGAGCTTGGGAAGTTGGAGATCTTGTAAATTTTTGGTGTGATGACGTCTGGTGGGAGTGTTATGTCAGCGAGATTGTGGATCAAGAAACAGTCAAAGTACGTAGCCCTTTTTCTACTACTTTTCCTAATTGGAATATGATGTGTAGTATCTTGTGATCAAATCCCTTAGCAGTACACGTCTACTTTGGTATGTACCAGGTGTCACTATTCAAACCTCCACACGGAGAAGGCGGTCAACACAGTGTCAAGGGAAGAGCATTGCGGCCTTCGTTGTCCTGGACTTTGGCGGATGGTTGGAGTGTTCCAACAATGAAGGTTGGTTGGTTCACATATAATCAATTGTGTTCGAGAACAATGAGAATCTAGTCACGTGTTTTTTGACTCTTAGACCTTCTCAGTTGGTTACCTTCTTTCACGATTTTATATGTCAACCTGTAGATAATCTTCCCATATCCCACGTGTGTCTCTGGACTGGAATATATGTTTTGTAATCTTTCTCGATTTTATTGGCTACTTTACTTTTTCAAGCATTTGATGCATGTCCGGCTCTTTCCTTATTGTGTTCTCCATGCATGATAACTTTTGTGAATAACTAGTGAGTTTCAATATTTAACCAACTGTTTCGAAAGATCATTGTCCTGGTGGTCCCTTCCAAGTCTTATCCTTCTATGAACCCATCTCTTCTTTTCCTTATCGTTGTACTCAAAGAAGTGCTACCAACAATTATCTAGAGACTCTCCTTCGCATATTTGTTGTTATTAAGTCTGATGTCAATCTCATCCACTGTCATTCAACTAAGGAGAATCGGTGGGCAATTGCCCATGGATCTGTGCTTTTGCATCGGGGCGAGGGCCAACTGTATCAAAGATTTAGACATGAAATGATGGTAGTAGTAATGCTAGTATAATCTTGCCTTCGGTGTGCATCCTCGAACTGAGGTAACTTCTGTGACCATTTTCAGTCAAGGAGGACGACCAATGTTCACTGTTTGTCCTATGTTTGTCCTAAACCATAGATTCCATTGTCTGTGTGCCTTTGTTGAGAATATGACAGCTATTTAGGTTTTTATTATCAGTTTTTGGGTTCGCCGAATGTTTTTAAACCAAAATAGTGTCTACTTTTTCTTGTCTCTTGTGTTGCTTCTCGGCCAATATTTCTGCAGTATATTCGAATGATGTAATTTATTTCTCGTTTATGTACTCTCGATCCCGCCGAAGGCTTTGTGAGGTATGGAATTAACCTTGTGTATAGACTACTTCAATCATGTACACATTAGCGGATACTTTTCCACTCACAGTAGTCTCTTGATGTTTTGTCTGTACTAGCAGATCTGACTTCCCATGAATATTTTTTTCTCTTCGATGACCTTCTTTTATTAGCCGCTATTGACCTGCTTCAAACCTGTTGAGACATTTAGGAAAGTGACCTTCGGTTTACATGTACATATGAATTCAAGTATGTCCTACGTAAAACAGTCTACACCTGGAACGAATTAAAGAGAATTGATGAGTTTTTCCATTATAACACTCACGATCAGGATCTTGACATGGTTGTAAGAATGTCTTAAAGCGTCGTTGATTAGCTTCTCCTCTATAGCGTCCTCTGAACATCTGTCTTAGTGTTTCTAACGGCATTTGGTTTGCAGAAAAATTCACATGGTAGTCCTTGCTCAAGACTAGTAAAACTTTCTTCCAGGCTCCTTGAGAAAGTCGATTCACCTCTGAAACGCGATCGAGGAATTTATGTTGATTTTGGAGATTCGCCAGACGTTATTGCTCATCATTCAGTTCATGATCTTCAAAACCAGGTACTTTGTGTTCCCCTACACAGAATTGTAGTTATAAAGAAGAAAATCATTTACAAAACCCCGTACCGACTTGTTGATTTTTAACAGCTTTGGTAAATTCAGTTTATTGAAGTACATCTGTGTGAACAGTTTCCAGCTACCATGAAGGTGGAGGATCAAAGGTTTCCTTTTCTAAGTTCTGGAGAAACACCAATGAAAGTTAAAACTGTACCGAATCTGAGTGCCCTGAGGAGTGCAGTAGAACCACTTATATATGGGGATGGCGAAGACAGCGGTAAGGATGCAGATTCTGATATCAGTGATAGAGATGGAGCGGACCTTGCTGAACTCCAGAGGCTGATGGTGAAGAGACGCTCCCAGAAGAAGATTGAGAAATACAGAAAACAGGTCCAGAGATATATTAAATTAGCTAGGATATTTCGTACCAACAATCACAAGCTTAGAAAAGTTATTTTGCGCAGGTCAACTGCTAAGAGGCTTTGCAGAGTATATTTGCACCACATATCGAAGGTCGTAAAGGTAGATGGTTAGCGTCCAACACATGGATGTTGTGATTGTCTCCCACGAATTTTAAAATATACGGTCGTACCACGGGTTGACAAACTTCTCACCATTTTGCCATGTCCACTCCTGAAGCTGGACTAAAGTGTACATGGATGAAAGCAGAGATCGATCTTTTCCACTTGCTGTAAGCAGTCATCCATCATTTGTATAAAACTCTGACAATTGGAATGCTAGAATCTGTAGCAGCTTGGACAAACTCTTGCCAGCACTGTCAAAGATCCAAGTGGAAGAAGTCCGCGGGTGGTCATGCAAGGGGATGTTACCATTAGGCGAGCGAAGTTGTTCGAAATTGGTACGTGAAATATGTCTTGGGTGATCCGCGACATGATGGTGCTGGATTGAGTTGGCTATATGGAATGAGCTACCTGCTGAGTTGAAAGACCTCTTAAATTGATCTGTAGCTGGTTGTTATCGTTAAATATGAAGAATTTCACCTCAGCAGATAGTCAAAGAAATATTATGGTTACAGGCTTTACTGTACACAAATGTTATTAAGGAAAAGATGGTAGTAAGCCAGGCCTCCTAAATTCTGGGATTTGTTAATTCCAGAATTTTGTCATCCATAAATTAAGAACTTCATGCTTAGAACCACAAGTAGGATCATGCCACGTTGTCTTTGTTACAAGTAAGATTGCGATATGTAATATTCGTCTTTGTACAGAAATCCTTCCGAAACTCACACGTGAGAAAGTGAATTATTGTCGAGTAATATCGTAAGTATGGACTCTATTTATTACCAAATCCCAAAATTACCAAAGTAAAGACTAATAGAATCCATAAATTAAGTTAATTTCGTTAGTTATGGGAATTGCCAGGCCTTATGAGGACTGGAGTAAGCTCTTATGCACAAAAAATATCTTAAACCGGTATTCTTTTGAAAAACAACCCCGGGATACGAATTAGAGGTAATTACCGCACATCATTTGCATCTTTCTGCTATACACAGGCCACACATTATGTCCGTACAATTGATCCTTTTTTGTGGTAGATCTATAAACCTCACACTCGAGGAACTGCTTGCGACCAGCCGGAACTGTAAAAAAGTTTCTTGACTACCAGTTGCAGTCTGTTTTGTTGAAAAAATCCTTTGAAACCTACTGGAGTTCAGATTTTTGAGAAATCTGAGCAGTCGATATTGGTTGTATTTAAATCTTCGATATAAAGGAAGTAAATATTTCTTGTAACTACGTGTTAAGGGAAAACGAAAAAATCTCCCGAATGCCTAAATCTAACTCCCACCTGCCAAATGCCAATATTTCGAGTTTGAGCTTTAGGATTTGAAGTCACCACAGGTGCATGCTTTTCAAGCACAGCAGCATTCATCACTATTTAAAATCCAGTGCATGTGACTTGCCCAATAATTGCCCAATAGTGCCCTATACCTTGTCTTGCAAGGATGGCGAGATGGATGATGAGCAGGCATGCACTAAATCCTAAATCTCGCTAAATTAACTTAATAAATTACCTAAATTAACTTAATTTAGTCTCACGAAGAAACTCTTCCAAATGTCACGCATCGCAAGGCAAATCCGGGTGGAGATCTAAGATTAGGGTGCCAACATAATTTCTTCTTTTGTGGTACAAAGAAACTTGTTTAAAAAAAAACTGCATCTATACTCACAAACAATCTTATAAATTGCAATTAGCGCTACATTGAGGAGAGTTATCGTCAAAGCCATCCTGATTGCTTGAAGTGCGGCCAATATATCTTATGAAAGTGCTGAGTAAGAGGGTAATGGAACTTATCACTTCCACTGATAAGTTCACGACGAGGCAAAAACATGAGATTTTACACATCGCAGAGTTTTACATTTTAGATAAATGTGTTTCCAAGCATTCCATAACATTTTGTGCCCACATCACACCATCTTTGATACAAACTAGTCTTTAGGATTTAAGATTCGTCTGCAGAGCTGTCAGCTTGTTCATTAAGTTGGGTCACCAATGCACATCAAACATCTCTCTCCGTTCAAATTCATAATATGTTTGCGTTCTCAAAAAACGTGAAGTTACTTTTGCATACAGTATAAGAATTCTTCAGAACTAGAATCCTGGTTTTCTTCGTTCAATTTCAATCACATCACTTGTGTCCTAGGCTGAATTGGAGCAGCCTCCTGCTTCCATTTTGTGCAAGTGAGGCTAATGTCTGCTCTGCAAGAGCGCAAAAACCATTATCCGTTCGTGAACTTATCACTAGTCAAGTCAACTTCAAATTTTTTTTAACCCAGCAGATTTTCCAAGAAGAGAGAGGGGTTGATCTTTGTACTCTTCAAACACTAGAAATAGGCTTGAAATATTCTAGCAAAAAACGAAGGGTACTGAATGAGTACTGAGGCACGATGGAAATGGATAATACAAAGATATCTTGGTGTAAGTTGACAAAATTTTAGATATCTCAAGTATGATAGTGGGGTGTCAATGCCAACAACAAACTACAATGTCTTTGATGAAGAAGATTACATCCGATTGAGATCATGTAATTGGGAGAAGTCATATTATATTAGCAGTAATCTAGTTGCCAAAAGGAGAGTACATTTAGGTAATTTAGACGCTTCGCCATACGGTCGCCTAAAGTAAGCATGTCTGATTATGGGTATCATGTACTTGGATTAAATGAGGTGGACAATGTCATACCTCCGGAGTAATAGCCAAATATAGGTATGTAAGCCAAAAGTACAAGCTAGCACAATGAAGGAGTTGAAGAGTTTGACTATAAGGAAGAAGTATAAGTAACAGAACGTCGTTATCTCAAAGTGATCATCTCGAGATTCACGACTACTCTACTCTTCAGAATCACTTCCAGCTTAACGTACTCAAATACCTGCTGCAACGAGCGCTGCTGCTGAACGCTTTTGTCCCTCAATCTGGAGGCGTTGGAGACGATCATGAGGAATTCTGCTGCATTAGGGACTTAATAAATGGGTTGATTTAGATGACAGTATTCACACATATGTACAGATTACTAGAGTTGAAGAAGAGGGGGTGATGAATTTCGCGCTGCGCAGCGTTCCGGTCTTCATCGTGGTCTATCGAGGCCAGCTGTGGCCGCAAAATTCATGTCACAGGAACTAACACGAACACTCGCCTCGCAAGAGAGATTTGCCACTTCCCATAGATGGCTCCGGCGCATAGAAAACCAGCAGATAGAGCTGAAGACCTGCACTGGCTCAAGAGCCATGGGGAGAGTTTCTATGATAACAAATCTTGACTTCTCAGGTACCAAAGAACATCATGGAAGGTTTCTGCATTAACAAATCTTGTCATGCACAAGTTACAAACCAGGCTCGACCTCGACTTGCACAAGTCATGAAAAAACTGTTAGCTCGAAAAGAATAACGTCAATATAAAAGCTGTCATATTTCCACTCGAAAGCTGTCATAGTTTTGTCACAAAATTTTAAAGAATGGTCAGACTTCAATCACAAACACCAAAACATCACCTGACATAGAGTGGAAACCAAAATCACAAACACCGAAACATCGCTCTCACAAAGAGTGTCAAAACACTTGGTATATGGTATTCCCCAAAAGAGTACTTTTTTAAATCAAGAACTCCTTTTTAGGTATTACCCCGGTATATCGTTCCGCGGAATTCTGTGAAGTGCAAAGACTATCGATTCTCACACTTGGTTTACAAAATGGGCAAACTTTCTTTACTACTGACTCCTCAACCGGAACTTTACTCTCACTAGTCCGATGGTGCGACTCTGCTTGACCGGTTTCCTTCAGGGGAGATACTCTTTTCACCCATCCCCAGTCCACCATTCCCACTCTCAACTGGTTTAATTAACTTGTGTCATACATTAGAGGGGCCTCCATAGTTTTAGAAGTGATAGATTTACTTCTCCCCGTTGATTAGAGTGTGAGGAAGGTCACTTTAGATAACTTACAAACTCAACAAACCGACAAAGACAACTTCAGTAAAATTTCAGACCGGGTGGACTCTAGCCAAACTTCAACCGCCGGTTTTTAGTTCCGGTGGCAGGTCACTAAGGTTGGTCCGAATCTTACCCTACTCGTGAGAACTTCCTACTTGCAAATCGGAGAATAGAACGACTAGAGAGGAGTACTTCCAACAGTTGAGTTACTTCTATACCGGTGTAAAATCCAGGGTAGAACTACTTCTAACAAACTTGCACAAGGACTGACTGTCAACCGAACTACCTGCCCCACTTGAACTCCTGACCTAGAGATTCTCTTTCCTCATTGTCTTGCGCTAACCTAACGAAATTCACAAAGCAGACTTTTACTTAGTCTCCTAATCGGGACCTCGTTCACCACAACTACTCCAACACTACCCGTCTCCACAAACTATACTCCAAGACACTAGTTTAGACCGGTTACAAGGGACTTTGAGCACTTAGACTCTCACTAGACATCAGTCTATCACTTACATCTAAAAGATCCAACAAGAGAAAAGGTAACACAATTCAAGGCAAGCATGTACGATTAGTGCATTAGAAGGTGTAAGGTACACAAAGACAGGAAAGAGTGTCCATCATTGTCCCTTTAAATAATACCACCAGTTCTACTTTCTAAGATTTTCCAACCTCACAAAAACCGGAGGGGCAAAAAGTAGGTGGCGGCTACCCTAAATGCAAAGGCGGCCACGCTGTCTACTAAGTCCTGAAAAAGACCTACAAAAGCTACTACAAATTAAAATGCGACCACGCTAGGGTCGCCAAGCCTATCTAAAGTCTGACACGGCCGCCACAAATTCCGGTGCTGACTTGTCGCCGCTGAAAACCGGATCAACGCCTTGACTCCGCCTTTGCCGAAGCTTCCAGCTGGCTCCACGAGCCACGTGTTGAAATTTTATAAGCCACAGCTTCCTCCTTCTCCGATGGCTCCACCTCGTAGCATCATTTCTCTGGGTTATCCACACCTGCTGTGTGGCCATAGTTGAGCGCAGTTTGCTCTCGTGGTGAGATATCCACAGTTTTGAATAGAGTTCTCGGCCGCGGAGGTTCTGGACACGAAGTGGCAGGGTGTTCATACTTACCACAGTTTTGGCAAGGAAGTTGCAACATCCCTCCCGGTGCTGGGGTTGGTACTTGACAGTTGTTGGCGTAATGTCTTGGTCTACCGCACTTGTAGCAGTAGATGATTTTCTCTCCATATCCTGACGTATGTCCAATCGGTGCGCCGCATCCTCCCGAGCCGGTGTAGACTCGTGGTGTGGCAGTCATAGTCCTGGGAGGTTGGCCCCTGCCTCTCCCAAATCTTTGGATTTGGTATAGTGGGTGTGCTTCTTCTTTGCCCTCTTCGTCAGGTAGAGTATAGTATGCTCCGGTTTCAGGATCTACAAACTGAACAGTCCTTCGGGCGGCCGGTTGCATACACTCGCTGAGGTAATAGACCGCGCTCCTTATTACCTACCCTACGCCGGTTCTCCATCTCCAACCGGTAGGTCTAAGGATCTGAATAGGGAGGGCGCGCAACTCTAATCGCTTCAAACATCTAACAAAACCTAATTCAACTCTTCTACACCTATTCTTCTTTCTCCTATGCATTCTAAACTATTCCAAAACTCCAATTGAGTGTTCTTGGCACTCACAGGGTTTGACATTACCCCTTTTTCATCTCTAAGCATACTCGCAAACATAAATTCAATGATTACTCCCCGGAGGAATCCTCTTCCGAACTCCCTCCAAAAGCAGAAGCATCATGATATATATATACCTAATGTAGGCGACCAAACTCAACTATAAATAACTACAAATAAGGTTATTCTTTAACCAAAGTTAACATCAACATTATGAAGTAAATCAATTGATGAAACTTCATGCTAACACAAACTACTTATTGGGATCAATTTTTGTTTTATCTTATGAGACCTCACTGAGTGCGCACCGTAACCAAGTTCTAAAATATGTTCATGTACATATAAGAGGGTGAGGGTTTGTAGGTCTGCAAGTTTGTACCTAATCTTATGAGAAATCAAAATCACCAATCAGATTCCTTGGAAACATCATCATTACTCGTGGAACAATGGTAGGAAAGATTGTTATCTTTCCTACCGAGCGATACATTCCTTCTACCAACTTCATACCACAGCACCGATCTGCACAAATTCGAATAGCATTGTAATCATGTCAATTGCCGAATTGGGGCAGGAAGTGCTCCCCTCTAAAGGTGTTTCATTTGATGTTCAGCGGGTGAGACGCTGGTTTGGATTTATGTGCGGGGGAAAAGTAACGAAGGTGGAGATAGGAAGCAGCGAGTTTTCTGGTATGGACACAGAAAGCGTTTGGAGCAGATTGCTGATGCATACCCTCATGAAATAGTTCATCATTCAGACCCATGCGCGGGAAAGTCAGAATTACACCTGCACCTGGTTGATACTACATCTGGTGACCCGGAGATGGGAACCTACTGTGTAAAATGAAATGTGATGGGTACCTATAAGTAGATTGTGTTACGTGATGGGTCCCATCAAGTAATTACATCTACATGTATGGTACATTGTAATAGATTAAAAGGAATCTATTATTGTTTTCTTATGTATGTTAATGATACGAAGAAATACAGATTATGAAATTGATTAACCTTAAATATAGATGGAAGGAATAAATATTCTTTCATGAATCCAAAATATTGAAAAAATTTGCAAACTTCCCATACAAATTGAATATTTGTTGTTGAAAGATAAATTAATCATTTTGGATTAAATGATTATTGGAGAATCATCTTTTCATGTTCTTCGCTTTAGGATGTTCGCGATATCAACATCTGCTAACCACGATACCGAAACGAAGTACATATACCGAAAGCTTTGATTTCGACATCGTCGACAATGGTCTCTGTATATATGCCATGATCCAACTCTATCATTGTTGGAATATCTTCATTGGCCTTACCAGCAAAGAGATTAGGCATGCGAGACAAAGAAAAAGAAAAAACAAAGACAATTAATTCAATTTTCGCTCGATGAGCTGCAACTCAAGTGTCAAAACTTTTTCCCCATCCCACGAGTCTACTCCAAGTTGTCATGCATGTAGTTCTCGACCTTCTTCGAGATGCTTGTTCCCGACACAGCTGAGAACTTCCTTGCAAGCAAGATCCCAGCCTTCTACGTGACATTCTTTTTCGTCAGAACCAGTGCTCCAACCTTCGAATTTCCAGTCATTAATTTCTGCCAAAACATGAATGTCCTCTAGGTAACAAACATTAAATTAATGAAAACTCACCAACCGAACTCACTCAACTTCTCACCCTTTTCGTCTGGGCTACTCTTGCACTGTTCTAATCCGATTTCTCTACTATCGAGAAATTGGGCTCAATGAGTATCTATACCGCCTCTAATTTTTACTTGCTTGCACCAAACCATCTCTACCTCAACCAAAACGCCCACACTCTGCTGCGACAAATTTTGGGCTGCATACATACCAGCAGCTTCCCTTTGCCTTGTAGTTACTCTCGATAGATGCATTGTGCACGCATTCAATCAATGAAATGGCATTTACAGATTCAACCGAATTCCGCAAAGTACACACACAACACTCCATCAACATCATATCACATAATATTCACAAAGAATTGGGAGGATAAAAAATTTCTTTCTGCACCATCCTCCATACTGCCACTCACCAACAATGAAGGACCCTACACACTAGGGAGATGGTATGCCACTCATAGTACAGGACACAAATGTTCAAGCACAAGCATTCCTGGCTTCCTTACGGCCAGCCAGGAATGCTGGTGGGTTAACTCTTCCCGGGAAAAACACACACATTCGCAGACCCTCCGGACGAATGCATAGGTTCTGCCTGCATTCAACGCACATCTGAAAAAAATTCTGGTAAACGACAACTGAAGAATCCCTGAAATGGCGTTCAGTCTGAGGATCCCTCGCATAAAGATCATATGTGTACTTCATTGGGAGTATAGTACAACATCGTTCCTCTAGGCTGAAACCACCCATTACAAAGTAGTGTCCAGGTCTGCACCGTGTTTACTTACAAAAGCATTCTATATACATTTATAAGCACTGCAGGTTTTGCGGTATACTTCAAAACATATTTCCTAAAAATTAATTGTGGAATGCAGTAAAATTCCCAAGAGAGACAAATCCCTTGATCAACTTCGTTGACAAAAAATAGATAATGTGTGACATACGAAGTTTCCATTAGGTTCCATAGAATCAGTAAACAATGTCACGCACAACGAATGACAAGTAGGAAAAGCAGATGTATTTAAGACCATTGATCCTTCCCCACAAAGCACATGTGAAAATTTGCTCAATCTGAAGTTCTAAACATGTACTCATTTAAGTAAAAATGAGATCAATTATGCAGGTTTTTCTCCTTTAAGTAAATCTAACTATTCTTCGTGTCAACTGTGTTCCTAACAAAACGCTCATTCCATCTGAACAAACTAGTAAGATGACTCGACTTTGTAACTACAATAAAATACATGCTCTGTTTTACAATATGAATATTTCCCTATTGGCACTATTACCCCGCTGCTGTAACTCATTTGGGGGTAGCAAATTCATTCTACATTAAAACAATGTTTACTTTGTAATCACTCCGGTATAGCTGGCACTGCTTTGTTTATGTCCAGATAAGAGAGTCTACATGTTCCCAAAAGATGTTCGGGTAGTTCGTCTTCGGTGTTGGCCTACAATCAAAGATTCAACATGAAAAATTAATATACCCATGAGTCGAATAGACAAAATAAAAAAAACCCTACCAGTTTCAACCAAAACTGGAAAGTGAAGTTTCACTCAAAGCTTACCTGTATGAGAAAAGCCATTTCAATTACTAGCTTGCTAAGGTACCCCAGGACAAGATTCACCACACCCTTCGCGACAGATGAAGATCCGATATCTACATCCAGCTGAAAAATTGGAGTTTGGTAATGTGTTATTTTCTGGTACTTTAAAACAACTGCATGTCGCAATGATATTTCATTTTTCAGACTATTACATGGATCTGTGCTTACAGACTTGCAGAACAAGATACTGTGGAACTGAAACTATTCTGAAATGTAAAGAGAAAATTTTACCTCAATATAATTGCTCCCGGTGTGATAATTTATGGTTAAAGCTTGACCTATCAAACACGCTGTTTTCCCCACGCTCTGCTTGACTATCCAAGAACCCTGCATATCACATAACCATGATTTGTAAAAAAAAGTCTCCGTACAAAGCTCCTGAAATAACACTTGTTATGCAAATGTAATCTTCATGACAGAAACTGCCAAAGATAATACCTTGGCTATGTGGGGAATAAGTTTGAACCGTGAATTTCGTAATCTGTCATCTCCATTTACAAATTTTTCGAGTATAGGATCATCTTCTAGACGTCTGTGTGTCATGTAGTACAAAACTAAGGAGTAAGTTGTTGTCCCCGGGACCTGCACAAAAGAAAGCATTCATATGAGTTCCTCACACTCGGTCACTTCAACAGTTACGAAGGCTCAGATTTAGATAACTACGTGTACAGTTCAATTACAAAGAAATTACAGCTCCATGTCAGAAAGTCCTTAACATTTCCTCATCGAAGGACACAATCATATAATTTCTCATAATTATAGAAGCATACAAATCTTGCCTCAATCAACTCAAATGACTCACTTGAAGATTGATTATGAAAAAATATGGCGGACCACCTTTTCCAGGAGTTTTCTACACATCAATCCAAATGTAACCATCTTCGATGTTAGCTTTTCACAGTATAAAATAAAAAAACCTGATCTTTTTTTGAAAAGCCAAAGAAGTTAATACAATCAAGCATAAGACAGAGGATGACCTCGAAGACTGTAATGACGAAGAAAGTAGACGATACCTCTGTTTGTTTCAATTATCATCTACCTTTCCTCTATGTTAGTATATAATGTTCTTTGAAGTGAATAGGTTTACAAAGTGTTCCAAAGATTCAAGGTTACAGGAATGTAAATAGATAACGATTCCAACCGCAAAACATATCCAGCTATGACCCGTTATGGTACCTGAAACTTGGATGAAATAGTCTGCACTAAGTTACTTGGCCGACTGGCAAGATGATCCTCGCGCTTGTTGGACTTGAACCAATCAGCGGCTATAAACTGCATCCATGGTTGCTCTGCTTTAACCTTTAAACAAGGTACATTTTGTCACTCTTTAGAAGCATGCATAATACTTCGCCAACTTCAGACATCAAAATAAGTTCGAAACATATACAAAAACATTTATGTCATGATATATTATTCATATGAATACATATTACTGTAGCAAAAGCTACTGTCTAATGCCGGCAATGTTTAGGAAGCCATGTGAGGAAAGATCACCTTTCGATTATCTCGTAAGTACTGCTTGCCACGAATAAGAAACGTGTCTGCATCTGCAGTGTTCCAGCAGCTGCCCGTTACAGCATCTCCACCTCTCAAAAGAGTACCCTCTTTGCTAAGAACCTCCACTACGTCTTCATCATTCATTCCAACCTCATTGTGCTGTTTCTTTTGCACTGGTCCACATGTCCAAAACAAAGAGTGAGAGGCTTACTATAGATAGTAATTTGAAGAAGCTATAATATACGCGCGTTCACTATGTGCAAATTACTCTAAAGTGAAGGTTTACACCTAATAAATTGACCTAATTTATTATATATTTGAGGCTTCAAATCATATGCTGTGATTATGAAGTGACAGATCTACGGAATATGTCGCCGCTATTACTGCTTGTCTTGGGGATTCTTCTAGAAAGAACACCCTGTAGGCGACACAAAGTTGATAAAATTATGAATTGGAGGACAAGTAAACTAAGATACCTTTTGATAGCTTGAAACGAAGATGAACCATACCTGAAGATGCCAGATCGTGCAGGCGTTTGACGATGGTAGCTGCAGCAGAAAGCTTGGAACCCCCAGGAGACTAGACCAATAACCCAGTAAAATGAAAAATTTAGTTTTAAGATATATGAAGCTAAGGATTCACTATTCACGAAGACAAATACAACCGTAAAACATACAATAAATTTACCTTACAGTCCTTGTGTTTGTCATCCTCTTCAAGAATCCCTTCGACCTCCCTGTATCTTCTAGGCCCGTCGAAGTTCTCAGGATCCTTCCACCATGAAGCGTCCTCTTGTACATCATAAAACTCATCTCCATCTCCTAGTTGGAGAAATGGACTATTACCTTCACCAAGGTTACTTGGAGATTTGGCAGGCTCAGGAGACATGGCAAAGTTGAGCCCTCCGTCACCCCCTTTGCCTTCATGAGCAGATTTCACTGTACCGTTGGCATTGATCGCATCTTTTGCCAAAGTATCTGTAGAAGGCGAGGAGACCAGCATAGATACAGTTGACCTCGCTTTGTACAACTCTCTTATGGCTGCAAAAGGCAACATGTCACATAATGCATCTCAAACTCTTTTCCCATAACTTGAACCGGAAGCGCATGAACTCCTTTTCGGTACTACCAAAGCCAGATATAAAATCAGTTTGAGTAAGATTTTTCTTACTCAAACTGCTTTTATGACAGATACCTATAACTTTCATCAGAAGATGGCTTTATCGTTTTAAGGCAAAGATACGACAAATTACTAATGAAAACAGTTTCAAAATACCCAAAAGATGGTGGTAAACTCACCTGCGACTCGCTCCAGAACCCGAAGAGTGATATCTTGCGCACAAATTGGTTGCAAGCACGAGGACCATATCTTCCATTCAGCGGTTATCATATGTTTTACCAGAGAACGATTAAGTTGAGAACCATTGGACTGAAGCGGGGATATCACATAGCCACCACCTGTTAGATCCATATGTTAATAAAGTGAAATCCTCAGCCTAGAATGCAGTCTAATTCCGAAAGCATGTTATATGAGTGAGTACGAAAAGGTTACATCAGGCTAGTACTTTTTCGATAATAAATCGTCTACATCTCAATATTACTAGTCATGATTCTTGAATTTCGGTGTACATTTCTTCTTGACTTAGAGACAAACTGATGTGTGAGAGCAATCATGATCACGGAGCTCTCAAAGAGTCTTTCCAATGCAGAGAAAAGGGCCAGACGTCGCAAGAAACTCCTGAACAGACCTAACCATTGACTTCTAGGTTGACAGCCTGAGATCAGAAACTAAGAAGCTCTCAATTACGTACTTTTAAGTTTGGCTCGAACAAAACCTCGGCGTGGCGGGCATTTCGCATGTTTAACTGATCGATACAGAATGACTGCATACACAAAATATCGTCGCAGAGCATAAGAATCTAATGTTATATAGGTCATCCCAACTTCAATATTGTCTTCATTTTGGGTGGTAATTAGCTGTCTTCACAGTTCTCGCAGTGGCAGTTTGGAAACATGCTCAGCTTATTAAAACAATTGCAGTAGTTCGGATGACACCTGAAACACTGCACCCCATATTATATTGAATGGTATGCGATGTCCTATCTTTCTGACAACTACCAGGGTACCAGGGCACCAGCAAATGCCCGATTGTTTTGAAAGTAGATAGTACATTTTCTGAAAGTCTGATATGCAATATCCTCTCTGTCTACTGACTTTCTTACTTTAATTACATGAATGGACCTTTGTTCTTACGAATGCATTGTAATGGAAACATGATTTGTACGTTCTCGATTGCCACGATAACAAACGGTAGCTTGTACTTACCGTAAGAACCATCATCCTCTCGACGCCAGTACCGAAGGAGAACCAAGTCTCTAGGCTTCATACGCCTGCAGTACCACCACACGCAAATGACTTGAGATAGATAATACGGCTTCACAATAGTATAAGTGATGGATAAGTCTCATATAATAAATACTGGGAAAAGATGCCCTTGCACATACCAAGGGATCCAACGTGTATGAAACTGTTTGTGAATGACATCTGTATGCCCATCTATGTGTTCAATGACATTTCCTCGTAAATAACAGAAATCCCACCTGCAGAAAACAAAACAGTATAGAATATGAGGTTCTATTGTTGGCAAAAACCTGATCGTACGGTCGGAACGTTGAACAAAATATAACCGCTTAGAAAATTAAAGTGGAATTACAAAGAGAAAGATTTATAGAAAAGCCCTAACTACAGAGTACTAGCCCAGAGACATAAAATAAGCGGCCGAACTTACTCAGCTCGTGATTGTCCCAACGCCATCACTGTCTCAAAAATGGACTCACACGAAGCATTTACAACACCGACAGCCATCAATGCTGGCTGATCTTCCTTGAGCTGATCAAACACAAACAAAAAAGTTAAGTTCCCCAGGCTTCACCCAAAGCATTTGTGATAATCTAAAAAATGAATACAACCAGAACATAATGAGAAAGGTCAACCAAAGAGGAACCAGTCATATTTCGATTCAAGAAAGAAGGGCAAATTCTTAAGTTGATTAGTCAGAGTAACTGTGTGTGTACCATGTTCATTAACCCAAACCCCGGATGATCAGTTGTCTCGGTGAATATTCGCAAACCTGCCCACACAGTCAATGGCATTTCAAAGAATGAGGATCTCGAATGAACACATTTCTGTAGAATAGTAGGCATGTATATCCAAAAATACCGCACCCGGACAGCATATCAATGCAATACTCTACCACGAAGCGGATCATGCCTTACCGTTTTTACATCCTATTATACGCCATGGAGATGTCGCAACAACATCTGGAGATCCTTCTTTGAAAGACAAAGCCCCTGTCCAGTCTGGTACACCTACAAAGAGATGAGAAACTTGGATAAAGAAACAAAACTTCTAACCTATACTTGTATCAACTCAACATACCGCAAACGTGGAGCCTCCAAATGTAGTTCTTGAGACGTTGTCGCGACAAGACTTCTCAGAGGCAAAATTGAAACTACAATTTCGGAAATCATCTAACTCAAGATCAGATACGAGCAAAGTTTCAAATCTTCCATCAGCATCACTAGTTTCTTTAAATCAAAGACAACTGAAGCTTATGAGTGGTAGTCAAAACTCTCCACGTATAAATCGAAAAGCGAGCAAAAGTGCATTGTTACCTCCATCGTCCGGGGAAAACGCTTCTTGACTATTAGATGGATAACTGACTAGACCAGAGTTGCTTCTTCTCCTGCAATAAGAAAACTGAAGTGTGAAGATTTGAAAAGCCAAGGGTTATATGGAAAAACGGAATAATTTGCAAACATATGGATGTTTCAGATAACATGTCAGGAAGATCTACAAATACAAACGGGAGAGCTACTTTCAATCGCAACTCATGTTGTGCTGCCATTATAAGAGTGAAGACGATAATCACGACTTATCAACAAGTAAAATTACAGAATTTTGTAACTTATACACATAGCTAAAAGGTTATCAAAAGATTTCAAAGGTGCAATACCTGAAAGGAAGTCGTCTCTTCCCAGACGAAGGTACAAAAGCGCCAACTTTCCCTTTGGATGGACCCTGGAGGAAGCGGACAGGTAGGTACACCTTCTCAGAAATTTTTCATAAACCATACTCTGCGACATTTGAGCACATTTATAATTGTATATATCCTACAATCTCCCCTCATCCGGAGTAACCTTAAACACATCATCAAACTTGGCTGCAGCGAAACTTCGAACGTAAACATAATCTACACAGAAATATTTCTTAGAAATACACTCTGAAACTACTATTAAATTACCTGCTCGGCAGCCGCTTTGAAAGCATTCATCCATTTCGCAGCTTCTTCTGCGCTCCTGACGCCAAACTGTCAGCACAAGTGTCAGAAGAGTAAACTAAGGGGAGTGACCAATTTTCACCAGCATTTCAAATATATAGAGAGGACAATCTACAGTCGCCTCTCTTGTGAGGCTTACAACACACTGCCGATAAAAATATTTCTAACCTGGTCTGTTTTCTGATCATAAAAGTTGTCGTAAGAGAGCTAAGAGAAAAGCAAAGAGCAACTAGAGCTAAGCTAAGAGAAAAGATCTGCACCAATTCTCAGATGATAATGAACGGAAGATCACAATGAAGTGTGGAGTTTTTTTGCACCTTGAGCTGATTTTCATTATCAAAAGAATCATAGACAGTAAAAACAAAGAGCACCTGCAAAAACAAGAACAAGACTTCCCTTGAGAGTTAGAAGAAAGACACCGACATAGAGCAGGTATTGATGGCCCACGTCATCAATCCTAGAGAATATTCATGAGAATCTGGAGACTGAAAGTTGAATTGTAGATGCAAACAATGGGAATCAAGATTTATTGAAAGACGTAGCAAATTTTCTCCCCAGCGTCGCTTGCTTACTTGTATCAATATAACTTACTTGGCCATGTATAGACTCCCGTCCATTATCTGCAACTCGCGTATAAGGATCAATAATCCCTTTCCTTATCGGAACCTGGAAAAAAGGCCAAGCCATCAGCATCTGCAGCAAACCACCAAGTGTGCCAAGGTACTTCTGACAGAAACATATGGCACGGGAATAGCTGAACCGCTGCAACAGATCGCGTCACAAAGCTTACTGACAGTCACGAAGCCATTTGTAAATATTCTTCTGAGAAGACTGAGTTACAGAGGCAAAAGCAAAATCAAAAAGCAACTGTATTTAATGAGCAGGGAAGCATACTTAAGGAGAAATCTCCACAGCTTCGAAGTAAGACTGATCAGAAGTATGGTTTTATGAGTTCATATCTTATGATAAATAGATGAAAAGTAATTACAGTAAGTAGCTGATCAGATGGTATCATTGTGCTGGCAAATCTTCTTTCAAACTATCTGTCCAGGGTAAGCTTGGGGCTAAAGGCGAGTGAAAGAGAGCGTACGTTCGAACTAAAGAATCTGCACCCATCGATTTTCTCCCCGGAAAAGATTCACCCCCAAGCAGCCGGAACTCGGTCTTAAAAATATGCCATTCGCCTATGGGAAGTAAAATTTAAATAATGTCAAATTGGGAGTATGTTTCTCTATCAAGAGTCCTAAATTGATGTCTCTTGGAAGTCACTCGGCGGTTGAAAAGGATCCGGCTCTACTCTGCTACTACATTCGCTAGTCTACAAATTTCGATCCAAATATGACCAAGATTTAGAGAGATGGCTATGAGGTCTACAAGAAATATAATGAGATTATAATTCAAGCATTTCCTCGATTGGAGAAAGTTAAATATTTCCAAAGAAATGACCACATTTTAACACGTACGAAGGCTTCCTTAGGAGAGGATTCGGAAAGTTGTGCAGAAGCTTCGAAGGCCTTCGAGAAAAGTGTAAGTTTTCTAAACGCCGGTGCTGGAGTAAACTGAACACACGAAACTGCTTTTACCTTCTCCTGTTGGAAGTGGAAGTTCGAAGAACTTGAACTTCGTAACTGTAAGAACTACTCATCAAATTCAGAATTCTCTTGTAGCACTGAAACAGTGATAAGAAGAGGACGGTTGAGTTTCAACCAAGTGTTTCGCTCACTTCATAATTCCTTTCTCACTCCGGGTGATTCTCAAATTTCAGCTCCATATGCCTAAACACTTAGCTTCCAGCTGCCGAGTTGGCCAACTGATGAAGATTCATCCCTCTACTACTAACCCCATAACTACGATCCATAAACCCTGAAATCAAAAAGAAATATACTCGATGGCGAGCGTAACTTTTGTACGTGAAATCGAACGTGAATATCCGGAAATACCACGATAATTGACGAAATCGTCTGGTATTATAACAGCTATCCTACAGAAGTAACTACGAAGAACTACAGGAATCCTTCAAGTGAACAAATGTGACGTGGTTAAACCGAAAAAACAGACACGACGACAACGAGAAAGCTACGAACGGAATGTTAAATCGCAGGACGTCATCATCGCTGCCTGGGAAGATTCGGACATGAAACTATCAATCGCAATTTACACCATCAAAGAATCACCTGGCATATAACGACATCATGCACCTAACTAGAAGAAAATTTCTGAAAGAGCGCTCGAAATTGTTATTTCATATATATTGACCACATTAATCATATAGTAACCAAAGGATGAGCTCTTGCTGTGAAAATGTTCTGACCTCATCTTGATTTGAAGGCTTTGCTCTGTAGCACGATGCAATTCCCGATTCTAGAACGAAGTAGCGCTTGTGCGGAAACTGTCCTCGCAACCTCCTTGCTGCTATCAAGAACAGCCAACCTTCAACTCGCTTCACGTCACCACATTCATCAACTCTGCTGCCTCTCATCTTCCGCCCTGGAGTTTGAAAGAACCTGACGATCCGAAGAGAAGCAGAATCTGCTGTTCCTGCCCTGAGACTGGCCCTCCTCTGATCCGAACTCCTCACAACTCCATTCCCGTAATGTTGAAAGGTAGATTATGACCATTCAAGCCATGATTTTCCTCTTTGATCAGTCAGCTGAACTTACTCGAGGTACAGAATTTCGCGGCTAAATTCAATTCCTGCAGCGATTTGCTTGTCCATGACAAGCAGATTTCAAGAACCTGACATTCAAAAGAAGCTTGTTGTTCCTGACTACCCGCAATCCACGCAAATTCCAAAGGTCCCTTGTTGGGTCCGAATGTGCTAATTCGAGTAAAGATTCCTGTACAGCCGATCCGTCACGAAGCGTCCGCAGGCGAGCCTCAAAATTCGTAACCACACTTGCGGTATGTCCCCTTTGCACCCCCTATCGGCACTCTACATCGTCGCCCGGACTACGCACCGGACTTCACTCGGATCGGTTCGGTTTCGGCTCCCCATCACCGGTCGTCGCGACTTCCACTCGCTGGCCGCCTCCTTGCGTCGGCCCGGGCTTCACTCGCTCGTCATTCTTTGCGGAGAAATTCAGCCCACGGGGCAGCTCGACGAGTCAGGCTACAACAACGAGCACACCACGCAGAAGCTTAGAATACCAAAAATATCACGCATTCGGCCGACGACGCCAGAGCAAAGCGTCAAAGCCGGCTCCGCGGCCTGGTTGGTGCGAACAATTGCCCGGAAGCTCGACCAGTATTCTACCAACGAGCTAACGAGAGTCGTGCTGCTGCGGCCGCTGCCATGCATGCACTTGTCGATGGGCCGTGCTCGAGATGTGGCACTCACGCAAAGACAGATCGCCTCTCGCCCCGCCCTGCGCCCAGCCCGGTGCGCAGATCCCGCCCGCTCCGATGCCACCAGCGAAAGGAAGGGAAGGCAGGGCCACGGGACGGGACGGGGAGCCGCATAAGCAGCAGCAGCAGCAGCAGCGTCGCTCAAAGCTCGTCCCGCCCCCTTCCTTCCTTCCTTCTCCCCTCCCCCTAACAGCATTCGATTGCCCACCTCCCACTCCCTCTCCGCTCGCGCGAGCACCTTCCGCTCATCATTCGCTTCGTTCGACCCCTCGGAGCCCGGCCCCGCTCCACTTTTCGGCCGTTTCACGTGACGCGACGGCTGCCGCCGGACGCGCTTTCGCCCTCGTCCTCGTCCACGTCCGGCCGCCCGCTTTCTCGACGCAGAGCGGCGCAACGGGTCGGAGCCGGAGGAGGGGAGTCGCCGGATGTTCGCCTCCGGCTCTCCCTCGCTGCCTATCCGGGCGTGCGTCCGGCGCGTTGCCTGAACCCTGTGGCGTTCTGGCGAGTGATGATGACTGTGTAGGTGTCCGCTGTACTGTATATTTTATTTCTGTCGCGTATTCTTTCTCGGTTTTCAAAATTTGAAATTTGTCCCGGCAGAGTGAGTGGAAGGCACGACGGAGTCACCGAGCGGACGGGGAGGGCCGAGCGGACCGGACCCTTGTCCGTTCCTCCGGCGGCTGTGCTCTTTTATGACCGACAGGCCTGCTGACTGGCTGACCGACTGCTGGGCACTGACTCGACTGAGCGACTGACGTCGGGCGACGACGACGGAGGTGATGATGCCAGTGGTTTGTCGTCGGTGGGTCGGTCGTTGACAGCAGGAGCTCACTAACCCTATCGTGTCTTTCTTGTTAAATTCCCTCCCCTCTCTCGGCACATGAGTGTCGTGTCTGGAAACACATGTCAGGGCGCGACTGAGAGTCGTACCTGGATGCCATTATTTAACCGCCGCACGCCTGGATATTTATTACGTGTTTTGTGGATCCCAGGCGAAAATTCCTTCCTTCCTTCGCAATCGTAATGCTTTTCGTTCTTTTCTCCTGTGGTGTCGCATTGAATTGCTCTCGCAGTTATGCCGAATACGATATGTTTTCTGGACCCCATGTTTAGCAACGCGAACTCAAGAGTATCTCGAATTACATCTTCCGAGAGTTTTTCCTTCACACTTTCCAACCGCATATGAAATATATAATCACTCCTCTGTACAACAGCGGGGTATTTTTTACGATATTCTGTAATTTATAACTCTTTCACTTGCATAATTCAATGCTCACCTAATCAAGATTATCCATTTCCTACCTCGATAATATGGAGGACTGGCCATGTGAATACTTTGTTTAATTTATTTTTCTATTTTACTTGGTGACCACTCGGGGTTTGAGGATTCTTATCATGTTCGCGAGCCAGGAAGGTATATATATATATATTGTACGTATGTTTTGCGAGGTCTTGATTTTAGATACTGTGACGGTATTTATGGGGAGAGACTAGTTATAATTCGAATAGTACTAACTTCACCCTAACTAGTATTAACCCTCACCCTATTATTAATTATACGTGAATGGTGTAATATATTATAGTTTCTATTTATTTCTATTACCCTGAATATACCAATAACAAAACGGTTTATAGTAAAATGAAAACTAATTAAGGCTAAGTGAATGATAACTAACCGCTCTCCAATTATGGGTGTTAAATTATATCATTATAATATCTCTTTCGGATACTTGTACACTGCCGGATGAACTTTTGTTCCAGATGTTATTCGTTACTACGTTTAAGATGGAAACATAATAACCTTTCGCAGCTTTTGTAGACTGCTTGTACACAATCTATCATTACGGGTTTCAATATCGACCTTAAATTACAGGACGGGAAGCGCACATTTCTGAATACCCATCTCCCGTTGCAAAATGCATAGATGGATGTGGCAATTATTTCAAAATCCCATAATTGAGAACAAATATATATAGACAATGAACAAAAACTGTACATAATCCATAAAATATTTAGGTGTATATCGGCAGTATACAGTAATTAGTATTTCCTTGAACATTGAACAGGTTGTGTGTAATCCTTGTAACATGATATTACCTTTTGTAATATGGGGTATATAGGTTCTAATACCTTTTTGTAGCTAGTATCTGCAAATTGAAGGGTTCTATTGCAAAAAGATACAATTTAATCTTCTATAATAGACACAGAGCACTTTGAAGTACTCTTATTTTAAACTTTGCACTTACATTCTTGTCACGTTTGAGATGATAATCATGGTTTCTTTGATCACATCACCTTATATAAAACTTTGAGTTACGAGAGATTTGAAACTGATATACATGTAATTTCCATATATGTATGAAATAAAGTAGTTATTGTTGATGAAGAAGAATTGACTATAGCAACTTGGCTCGTTATGAACTCTATAAACCTTTGTTGTCTTTTTCTTTTTTTTTATCTGTGATTGGACATACTTTCATGCTTAAACATTCTTTGAAGTGAAATCCATACTAGACATGTGAATGGTTGCACAAATATTCTTATAGCATGAGAGACGCTTGATTCATCAACTGGACTAGAGATATATTTGTATACATTGATGAATCAAATACTTTAACAAGAACTAGATTCATTATTATCAAATTTATCATTTTTCGTATTTTAAGGCTCATACATCCCCTTACTTTGCAATTTGTATGTATCTGATCTTATTTCAATAATGTATAGATATGAACAACTATCCTAAATTTTATATTAAAAATATAAACCTTTTGGATTCGTTTATCCATCTACATTTCACTCTTCACAAGTGTGGTACTAATTTAGATATTATTAATGGTTTACATTATTCTCATCGAATGGCATAATATATCCACTATGATGTAATTAGGAATAAAAAAATTTATGATGACATGTGATAATCATATGTCTCATGAACTTGTGTTTGCGGATGGAAATTTCACATATAATCTTAGCTGAAACACCTTACATATAACTAAGTTGAGAATTGATATATAATTTTTAACTCTTAGATAAAATATGGTTATCAAAATTATGAGTCAATTTCAAGAGGTAGCTTGTACATCGCTTGATAAATTATGAACTCTAACTACATATACTTTGGGTATCTTTCATTTAAAAATTAGAATGGTAAAAATTAAAAGTAAGTTCATAATTTTCCAGAGAGAGAGAATTGTTGGGTCTGCTAAAAATGAATAAATATTTTGAAAACTAAATTAAATATACTAAATCCAATTGACGGAAGATCAGAAATCAAACCAAGAGTTTTTGTTGGATCTTGATGATTGAATTCTCAATTTTATCGGACAAATGTATCAACCTTATATAAATATGTTCCTTTGCGTGAAATTGGAAATATGCTTGTAAATAGAGAATATTTGAATTTATATTTTAAAATTAAGATATATTTTTAGCTTAGATCTTACAGAATTAAATCTTCAGAAAAGTTTCATTTTGCTTCGTTCCAAACCTTCTGGTTCTTACTCAAAATTCTTGTTAAGATGATGTCATTAAAAATAACCATGATCAAGAAACCAAAGGCCGTAAAGTGAGAAAAAATGTATGTGAAACGGAGGAAAACCTTCAAAGACACTTGCAATTAAGTTAATTGGTACACGGTTCGGTGGATTAAAGGGATCTAGCTTTGACACTTGCATAACTGATTGGACTGAAAGGACGAGTCCAAGTGGGCAATTTAATTATTTTGATGGCATGTTAATTTCACAATTTCAGTTGGATTAGATCGAACTTGGGCAACGAAATCATATCTACCATATGTTTTCGTTGTAGTCTGACATTCTCAAACCTAGATCCCAATCAGTATGCTCATGTACATTATAATATTTCACAAGGGGGGTGAAAGCTGCCACTAATGATAGTGCAAATACAAATGGGAACAAATGAATATCCGAGAGGAATGCAATAAATTACCTTCAAGCCAGTTGCCATCTAAAGATAGAAGAACCAAGTAAAGGCCCACAAGGTAACCAACCCGTCCCAGCGGCCATCCTGTTTCACCGGAGAATATCCTGCTCAGAAAACTCCATGACCTCCTATAGGGGCCATATTAAAAATGGGAAGTCACCCCAAGCTTGCTAGACCTACGTCTTCACCTTTCACCGGAAAATGTGGACTTCATAATATGACGTGAAATATCTACTTGAAGACCATGTAGCAAAGGTAGACGAGCTCACCGAACAGCCAGGCAGTGTGGGTAGGCAGTTCAGTTCAGTGCCGGTGGAAACCTGCGAGTGTAGTTGTCACTCTCATCCCCTCCCCTCCCCTCACCGTTGCTCAGGAATAGATCGAAAAGGAAGAGTGTGTTTGAAGACTAGATCGAGACGGAATGAGGGGAGGGTTTAGAAGGGAAGGTGGCTGGACGCTGGCCGGTGGCTGCGCTGCACTGGGCTGGGCTGGGCTGGATGGATTATGATCCTTAAAATATTGTAGCTGTAAAGGCGTGAGTGGAACGAGATCTGCCCACTGCGAACTGCACTGGTCGCAAGGTGGGTGGTGGGGGGGCGCAATCTACACTATATACAGCAGTAGCTCCTGCAGCTGGCGAGCTGTGCAGCTACTGCACATACTGGACCCAGATCCTTTTCAGCTCAGCTCCACGCATCCTAGATCCGTCCTATGCTCCGCAAACCAACCCTCCCCATTTCGAACGTGGTGCACTCGAACACGCCGAAGCTTTTCCAGCAGCCGAGAATGTCTTCCCACTTGCACTGCGCAGTTTTGTATTGCGGGATCGGACACGAGTACGTATCCGACGGACTACGTACATCGATGGCTTGGAGAGCAATTTCGATCATTTCTTGGAAAAGAGTTGCGCAGAAGCTCACATGGCTGGCTCTGTCATCGTCCTCCCGTCCTCCCGTCCGCCTCTCCCTCCCTCCCTCCCTCCCTCTCGCCTGACTGCTGCCTCCGTGGCGTTGCACAGCAGATGGAGTAGGTGCTGCGAGGCACGTTCTGCAGCCACCTGTCCCGCCACGCCACGCCATTCCACTCCGAGCCAAGCCAAGCCAAGCCGAGCCAAAGTGCCTTTGGTGTCTCCGTCTGATGGGCAAAGGCGGATTCACTGACGACGTGGATTATCTGACTCAAAAGTACACATGTACCTACTGCACAGCAGCATGTCTGATCCTTCGATAGCACCTCATGGCAAATTGCAGCGCGGTTCCTTGCGCCGTGGCTCGAGCTCGCTTCCCAGATTACATCGCAACCTTATCATTGCCGCAGGGCGTCGAGGGAGGGACGGATAGTCGGCTGATCCGAGCGTCCGTCCGGGGATGTCACCGATCCGGGTGCAGGTGTGCATTCCCGCTGCCACCAGCGCTGTGTTGGATAGATGACACATTATCTATGTCTCGCATTGTGAGATTGGCGTTTTTGAGATCCAGACAACAACAACTCTTGTATGTGGCAGTCGGATTCTTATCCTCGCCCAATTCTTCGTTACAACTGTTGCTGGCTGGGCTGGGCTAATCTAATCTAGTCTAATGTGAGGGTGGGCGTACCTCACCTCGCCTCGTCTCGTCGTTTGCGTAGCTTGACTTCGCCAACAGAGTCCGCTCCCTTAGGACATGAGCTAGCCAACAATAATGTACTTCATGTACATCCCTTCGTCATGATGTCGGATGGGAACCGCTCAAAACTGTTGATCGATCATGGAGGCCCGCCGGCAGTCCATAGATTGTTCGCCGAGCATTGGATCTCATCCTTGTGGTCACCGTATGCGTCCGTTCCGCAAGCGAACTGTGTTGCACATTTTCTCCTTACTTGTTTTCTGAGCGTCTTCTGTGAAACGGATTGGAGGCACGATCGGTTCAAATCGGTATGTGGATTTTCAATGTCCCAGCGTTGTTGCAACATCTCCCAATTTCACTGCTGTAAATCCCATCGGCCTTCATGGCGATATGTCTTCTGCTTGTCTGGATGATTTTGTTTGTTTTTAACAGCTTAGCTCACCTTGAAGTCCGGACATCAGCACATAATGGAAAGTTGGATAGTGCAAAAATTACTGTAGAATGCGTCAGATCGAGGGCCTGCCCTGTTCGTGATCAAGCGAACTCTTATCTCCCTCATCGCAGATTTAGTCATCTCGATCGTAGCGAACGATATGTAGTATGTTACTGTTAAATTCCTTGAACTAGTGAACAGCGTACATGAAGACAGTCGTCTATTGTGGACGCGAGTTCTTCGGTCAAGATTGTGGAGAATGTGAATTTTATAAATCTCGTCTGATGCAGTACGTAAGGTGACTCCCTACTGTATTCTGTACGAGGGTCACTTTGGACTTGGGATGTGGAGAGAAGGCTTGTGACGAGGGGCGACGTGATGAGTCTGTGGCCTTTGACTGCTGACGTGTAGTGTGTTGCACAGTCGACCATCTCTGAGGGCAACATCGAATTAGTGCCAAATATTCTTTGAGAGCCTAAAAGTCGAATTGCTACTTGCAAAGGAAAGAGTATGTGCAATATCGGTTAGTTCGAATTTATGTAACATGCTACAGTGCACAGACTATATGCCCAGTAGCAAAGCCATATTCGATACGGTTGCAATGCATTCGCAGGTATAAGGTAAGTTGATCAGTAGTGTCTTACATAAGAAAAGTAGATTTAGGATTAACGCAGGAGGTTTCCTGATCGTTATATTTTTTGAAACTGACGGTAATGTGCACTATATTTTTTCTATGAGGTGTATTTTTTAGGTAATTTGTTAGAGTAAACACTCCATGCAAGGCTTAGGGTCAAATTCTCAAGTAGAATTCTTCAAATTACTCAACCTGTAATTAACCAATGGCGATCGAGAAGTTTATGTTTCAATCTCAGCTTCACCTGGGTATTTCTCTGTTCTTATTTGGCAACTGCATAATCTACGTGCAGTCTGCAGGATGTAAGTTACAAAAACTACAAAAACTAAGTATGAATGAAATAGGTCTGTCTTCTATCATTTATTTCTGGACAAAGTTGTGTAGTTTCGGCGCTAAAGCAAATCTTCCATCCATATTTTACCGTAGATTGTCTACGTGAACTAGATAAGTATGATGCTAAACAATAGCTTCGTGTCGAAACTTACCTCTGGCGTTAAATTTGAAGTGTTAGTATTTAGTAGCAGACATAGACGTTAATATGAAAATATGCTCTTCTATTCTTTGTTACAAATCGAAAGTTTCCACTCCATCGTGCACATTGTAAACGAGTATGATAGAACGAATAGGATGAGGGAATGAAGCTGATGGACAGTATGGAACAGCTGTAACTATGTATATAAGTATATATACATATGTTTAGCACATGTGCAAAGGACATGTAGGTACATGAGTGACAAATATTGGCAAACATAGGTTACAACTACGCATGGTGGTTAGAACAACGTAACAGATCTTTTCCTTTTGGTGCGTAAGCACACACAAAGAGGCTTTTATTCCTCTAAGTTGCACACGTCAATTATCATCATCTGTAAATAAGATAGGGCAAATAATTATTAACAAATGTCCCATTAAAAAATATCCCATACTTCAGTTAAAGACCTAGCATAAACTGCTGTTGTTTACTTTTCGTAGGAAACCTTTCGCAGGTAACTGAGGTATTTGGGGCGACGTCAGGGCACAATCCTAAAAATGGATATTATTTTCCTTTCAGGTCCACGCAATTTTCTACTGTTCCAATGCTTGACATTCGTCCGAATGCGGTAAAATTCGACCCCAGTTTTTACTTTGAGGATCGTACGACGGATTTTCAGGATATTGACAAGTCCAAAGAAGAAATTCGTTTAGTCTGACCACCCGCTCCTTTTGCGTCAAATTCAACGTCCAGTTCGGCATGAATTGAGGTCGATCTGTCAGTTCTGTAGCATAAGTGTGAATCCTCTTGATGCGCTCGACGCGCACTTCTTCGAACCTGCATGATGACTTTTAGGTGAGTAATGTCCGTTTAAATCGCTAGGTTTCGGTCGAAAACCTCAGCATTTTACTCATGTCTATTACTTCGCTTCTCGCCAGGCGATGACAATATACAATCAATGATTTGTTCATATACTAAACAAGATTATCGAGGACAAACAGACAAATATAAACAAATATAAACTCCACGCCTTGCAAGGTTTGCATGTGGATTCTAAACTGGATAAACCTTAGAAATTATATCCTCCCCACAGATTTCGCTTGACTGGAAGTCGATCTTTCACATTGCGCGCATCTCATCACGTGTTCACAGCCACGGTGTGGACATTAGACACGGCTGGCACTTCGGGAGTATAGTGATAAGCGTGAGCTTACCGATAGGAGGGGTAAGGGATAAATTATTCTACAAATTAGTCAAAGAGGAATCCGGGGATGCCGACAACACACCTTGAGACAGCTTCGGATATGGCTGTCGACGGATCTTGCGCCTGGAAAGCTTCTTCAAGAAATAAAGTCAACTGGTGAGCGTCTTCGAAGGCAGTCCGAGCACCCATTCCCAAAGCTGAGTACATACCATGTGCAGCTGAAGACAGCAACAAGTTCATTACCCCTCGTTAGGACGCACATTATTACATTCCCAAATCATAGGACTAAGCATATCTACTTCAGTGACCAGTGCTTCGTTCCTCTAGCCAACAGATGTGCACATTTTCATCGCCCTGTAGCTGCCAGCTACAGGTAAGGTGGGTGGCGAACGATCAATGTTCGAAACCAAATTCAACACCCAAATCTCCATTTCTTATGTCGTAGATCTACAAGAACCAATTTTAGAAACATGCACGAAACTGAAGTACTGTTGATGTTTTCTTTCTCCTTAAGACTCTCTTGTCGCCATGGAACTTTTATACGCTCTGACAGGCATTACAGCCACTTCCATTGACGTGCGGTCGTTGCGTGCTACGACCGCACGTCAATTAGGAGCGCGATTAAGAGATTTCTGTCCACTGCAGGAAACTTTCCCAAATTAGATGATTTCACTTTGTGTGCACAATGTACTGACAGTTTTCTTTTATACCTTCAAGACACGCTCCTCGAAACGGGGAGTGTGGAACAGGCATCTTCATACAAACTGGAGACAAGGCTGGTAGGTGTCAACAAAGATCAACATACCGTCCCCAACGAGCACGGCATGACCATTACAATCACTCCACTTGTCGAGAGGTGCACGGTCCATGGACCTCCGCTCGTATATAAGCTCGGGATCAGTAGCCTCTATAGCGCCTCGCAGGTCCTCCCACCCAGGAATATTCAGATGCCTCAGCGCACGCTCTTTACACACGGCCGCATCTTTCTTTCCGCTAGAACGGTCCAAGAAATCTGCTGCCAAGCTCCCGTCCTCGTCGAGAATCCTTAATAACCAGAGTACATATCCATGGCCTGGAATAAACGACAGAGAAAATTGTCGTTCGATATAGTGGGTCAGTGATGTAAAATCAAACATCGGTCCCTGACCTACGATCCTGTCCTCGATGATAGCTAACAGGAGCGTGTGAAACTTTGTATATTCTCACCTACAACATCCACTTTCAGCCACACAGCACAATGTACAAGACGTACCCAAGTCACTAATATAGCCGACAATATTCGAGTCTGCGCTGTGTAACATGTGGACCTCGCCTTCAGCGTACTTAAATACTCTGCACATCGACATGGCATGCACTTCAAAACACAATCAAGAGCAGCCGCCCCACGACGTTCAATTTCATAGGGACTAATCCAGTCAAACTTAGATGCCTATGAAAGTTGCTTTGCTCTTACAGACCTCGTCATCATTATTCAGCAGTTTAAGTGTCAACCATCAGCGATCTGTCGTCCCTCCACGTCGTTCGGAACACAATTTCGAGTGGAGGGAAGGCGGGAAGTTGTTAGAGGCTAATTTGGGAATAACGTACGGCCAGTTCAGAGGTCTATCATTCAGTCCCCCAGAAGCATGGGAAATCGAGCTAAACGTGCTTCGTAGATAGTTCCGGCACGAGGAGACGCAATAATCTAGACATTCCGTTCACCGGGAGACTTGTATTACGTACAAACGACTAGCAATCTGGGGACACACAGGAAATCTGAGCACAGCTTGCGGGTCTATGGCTTGGAAGTCGTTTTCTGTGGAGCTGACACACAAAAGTCAAGGCACTGTGCTAACTTGGTACTTACTTCCCGCCGGGGTTGTAGATCATCGCGTTCCAGTTCACGAAGTTGAGGTAACGGGGAGTGTCACCGATCATCTGCTTGCGCATGTTAGACCACAGTCCGTCAGCTCCGATCAAAACTTTAGCTCTGACGACACGGGTTTCATGACCGCCCTCTGTGGCAACCAGATACTCGGCATCGACCCCACGTCCATCCTGATAAACATTTAACACGATGAAAGTTGTCAGGTGAGGGTGAGGGTGAGGAAGGAACAGGGCTCATGCGCAAGCGCTGCTGTGGAAGTAGAAACGAGGGGGGTGAAAACGGTGTCCATGAGAAATGAGGTGGAATTTTTGCAGCAGCGTGTCTGCATTTAGCCGGATGGATTATGAATAGTATCTGCATGTGCAAAAGTGGATATCTGAACTCAGAAGAAGCAACTTGACAAATGGGAGTAAAGATATTACCTCCGTTGGCTTGTAACTCATGAACCGGTGATTGCAGTGGATGCGGGAGGCTTCAAGCTTGCTGGCCAGGAGCTCTTGCGAAAAGCGCCATCCGATCATGAAAAACTCTCCCTTCTTGTGATCGACGGGAATCGTAATCTGTGGTTTGCCTTCTATGCGTACAATGTGCTTCACGTCGGACTCGAGCCCGAGATCATACATCTCCTTCGATAGGCCGGGTTTCAGACCTTCCACGGCGCGCATCCCTGCCTCACACGCAGCCAGTGCTCTGAGTCAGAAATCTGTGAAGCCTGGTGGAGTGACCGGGTCCACGACGTACAGACGATATGCCGAGCCATACGATAAAACAAATTCATACACTTGGCTGCATCCATGGTGGCCCGGGGGCTCAGACTAAAGCCGGGGACACTCACCATTTAGAGCCATGGAGATAGCGGTGGCAGAGTCCGTGCGCAGAGCAGGGGCTTTCTCAAATACATGGGCGTCGATTCCACGTTCCTGAAGCCCGACGGCGAGGGCCAGCCCACACAGACCTCCTCCCGCAATGGCGACGTCCACATCGAGCCGGTCCATGGTATGGTCTATTCTCTTTCTTCGATAGATGGACAAACAGACAGACGCTCACAGCTTCTTACAATCACCTTCTCTCCAATCTTCACAGCTCTTCTCTTCAAGTTCAAGGGCTCTGCACGCACAGACGACAATGCAATGCAATGACAGTTCGGGAGGATCAGCACGGACAATACTTACAGCTCATTATCTCACGTGGCTCTCGCAGTACGAGCGAACCGTGGTCACGGGGAACGCTAAGCTGCAACACTTGCATGACATTGATCACAATAACATCGAATCTCGCGATCGTCGTGCATGTTCCTCTCATGACGATGTTCGCACGTAAAGATACGGTACCGACGGCATTGTGGATAAAGACTCTGGGTACATCCTTCTCGTGAGTTTAAGGCTCGAACTCCGGACAGCTCCGACGTCTCGTCACCCGGAAAAACTGAGATCTACTTTGACAAACGGTTCACAACGAATCTTGATTGTCGCCGATCAGAGTGAAGGGAGGGTTTGTCTGGCTTAGACGAGTCATCCCAGTGCACACAGCCTGGGATTTCTCTTCTAAGGCTGCACAGACGACGTGGACTCTATTCTATATGACGTCGTCTGTTCGTAGACGACGTGGACTCATTGTAATTGACTGTTGCACTGCCGCCGTTTGGCAGCCGCGTACATCATCGTGCATGGGCACAGCCTTTGCAGTCCACTGTGACTCAGACGGCTGATTCAAAATTGTGACAAATCTGCATCAGGGAGCTAGAGGGGGAAATCGTTCTATGTAGACCACTTACCGTCTCGCTCGATTGTTCGCTCGATCGTTGTTGGCTGGGCGTATTTCTGTTCTCCAACGTCACTACGTAGTGTCCAATTCTTCCGAGTGTTGCGCTTGAGAGCTGCGTGTGCTCTCGGTCTATATATGTGTACCAAGAATCTGCTACCGACAAAAGAATGCTCTTTGCAGACGTCTTTAGACTACGCACACTACACGAGCTACGATTGGTTCTGATGTAAACATCGGAACTAGATTCCACTGGATTGGAAACTTCAATCCTACGGTTTGATGAAGGTCCACCTTTCCTACGCATTGTTCCGACCTGCATGTCTTGCACCTGTAAATTAAATTGATACTGGTTTTGAACTTAATATAGCCAATTTTCGATCACCTCTAAATCATGAGAAGTTGCAATAGTTACATGCGTGTAACATATCATGTTTGAATGAAAAATGACATACGTATATGAGAGACTTATACTATATAATCAGTCATGGTTACTTTAGGCGACTCTGTAAGGCGGCGCCTAAATGGCGGCGCTTTTCAGAGTGTATTATTTTAGGGTTTATTGTGTCAGACACAACCAATGGGAAGTGGCGTGGGTCCCATTATATAGTATAATATACTATAATAAGTAACATGGTTGACAAACTAAAGTAACATGCAAGTGAATATTATGCTTTAAAATTAAAATCAAGCGACAAAATTTTACTGTATAAATTTGATAGATCATCTAAAAAGTTGATTTCAGTTTGTCCAAGTTACCATCATTACGACATTCCATCGAGAAGCATGTATCAGATTTGGATGAATGAAAACCTGCGTGGCAAGTATTTTACTGGAGCACCGTTCCATGCAACGCACTGCATTGTTTCTCCCTAATACATCCCACCTTCTGAGCTTCCCGAGTTCGAGACACAAGGATGTCTTTTGGCAATGTGAGGTATTGTTTTTTTGGGCTGCGATGTCGTCCAGAGTCGTACTCGTTCTATGCAATCGGGCATATTCCAGGTTCTTCATTCATCACACACTCACAGAACCATTCATTCCAGACGAGAGAACCGAACCAGATACTTCAGTGGAGTAAAGTCTGAAACCGAGGGGAAGGTCGAGGACATATTTGTGGCTACGTGTCTCCATGTCCACATTTGTACGGATTCTGTCTGCTCATGGCACCGAGGTGGGGAATAGGCTACCGCAGGCAACACGAGTGTGGTCCATACATCGTACGCAGTCAAATGGTGACTCACTCATCCTCCCATAAATGACCCCACGTCGTATCAGACAGGAAATAGTAAAATTTTAAAAGATCCATAATAAATAAGTGTAGATGTCTAATGTGGATGAATTGTGTACAGTAATACAAAGTCCAACTTTACAAAAAATATTACAGTATTGAAACTTTAGCAATACTGTAATATCAACTTTATAACTTAGATAAAATAATATAAAATATGAATACACTTTTCAAAAAAGTTAGGGGAGGGCTAGTTATCCATCATTTAGGGTTAATTAGCCCTCACCCTAGGGTAATATACTTCATTTTTCTCCCTGTCGATTCAAAACTTTTCAAGATCGACAAAACATATATAACTTTTCAAGATCGACAAAACATATATGTATAACCATCTCATACATAGCAATTCTTTTTATCCTATTCACATTTTAGAAACACATAAATATATGGATTATTTGAAAGATGCAACCTCATCCATCGAAACGATATACATTAAGAAATACGAGTCCAAATCTTCATGACACAGATTAGATCGGTCAAATGCTTTCCATACAAATTATGGTTATTAAATTGTTGATACATACAGCCGCAATATTTATTTCGAATCCAACAAATGAGGAAAACCCAATCATCAATCTTCATCATCAACTCTACTAACTTGTAAATATCAAGCTGTCATGTCTTTTCTTCATGCGCTCATTTTTCACAAAGTATTATCGTAAAAGTGAATTTTCGCATTAGAAAATTATATTGTTCGTATATTATTGCATTATTTCATTTTGAATGTTATTAAGCTTTACATGTGTGAATTTTGAATGAAAATATTCAAACCATCACGATATTCAAGTTTACAACATACTTTTTGTTGTAGATCATCTTCAAAGATACAAGGAAATAATTTTTTTATCGCCATTTATCTCACTTCAAGAAGGATATCAATAACACCCGCATTAACTACTAATATGAATTTCTCAATAAACAAACTCAAATTTACATCTAAGATTGCAAACTCGTTATTTCCACTTAACACCTTGCAATGTAAAATATTGTCTAAGATAAAAAAATATATTATATATGTTAACTTGACGAAAAAACATTCACCATGCCATACTAAATTAGTAATTGAAACAAGGATATAACATAATGTATATTATAGCTAAAATAAATTAAATTTTTTTAATTTAAATGGAATAGAATATGCATATTGAGATCTATGGAGTTTCGAACTAATTGCATGGACGGAAGGGAGATTTCCGAAATCAGGAGGAGACTGCATTCGGTCCACGAAAGTAGATCTTTAGGAAGATAAGGAGAGTCAGTAAGCTTGTTGAGCAGCCATTAGATTGGATGGACAGGAAAAGGACAAGCATAACATGGATAACAAAGTGTGATTAAATTTACGCCTTCGAGCTTTGTCTGACCCGAGCTCGGACAAAAAGAGCTGGGCAAAGACGTCACTCGTGTGTTCTTATGGAGTTCAGGTCACGTTCATGCTCCACATTCGTCAAGGAATATCGATGTCGCATCTTCGCTTCTTTTGAAATTCAAGACTCCTACAGAAAGCTCTGACCTCAACGAACAGACTCCAGAAAGTTCACGTGTATGAGAATTGGCCTTTGAATTGCAACCTCAAATTGAACTAATTATAGACATTACTGAGAGGGAGTGGTTTTTGCCGGAGCTCACATTTACATCGCTTGACCTTCATTCAAAGCATTGCACTGAACAAATAGCATACAGATGTATTCCACGAACATGGGCATGAGTCGAGAAAAGGTGGTCCTTTCCAATCGGTATAACACAAATTGCGAAAATGTACGGTGGAAAACTGTTTTGAAATTCATTTTCAATCTGTACTAGATATTTTGAATAACACTTCAGGACTTTTTTGGATATTTATATAAAAATCGGCTATTTGTAGTATGAAATTGACATTTCAAGCAATATGTATTTCCAAGCATTAAAATTAGAGATACTTGCTTTATACCCACGAGATAATACTCATTAACAAAAATTCTACAAAGCTGAAATTAAGAGCTATCACCATATTTTTTATAATGATAGATATTGGTTTAACTAACCATGATTAAAAGAGATGGAATCAATTAATACTTGAGTTAATTTCATATAGTATTTCTTGAATTCTATATTATAATACAAAATTTTGTACATAGATAATTTCTTAGATTTATTAATTTCGTCATGGAAAGAAATTTTTTTATTTTTTTGCATAAGAATGCTTATAAAAGTCCAAAACTAAAACTCAATGTTGAGTAAATGTCTTTTGTTTGAAGATTGAACACGCTTTTTTTAACTGATGTTTTGAATGCCACATTTTATCAGTTTAATGATAAGATTATAATTTTTTCTTTAGCACATTCAAATTCTTGTGAACACTACTCTTCAAATTTATCTTTCCCAAGCCATGGTTTGAAATACATTAGGAAATAATTTTCATTATTAATCATATTAGACTAACATACCATAGAGAATCAAGTCTTTGCTCATGTAAAACAAAAATCTTACATTTATCAATATGTGCATATGAGATTAAAATTTTAAAGGTACAAAAATTAAATACATTAAAATTGAGAAAGATGATCCTTTCACGTCAAGATTGTAATATATTCAGAATTCAAAGCTTCTCGTCATACCATATATGATTTGAACATGCAAGCTCAAGATTTCGTTCATCTATGTTTTCTTCAAATATAATGAAAATAAAACTTATTGTTAGCATCATAGAAGATCATGGTCATAGAGCAACTCATCAATGTATTGGATACAAGATAAAGTTAACTTTATCTTGTATCCAATACATTTGTTGAAGAAATTGTTGGCTTTGCCACAACAACCATTTTTGAGTTTGCTAGAGTGAATCGTAAAAGATGTCAAAAGAGTACAATTAATAATGAAACAAATCCAAAAATATATATGTTGAGGAAGAAAAATCAAAATTGAAAGATCATTATATGATGGAAGTATGACAACACTCAACGTACTATCTTATGAAGACTATAGTTGAGAGCATAACTTCATCTTTCGTTGAAGATTATCCATATCATAGCATTCATAACCTCATTTTAGTTGATGGTTGTTGTATCACAATGCAGTAACATTTACAATAAAATAACTAGGAAATAGGAAGAAAAATAATCATAAAATATATTTTTTCAAAATTCATTTTCCCATAAAGATTTTACATACACACCAAGATTTTTAAAAACATTAAAGTGATTCTATGTCTTCATCTTGAAGTCTATCAGATTTTTAATATTCTCAAAGAAGCTATTTAACAACTACTTTTCATGATACTTTTGTTGAAGGTTTTTTTAAGAAAAATGTAACATCATCTTTGCTTTCATTCAACTCATTGATGACATGAATCTCTACACATAACACAACTGTATCTACAAGTGATTTTTTATATCATTCTATGTATTTTCTTTGAACAAATCAATCATTGACTTGCAATTTTTTCAACTCCTACTTTTAACATCTTTTTACTTGATTTTTGTATAAAAATAATCAAAATCTCTATTGTGGTTGATTACATCAAACTTACTATCATCATATTTGAAGTGTCTTCTCTTGTTTTTTCTGGTCAATTTTACTATTATACATTTCAAATTCAAATTCCCAATTTTTTTTAAACGCATCCCAGAAATACTGTCTTCAGTTTAAATTTTGAGAAAATCAATGATTATTTCAATGAAAATGCTTTCCATCCAATGTTCTTGAGCTCCTAGTCAAGTTCACACTCCTTTTTCTAGTCACTTTTTAGCTTTTAAATTCTGTCGCCTGACATTCTCAAGAAGCTTAACCATCAATTTGACACCGTTGATTTTAGGATACAACTCTGGCTACTATACCTGATGAATATTGAATATATTCATCCTCTAGCTCGGATGCCAATTGTAGATCGACCAATATAAGTCAGCTGACAATATATTCCCAAGGAGTTGAAATGGAGAAAACGTCACTCGTGATAAACCTGGTAACGAGAACATATAGATAAAAAAATTAAATCGTTTCTTTGAGATTTTTGATATACTCTCTTATAGGATGATAAGTTAAGTGATACGACTATCTATGATCGAACTAGCTAGATTTAAATAGAAACTGAGTTAAATTTTTTAAATATATAATATTAAATAAGTATATATATTCAAACATTCATAAGAAATAAAAATATGATGGCATGTGATATAACTTAACATCATTCACTCAACACAATCAAGCCAAACCTTATGAAATGTAGCATGTGCGAACTTCTTGTGCAACACATACCTATTCCATGTTTGAAACCTACTATATCTAATTTTTTGAGCTATATGTTTCATAGTAGTTATTAACATAGACAACATCATGTATTCATCAATGTGAAACTAATATATACATTTACAACCTTGTCAAGGATCGCACTAGAAATCATCAGTATTGAGCTGAATTTCAAAATCTATAATAGATATGAATGTGTGATAACCACTCTCACAATCAAATCTTACTAGTCTAAACGACACAGAAAATATGAATGCTTTTTGAATGACAAACGTGATCACATTCTTCTTCTGTTATGCACAAACATATGAATTGATAATATTTTTCTCGTGAACTTGTAAAGTTCATATGAAAACGTAACACCTCAAAAAGTCGCGTGGTCACAATTTCAAGACAAAATAAAATGTTTGCGTAATATATTATCCCATACATTGCTGTAGAGGACCAAAAATGAGATGACATATAGCGATCACAAAGATGAGAATGAATATATATATATTGGTGTTTCCATAGTTGAATTACACTTAGATAATGTCACAGAAAAAGATAGAGAATGGATAAAAAATTCATTACAATTTTATTTAATTTGAATATCCAAGTCACTCTAAACTGTACCAGTGATAGGATTTAAAATCACAATTCTCCGAAGATTTGACTTGAGATACACTCTAAACCATTTTTGTTTTCAAATATTCATTCGTGGTTTGCAAGATTTATATCTTGCAAACCACCGTATGTGAAAAACTCATCATCACTTTACCTCCCGTCGGTCAGCTCATCAACTATGGTAACTGAGGCTTCAACTGAGCCATTCAGAAGAAAGGTATACACAACCCTGACCATCAGTCCAGGGTCAACTGGACTGACGACTATGATGATGTCCGGTCTCCAGTCGCACAGACGACTATCTCGTAGCCTCCCCCTATCTTTGATTGGTGTTCCATCTATCTAATCATTGACACAAGTAATGACTGCTGGACCCAAGATTTTTGTCCAACTCAAGACCCATACAAGTTGACAGTACTGACAAAGCACTCAATTCAACTTTTCACACTATGAGGGACGGAATGTGTACGGTTTTTATTCTCCTGAACAAGAAATGGCAGCACAAACTTCAGTTTTCCGGCTGAATGAATTACTGCGGCTTTTTTGTATTTTGCCCAAAACATCAGAAACTTCAATATTGGTTATCAACACCCTCCAGCAACCTTGGATAGTGCAAAGCTTTCATGGATAGCCCTAGAACTACAGGTCCACACAGGGTCAAATTGATAACTTTTTCTAAGTTTTAAAAAATTGCAATTGCAGGACCAATACTTTTTTTTGTTTCCAGACTCAGAAATTCCACTTGCCTCTTTCTTAGAGCATCAAGTTTGAACTTCGATTAATGTTGGAACAAGAGGAAAAACCGGATAACTACTACCCTAACTCCGAGTGCACGATCTTCTGGTTATGTACAAGGATAGGCACAGCTGATGCCGCTGTTGCAAGCTCTTCCGTGATTCCCGACCATACTCCGACTCGACATTCTGAATATGATACTGATTACTCCCTATGCCTTCTTCACTGTTTCTTGTGTAATTATAGTTAGACTGCAGCCCACTACACCACTACACCACTACTATTGAGTTGTCCTTGTAATCATTAGACACCACTACCCTTCCCACTACGGAGGTGTAAATGCCGGTTTACCTTGTCACCTCGGATTGGGTACTTAAACCCAATCCGGGTCCTATGTATAACAACTCAGAGCTTCTCTCCAGGACTCAGTACCTGTGTCTCGACCCTTTCATGCATTGCTCTTGCTTTACTTTCTAATATCTTGCAACAGCATTGGTCAATTCCGTACCAACTTCTCTCCTCTGAGACTGGAGAATGTCAAATTAGCTTGTTCCCGGCATCATGTGACCCGACACATGGAATACATTCATGTTTATACTCATGCACTTTAAGTTTGAGAGGACGAAATGTTTTAAAAGAGCTAAACAAGTTGAGTACACGGCGATGAACAAATCATACATGCATTCAACAAGCTCAACCTACCAGTAGCTACTTTCTAGTTTGAAACTCCGAATGCACGTTTGAAGTAACACAGAACCCTTAGAAAAAAGTCCAAGTAAGCAAAGGTTTTGTCCATCCTTTACATGTCTTGGAAGGTAATTCCACGTAAATCGTTATCCAACTAAAATGTTAGTGATTCAAGGCTTTCTAAGTTTACATCACGGCTTCTGCGCAGGTCAGACAACAGAATAAATGTGGATAACGGAGTAATCCGAACGCAGTAATAGATAGACTTGTAGAAAGAGAATAATATACTCTTAAATCTAAGTTCGCTGAGCACATACAAGAAAGGAAACTAGCCGTGGCATACAGCAATTTGACCACTAGTAAGTTCTCATGACTATTGGGATGGAACTGAAGCACCTAATCACATGGAAACATACTAAGGAAAACTCAACACCAATGAAAGGACAAACATGAAAGAACACCTCGATAGAGAAGGGCTGAGTCTTCTCAAAGCTCTCATATTGCTTTGGGACCAGCTCACGTGAATCGCAAGACTCAGCAACGGTAAGGTTTTTATGTAAAAGAAATGCACAGATACAAAAGTTTTCTTCCAGAAAGCTAGTCCTTCAGCATGCCTGTGATGTTCAGATTGGCGAGCTTCAACTTTGTCTCGATAGGCAAATAATTTTTCAAACCGGCACAAGTTCTTCTCAATACTGATAAGAGCAAGGACGGAGACAAAGTCTCGTGCACAAAGTACGTGCTTTCGAGCTCATTCCTGTCCAGCATAGATATTAGCCTGTCTAACAGCTCAGGAAACCTGTACACAAAGGCCTCGAGAGTGGACGCCCAACCAGGCTGGGACAAAAGAGAGGGAAGAGTAAGGGGAAGGTCTACAATTGCCCAGGTCGGATCCAAAGGTAGAAGAAGCGCATCAGTACTCCAGCAGCTCGCTAAAAGGGCCATGAGAATAAGAGCCTGTGGACAGAAAAATATAATTCACAAAGGTAAATAAAAGAGCCATCAGTGATTTGTACCACAAGGTTAACAAAAACCTCAGGAGCAGCCACAACTTTCTGCATTCATATAACTAGTTGTCCTTAATCTTCTACGAGACATTCTTGGCATAAGAACGTTATGAGAGACGCGGAGACACATATGACATGTGGGATGTGGTTTATTTACAAACCGTTGTAGGAAACGGAGAGACGAAGGCAGTGGCTAGAACATCCAGCAGCCATTCCCGTTTCTCTTCCAAGGTTGTCCTCTTAGCTGCCCAAGAAACTTCTACAAGTAGGGCTGAGATATCAAACACAGAAACATCAGGTCAAGGTGATCAAGGCCATAAGAATATATACTTTGGCAAGCATGTTCACCGGGGATTTCACGGCATAGGCCGTGTTCATGGTTGTTATTAGGAAGGTTACATAATCCTATGACCAATACCGTTACAGGTATAGACAGAAGAATTGTCCAATGACAATCTTCGCAAAAAAGAAACACTTACCAGAAGGTCTTTGATTTGTAATTAAAGTGCGACAACTTTTCAAATCGGCGATGGAAAGACAACCAGCCGCTACAAGCTGACACCTTGCGAAAACTGCCTTCATGGTGCTGTCAGATACCTGCTGCGGCTCGAGTTGGTTGCTTATGTGTACCTACCCAATGTACAGAAGCCAGCTATATGAATAGTAGGAAGCTTTGCTAGGTGATCATACCCTTACTACCGCAGACGTATAAGCATCGGACTCTATAAGCGACGCAGGAACTTAAAGACGACGTCTAAAATCTTCAAAACCTTGACTTAACATATCTTCTAGTTGAAGCTAAAACAAATTGAGAATACCTCAAGCGCGTGCAGTAACCATGTTTTCCGTGTCTTCCCGAGACATGCCACAGCTACTGACCACTCTTCGTCTACCGCCTCTTTAGAAATAGAGGATTTCTTACTGGTCCACGATAGAGTCGGGAGCAGGTTTATCAACACTATCATGCACTCTTCGAGGCAAGATATGACTTCGTCTGCCTTGCCACTTTCTTCGAGGCTTGAGTTTGAAAAGAAAGAAGTTAAGCCTTGCCACACGTTCACTCTAAACGATGTACTCTGTACATCATTGTCCTCAACATTCTCCAGCAGGGACCCACCGATTCCAGAGGGGTTGCATAAGTACTCTTGCACATCTCCCAGTAATTGTTTGAAGCGCAAATCTGAGAAGATTCGCTGTAGCTGGACCAGGTTTCGCATCAAGAGATTTCTCAGTGAAGGCTGCAAAGTGCTCAACCTTGATAGCTCACAAAGCTCATCAAGGAATCTTGCAAGGGCTGGAACCTGTTGTGCATGCGCAACGGCGAACAATATACAATGCTGTCGGATTCCATTTTCAGTCTCCATTATATTGGACTGTTTAGATCTTTCACTTTCGGCACACTCCTCCTCTCCGGCTGTATGTTGTAGAAGGCTCTGTCGGAATAATCTTCGGACAAGGGCCCCCCAATCTAAGGCAGGAAGACGTGGGGCCTTCTGAAGGCATCTCAATAAAGAGACGACAGTTTGTGGAAGCACTGACATACTTACCTAATCATCAAACAAGCCCCAAATATCACGTCATCAACACACACGCACCACATGCTTTTGCAAAGTAAGGACGATACAACGTGCAAAGGACAATTGAATTACATAAATCAAATTACTGCACGCCTTTGGACTAACTGCCAAACGAACAATTAGTCTTACTCACACTGACATTTGCTGGATTGTAATCAATGAGCTTGGAGCAGATTTGTCGCAGGGTACTGTCTTCTGGGAAGTCTTGAAGGCTTCGCATATGATAGGCAGACTGCGAAGACAACTCATTTGATATGCTGCTCTGACTTGCTTGATTCTCATAACCACCATTGAAGGAATTATGCGTAAAGGCAAGAGCCCATCCTGCATGGCTTCTTAACCTTGAGTCCTGCTCGTGTTTTGAAATATCAAGCAAATTCTTGATGACAGATGAAACATAATCCTCGCAGGAGGCCTCATGAAGCAAGGGTCGACTTATCATCAGTTGATGTGCACCTCCAACCTGACAGGTAACTCTGTGTCATAACCAACGTTTTCAAACCTACATCCAAGTGTTTGACACAGCAAACTACTTCCACTTTCTGTGACTCATAACTCCTATGTCTCACTTAGTTCGTTTACCTGCAACTTAGATGGAAAGTGCGAATCTTGCATACGATTACTTCGTGCCTTCAACAGTGCAACACCTCCCCCAAGGACATTGGAAATCCCAATTGTTGCACCTAATTGTGCCAAGCTTCCAAATTTCGGCTCCTTCACACCCTCCTGCAGGCAACTGACCAAAGATTCGAGTGACTCCAGGCGCAGAGAATGTGAACCGTCCTGCAAACAAGTAGCAAATGCATTCCCTGCACCAATATACAGGGCAGCGAAAAGTGGTGAAGGCCAACTTTCCAAGATGGCAGAATTTTCAGGTTTTGTGGCGACTTGGATAAGACTCTGAATTTTTTGTAGGATGCTATCTACCTTTTCTGTGAGTATTTCCAACCTGGATGAAACATTCAAACATGTAGGAAGCGCCAGGCAGGCACCAGCTGCCAAAAAGGATTTTGAAACATTCCTCTGTTCTAGGCCTTGAATGGACCCCATTTCCTCCGATTTTTCTGTAGCACATATTGAGATCCAAGAGATTATCACCTCTGTTAAAGAAGATACTAGGAGTGGACAGCAAAGTTGTTCAAGGCCGGTCACTGAGCTTCCAAGGCCCCAAACTAGGCCCACTACTGCCCAAAAGTCATCTTCTTCAAGCTTTGGGCCCTCCTCAGGTGTGAAAGTTTTTGTTAGTCTCTCCTTTGCAATCACTTCAGATCGTAACAAGCCCAAGAAATTACTCAAGGACGGTTCAGCAAGAGGACAGGTTTCAGACGTAAGCTGTACTAAGCTGAGAACAATCTGCACCAAAGCCTCCATTTCTCTCTGTCTGCTTACACCTGCTAACCCAGCCAACGACTTGCTACCATTTTCTCCTCTTAAAAGACCTTGACATATAAATCCCAACGCAAGTCCGCATGCACCTCGGACTATACCACGGTCGCTTGCACCTGCATACTGAAAATAGATGAACAGAAGTTAGGATCCTTATACCGAGATACCTCAAACAAGTGCTAGGCATAAGAAAAGGATATAAGAATCAAACCACGTCATGCCACGTCACCGTTGTTACAAGTTTAAAGATAATCGGCTTTGACATTACGTGATAAATTTATCTGGCCTCTAGAAAGTAGTGAAAAAATGACGTTTATCAGCGTTACGGTGATTATAGAGGTATGCATAAGATGTCGTAGAAGGTAAGTTTTATATGAGTTAAAATAAGTGTCCCTTTCACCTTCAAGAGAATTTGAATGACTTCAGACTTGCGCTTCCAGTCAGTTGCATGTAAGCACGTAGCAACGATTCCAAGAGCAAGGGTTGCTGACCACTGCATGTGTTCATGCCCATCTTGCAACAAGCGAGACTCCAGAAACACTGAAATCTCTTGGGCGATTCCATGCGATAGTGCTGGCAAGACCTGCATGACTCTAAGAAATTAGGATAGAACGCACCAATGGCCTGAAGGGTCAACCAGCAAAATTTTCCACTGCCTCGGTAGGAAAAATCTATGAGAACAGAACGGTGCACTGACACATGAAGATTCCTACCCACACTCTAGGCGTCACTATCCTTACAATTTACCTTGCACAGTGCAGCTAGTGCAAGTGTCGCACTCTCTGCTACTCGCGGTATACCCTCCTCGCAGCTTGTGCGGAATATCTACATCACAGGCTTCGATTTGTTAAGTTGAAAAAAATAGGAATCAAGCAACTAAGAACGCCGTCCCTAGTTATCACATACATCGATGAGCGGGCAGCTCAAATTGCTATGGTGATTCTTCAATAACTCCAAACTTCTCTCCTAGGACAAGGTTTCAAAATTGCAATACTCATTTGCATTATAAATGAAACAGATAAGTCGAAAATAGTGATGGTGGGAATCAAGGTGTCTAAAACCTTCACGAGATACTTCGCTGCTTTCAGTAGATTCTCTTCGGATCCAAGGGATGGACTCTCAGCCTCATAAACAGCATTCATCATGTAAAGCCAGCGAGATACGAAGGAGCACCAAGATTGCAGAGCAAGCACGGCTACAATCAAGTTGCTGTTAAGTTGAAGATGTTCAGCTGTCTCCATAAAAACTTTTTCATGTGTCGCCTGCCAAATGTTCACAGCCTGCGCCATACTCGACCACATCAACTACGGTTAGACACTCATATAGATGTAAACGGTATTGGTGAGATTGTTGACATACTGGTTGAAAAACTTCTCTGTCCATGGCTGCAATATACAGCTGTGCCAGCTGATCTCAAGAGAGAAAAAGAATGATTAATCCAAAGATATCAACAAAAATCAGTGAACTGTATGTAATCTTATCTTAGATTCTTATAGTAGGCGCAAGTGCAGATGCATTAGCCACATAAACGCTTTCAGAGCTTAAGGAAAAGACAGTGGAGTTTTCAGATCCAGAAACCTGATTATACAAGTTCTGAAAAAAATATCTACTCCAGCAAAGACAGATATTTAGTCAGTAAATCTCCTGAGCTTACCTTCTGAAATTCTCTTTTTGTTTGAGATAGAGTCTTCTCGGGAGCGGGTAATGCCAAACACAGCAATGCAGCTCCAGGGAACTCGGAAATGTAGTTAACTAATTTTCCTGCATAATGTGTTTTCCATCATCATGATAATTAATGATAAACACCATGGAAAAGTTTCAAGGTTCCTGCGTCGAGGTAAACGAGAGGAGCAAAAACCCTAACATACAGATGCAACTACTGTTGATTGGCAAAATCCTGTCCAAGTACTCGAGATATGACTGGAGTTAAAAGGGTACTAATACTATGAAGCCTTATTGTGACCTGCAGATTAACAAGAAGATAAATAGTTTTGAACATGTCAAGCCAACAGAAAGTAATCTACTTGAATGAAGACTGAAGCAAAAGAATCCCTTGCCACACAGTCCGATGCAAGTTGAAGGGCAAGGGATAGCAACACATGCGTATTAAGTGGACGCAACAGAATACAGGGAGCGAAGAACTGAAATAACGACTTGGAAAAGGACATTTTAGCATAGTCTGTTTTACCAAGGAAAGGATATGCAAGATTGGATGCTATCAATGCTGAATAGAAATCAGCATCGATAGCATATGACAGAAGGGTTGACGAAAAACATAACGTCCATCTTTGTCAATCTTTAATTTCATGTTGAAAAAATGCATACTTCTGGTTGTATTTGCTATGAGAAGGTTTAAATGCCTAGCAGAACAAGATATCTCAAACATAGATCGGTAAAATTATATAAGATCATACGCGAAGTATTATATGCTGCAGCAGAGTTTAAGGCCGCAGGCAGAGCCTTCAATAGCTTCCCTAATTTGCTAGTGACCACTTTTGCCTCACGTTGAGCTCGAAATCTCTCTCTGAAAATGCGATAAAGAAGCGTGTCGTTAAACTTACAGCACAGCAAATAAGAGGAAAGCTTCTGAAAAGAACCAGTATTCTGCTGCAAAATTCACGTCTTTAGAAAGTACGTCACGGGCATAAAGGTACTCTAAGTGAGTCATCAAACAAAAACATCTTGCACTTGCCTGTGCTCAAACAGGAGAACTTTGCCTACGAGCTCCTCACATAATGGTAGCACTTCAGTTGACGTCTCAGAGAAGAGCAACTTAACTTGATTCCACCTTTTGTCAGGGCAAACGGTTTCCAGGTCGTCCAACTGCAAAGAAGCATAGCAGTTCCGAATCAGTTCCATAAAAAGTCCAAGGAAAACTCAAATCGCATCATACAAGGCAGCATCAAGCTGGAACCATATTTTGAAGCAGAGCAGGTTTATACCTACATCTACATATGAACCATTTTACTACGTAATGTCCATACCTCGTAAGACAAAATTCCCTTAAGAGCTGATGACCGTGCTTTCAAGTATGGATCTTCCATCCGCAAGTTTTCTTGGGCTGTGGCTGCATTCCACAGGATTTGCATAACATCCACAGCCACCTCTGGATGGGCTGCTGCATCTAGAGCTCCGTACCTCAGCAGCATACACAAACTGTGAGAGCATAAAACGTTCATGTGTGAGACCACTTAGCCAATGAGACTATATTCCTGCTCTCGTCGTCATAAATGGGTGAAAGTCAAACTTCAAAACTACCCAGCATACAGCACACTGACAACAAGATGGCGCTGATGCAGAAGGGACAAAAGCAAACAATACTCATTAAAAAGCTTAATATATTCCCTGTTTTAAAGAAGAAAAACATAAGGAAAATTAGAGTCTCCGCAACGTCACCTCTCCAGTACAATTGGTTCCGATGGCACCGTATGGAACAGCTTGGAAATCACCAGCCATGCAGTGTAGAAATCTGCCAGACCAATTGAGTCGAGAATAGTGAGTCAAACATAACAATGTAAGTATACTCCTTTATTGAGCGCACACACTAATCTACGGCGAGAATTAACCTAGTGTAAATATATTGTTCCAAGTACTATTCGGAGCGTACTTTTGTTCAACAACCAATACATCATATGTCTTTTATAAACAAACGTTGGTCTGTGAATCGAGCAAGAACTCGTAGCTTCCTGCCAAAAGTATATTGATGATGATCATAAAATAATCAGATCAAAAGAGAGAAAGAACAGAGCTCTTTTACCTATAACATCCTCCTTACATAAGAAGGCAAGGCTCTGTAATCCTAATGACCGTACAGCAGGTGTTGTGCTCTCTATGCACGCCTGCATTAACAAAAAAGGAGACACTGTTGAGAAAGTTGCAATTTAAACTAGTTAAGGAAAGGATATGCACGATATGCAGATTAGGCATGAAACCACGACCAAAATATTTCACTCAAAAGATCTACGCATAGTTTGCGTAGTCTAAACCACAAATGAACAGAATTAATATCGCCTAATAAATGTGTGGGAGATAATGATGAGGTCACGCAAGAATCTACCTACTGCATCCTCAAACTGAAAGCACTCCGGGATCTCAATTTCCAATGCTGACTCCACTTTGTTGAGCTGTAGACGTGGACTAGGAATTTTCTCTCTCCAAGGTCTCTCAATGTCTGTAAGTAAGACCTCTTAAACCGTGCAAAGCAGTTTGCTGCTGGGTTGGAGGCAAGGACAGAAATATCAGAGGGGAGGCTAGATAGTTTGATTACCTGGACAGACAGAACCAAGTCAACTCCCCTGTCTGGATCCTTTTCACTAACATCACGTATGCAAGCAGCTTGACTGTATAGTAATTCAGTCTGCTCATCATCTTGACGCAAATATTCTGGTCGGAGCATTTTCTGACAAGAGAGAGAACCTTATTTAATAACATACACTTTCATCTAGTCATATACTCGAGTAGCAGTAACAGCAAAAACGAATTCGAACCTGTATCATTCCAAGGTCTCTTCGCGGGAAGGTTATCAAAACACACTTGGAACATGCACGATATATTACAAACAGACAATATCACAATAGAGACTGATACGAGATGATTGATGGATCGAACAGGCAAGGTGTCAGGATTTTGCCTGAAGATACGGGAATGCTCGATCCGTAAGCTCCCAGGTTTTGCAAAGTACCCGAAGAGCCGTTGATTGTATAGCACTGCACGTGCGTCAGAGCAAGACAACATATACATCAGAGTAAGAAAGCAAAATATTCATAAATTACTGTAGTAGAACAAAAGGCTTTGCATGGTCTTAGTATATGCTGCTAAAAATACAGGAAAATTATTTGTGCAGATAGGAAAATTCTCGGTTGGAAGAGATACCTACATATCATTGTTGTACGTCAACATAGGTTGCAAAGCTTGAATAACTAGAGGAAAAGTTGCCGAATGAGAAGCCAAAGAAGGAATCGCTTTAAGGAGTCCAAGCTGCAAGTTCGCAATTCTCGTTGCGTAGATGTCAAGAGTAGGTACACCGAGAATTGTTCCAGTCCTAACCATCAGTGTATTCTTCAATTCCTTTCTAAACAATCATCTTCGATAACCGAAGATAACTTGAAACCATCAAGACAGAAATCCCAATGTGCTTAAAAGGGTTATGCTGATATATTGATTTGATACGAAATATGAGACTCGTCTGTGTTCTTCAAAGAAGTTTAACAAAAGAAATCCACAACTATATTCTAGCGTTGAAGCACAGAAATTCTCCGTGCAAAAGTTCATCGAACATATTAACGGGGAGTTCAATATCGAGTGGGAACGATTAGCGCGCAAGCTCACCTGAACATTTGATTCATTAAGCTCTTGAATATTTCCTCGAAATCGGAGGCAAAAGAGCACCACAGGCAGCAAAGATACACCCCAAATTGGTTCAACTTTTCCTATTAAGGCCAAACATTCAGTTGCAGCCAACGCGATCTTTGCATTTGGATGCATCAAAAATACTGTCACCATGGTGCATAACGCAGCCAGCAAACCTGAATATATTGACAGAGGAGAGAGTTACGTATATGTACATCTCGTTAGATCGTAAAGCAAGTTTGGATATGAAAGCTTAATGAATCGCTCAAGTTCGTAGCTTTAAAAACTTATTGGCATAACGGCAACTAAGAACAGCACTGAAAGTAGTTACTACGCTACATACAGAGAAAAACAATAATAGTACAGAATCAGCCGCAAGAGCTGATCATATACAGAGTACATTCTGATCCTGTCAAGTTATCTAACTCTGGGACAACGCAACGTGATCTACCTTTGTTTTCCTGCAAAGGATGAGATGTTGAATTGATACCCACAGTTCTCTGAGTAGCGCTCTTTAAGTAGACACCGAGGCAAGTGAACCATTCTTCCGCATCACTGGATAGAGGTTTAATTATCCCGGTCAGATTGGAGAACCATTTTCCCGAGATTCTTTCCTGCAAAGAACATGTAACAATTGTTGCACATGGTCAGCAAAAGTTAATATCAGCAACTTAAGTCCAACGAGTCATCTCTAGAATTCGAAGAATACAAAGTGGCATATCCACTAATGGGAAGAAAAATCAAGGACACCAAAGCAGACTTCGATAAAAGATAAAGAAAAACTAAAAAATTATGTGTGCAGTAGCTAAGCGAGACCTCTAACCACATGGCCTGAACAAGTCGGCACACCACCACTGAGAGGTGTTGTTCTCCCCAACTCAGATCTCCTTTGTAATCTAACCCCGCAAACCAAGGTTGGTTCCACATCTTCCGAGTGTCTATTGCACTTTTCTGGAGTGCTTGCAGTAGTTTAACCGCCGCACTTTTCACAGCTACAGATGGGTACGACATCACATGAAGAGCGGGAAACACCCAAAACAGAGAAGCCGTTCCGGTTGAAGAGGAACAGGGTCCAGACAAATGTCCTGCATTAACTTAGACAATCAGCTGTGCAGTAAATGTAAATGTATGTTCAGACAAAAGACCATGGTGCTCTTCTTTGACAGAATTACTATTTTCATGGAAACTTTGAAACTTGAGCACTAAGCAAGTAGCCTCTTATATTTCTAATATGAATGCATGAATAATACTCAAGCAGTTTCTCTGCCTCCAGACCTGTAAAAAGACGCATCAAGGTGCTTCTTGAATTTCCTGGCTGGTGTTTGAAGAAAGTACCTTTAGCTTGAAAATCCTCCAGCCATCCCAAACCCAGATCTAGCAGCAAAAGTTGTTCTTGTTCAGAATCAACCAATGCAAGCATATGGGTGAGGGACACCATATGCATCTCAACCGCATGTGTAAAGCCAGGGCTCAGACGCCTTAAAACTTTCACCAGCCTTCTGACCAGTAGAAGAACATGATAGAACGAGAATTTACGCGACAGAAGCGCGTGACACGATCCGACGAGCATGCTGAGGAGTTGAAGTCCAAGATCTTCCAAGTCCTTTGAAAGGAAAGACGAATACGCGGTAGATGCAAAAAATGGACAGAAAGGAATAGAAATCGTTATCTTTGAGAAGGGCAATAAAACTACGATTAATTCCAAAGCAATCCTATTAGTGCATGGTGTTCAGCACTTATGAGATTCATCAAATTCCCACATAATGCTATGGCTAAAAAGCAACAAGCGTTAATCTGAAGAACACACTGCCTAGAAGGGCCACGAGAAATTAAGACGCATGCACCTTGTTTTGGGAGGCTTCTGTTCGCTTAGCATAATTCTCCAATACGCTGACAAGCTCCTTACAGGCTGCCAGGGCAACTTCGCAGTCCTGAAAAAGTCAACCGTGTTCAAAAAGAATGGGGAACACAGACAGCCTTTTGAAACATAGATGCATGGGTTTCTTTGCCAAGAGATGGTACGTTTTGAAACGGCAGTGCTAATTTTTTAAGTATGAGTCGTCGCCGACTCGAAAGCAGATACAAATCCTAGTTGACACCAAGACAAGGGTCACATACCTGTGCAGTCTCCATAGGATACAACTGAATGTAGCTGAGTAGCATCTTCAACAAGAGCCGGCCGTGATCTTTGCAAGTCAACGTCATAGAAGACAACTGACTATGTAAGTCTCGGGCGAGCAATATATTGCTGGCTGAGGTCAATGACTGCAATAGTACGAAAGAGGTGAAAGGCTGCAGAAATTGAAGTGTTATCAATTGCCTTTTGGGAAAAGCTTGAACGAGAATTATGTTCACTTGTTGCAGAATGTGCTGATGAACCTCCGGCCTCGTCTGGAAAGACTGCAAAGTGGAGAGAATGCAAGTCAATTTCGGTGTACCAAGCGAGAGTATGAGGCAAATGTACCGTACAGGTAAACCACTCCGCGCAACAAGTATAACTTGGAATTGCTTCTTATATCATGTTCTACATTCCGAGCGAAGTACATTGCACTCGAGCCCTGCACAAACATGTATCCTCGCACTGTATATCCTTTATATCGCGTGTTCATATCCACGATATGGAACATCATTTTGTTGACCTCAAGCATACTTGACAGCTCTGAGAGAGCAAATGACTGAGCTCTCTTCAAGGTGCATGTTCTTCGGGCCCCCGGCCATGACACCTCTTCTTCATTTGCTCCTTATCGATAAATCCGCAGTGAGTTCCTTAAAAGATAGTATGCATTGTAACTACTCCAGTCACATTTTCTTTCGAGTAGGGATTGCAGCGAAGTGTACTGTCCTTTGTGGCTTTCCGTCATTCTACCCAACTGTTTGGGCTGCAGGGAGAATTTATATTTCGCGTCTGATTCGAATCAAGATACATATGAACTTATCCTCTTAAGTTCAAGAGCATAAATGTGCGTTACTGTTGGATTATAATCAGACCCCAGTGAATTGCTGAGAATTTCAGTTCAATGTAACATCCGATCAAAACGCATTTGAAATATTGACAGTCCAACCAACTCTTGCTGAAGATCGAAAAAGGGCTCCAAGTGTGTGTTACCAAGAGGCAAAAGAACTTGGAGCGATGACTAAGACGACTACCTTGACTAGAGGATGATAGCCGACTCCAAGTAGGTCCCCCGTCTTTCCAAGAAAATTGGTCCTCTCCTCAACGTTCTGAATATAAAGTCGGCATAAGAACCCAATCCCGTTCACCATACCCCCTACAGACTCTGCATTCACGGATTCTAGAGCTGACTGCAGCTCTTGCAGGCCTCTCTCCACCGAGATCTTCCCCTCGCGACATAAACTGCATATCTCTTTCACCGTCTGGTCGATCACTGCAGGCTGTGTGGAATTAAGGCACCGAGAAAATGCTTCTTGCCCGATCGGTGAGTTCAAATTGCTGTGAGCAGGTCCACTCTTCAGACGCTGAAATATTGCATTAACAGCAAATCGCTGGACCAAAGGATGCGGAAGTTGGAGCTTCTCGTAAAAGGAACTGTAAGGCCCTCCACTTTGCACTGCCATTATCTAAACGGTGTTGAATAAGATCGCACGACATGCGCAATGAATCATAGGCGAAGTTCTGCGAAAGTGGGAGCAGAAGATCAACAAAATGCCCGCTCAAGCACAATAGCTCTCGGAATTCCACAATATTACAGTCTCATCTTGTGTGTTGGCTGAAGTGACAATAGTTACATCAAACCCTCGCACGACTCTCTTCTTCCGGAATCACGTTCTGTCGTACTGAGCTTTAAAACCCTTCGAAATCCGCTTCAAACCCGATCCAAGGGCTCGAATGTCTTCTCACGGTCGTTTCACGACAACGTACTTGAGTCGAGTTGGAAAGTGAGTGGACACGTGCCAACCATCGAGACTGCGGCCTTCGGACACACACGGCAAGAAGAATGAGAGGGGGTCCCAAGTAAATAGAAATAGTAAACCATACGTGTAACACCGCTTACTTTCTCTGTCCTTGGTTCCCAGTCATTGTTCGTAACATGTGAATGTGTTTATTTTTTTACATGGACAGTAACATGTGTTGCGGAAGGCTTGGGTTACCTCACATTCACCCATGGTTCAATGGACTCAAGTTGCGGCTGTGCCTGTGTTGTGGATGGATTCTATAATTCATAGGGCGTCAAAGAGCATGAATTTTTGGATAAATCAGCGAGTGCTATTCACAAGATAGCAATCTTTTGATGTGATCAACCGTTTCGGTACTCTTTTGTTTTTATAATGTTTAATCTTCATATTAGATGTTGAATTTGTTGTAGATCATGAATTCCACTAAGGTTCTATCGAGGCTCCGCATTGGATACCATGGAGTTTGTTACTTTTGTGACTCTATGCAATATATTGAGTTTTTTTGCCATCCGTTTTAACAAAGTGTACCACTAGCTTCAATAGTATCACAATAAAAAAACATACTATACAACACATAGTATACCATGTAGATCAATGTTTATGTAACAATTCACCGTAGTAGTTTTTACCTTTATGTACAACATAATTTACTGTATGTGCATAACAACGATATTGCTTTGAGTTATGTATGTTACACATTTTACCCATGCAGTCTAGATTCTTGTATCATTTAGTATTTTTATGTCAATGCTTCATGCCATTCCAATACTAGGAAAAAAAGCTGATTACTATGCATACTCCTATATTTAACAACTCTTTTTTTATTACTGCTTCACTAGCTGCAACTTATGAAAAATAGATAATCATCTACTCTAAAATTGTATCAAGTTTAAACATGGTAAACAAGTTAAGCATCAAAAGCGACCAAAATTTAAGCATGATCACATACAACTAAGTCTCGGCAAGGTAAGGTAAAAGGTAACGGGGTAAGGTATGGGCCACTACCTTTACTCTACCTTTTACCTTACACGTAACACTATGGTCTACCTTTACCTCTACCTCAGGGTAAATACCCGGTTACCTGGTAAGGATTTAAAAAGTTTTAATTTTGGACGCATCATATAAAGATTTTGCTGGGGGTATGCGGTTTTTGGTTTTCTTTGAATGCATTTTTTAAGCTACATGTTGATCTTCTATCGTAACACTATGAGACGTCTACTGCCTCTTTGTCGATGAATAACCACTTCCTTTGTAGATACTGGGACATGAATTGGAATGTTGCCAATGGATCAGATACTTATTACTTCTAAGTTTCTTCTCCACTTCCTATTTAGCATTAGTGTTTGAGAGAGTGTGTGTAAAACAAAGATAGAGGAGGGAGAATACCTCAATCATGAGAAACATGAATTATTTTGTTATATGCAGTATAAATGGAGGACTGAACTACGTAGCCATTAGAAGCGGCTTTCCTCCATTTTAGATACTAAATTATCTCATTTTGACCAAAAATTTTCAATCCAAGTGGAACCTATTTTCAACTGGTTCACTCGGATGGAGATAAAATTGAAGTCTCCTTCACTCGACCAAACGATTCAAGTCGAACCCCAGCCATGCTGACTCTTAACGTTGACAAGAGGTATATCTTCTTTAGTTTTTTTTTTAAATTTCAAATCTAATTAGAATAAAAAACGGTCAGAAGATCTATGCATTATAACTGAGCCGAACAACTACTCAAGCCAGCGCTATTATGACTTTTATTAAAAGACCTTGTCGTCGAATTACAAAACTGCAGCAAGTGATGGCTTTTCTACTCAAACTAGTAACATCATGCAGTGTCCTGCAAATTTAGCTTCGCATACGCAAGTATAGTCTGAAAGAGTTGAAACAGTTCCCTGACTTCATCGCACAATTTTGCTGAATCTGGTTGTAGTTTTGTTCAAAGAGAATATGTAGAAGAATGTCCACATTTTTTTTTCACAGGTTATCCGGTAATTACCTGGTAACCCGCGAGGCTCTACCTTTACCCTACCTTTACCTTACCCTATAGCCAAATGTATTACCTTTACCCTTACCTTTTACACTTTTACCAGTAACCCTAAAGGGTTAAGTTACCTTGCCGAGGCTTACATACAACTATGGTAAAACATAAAGTTATGGAGGAAATTAGACAACTCTTGAGCTTAAATTGTAAATTTTATACTAAATTTGTTTGATATGCTTTGATAATAAATGGAAAAATGTTGTGGTTGTAGATTAGTTATCATGCTATGTGTATGAAAAAAAATTCGACCTTACATATTATGCGCTCTTTGATGCAATACTGGTGATTTCAAAGGCAACATCAACGGATCATATTTTTCATGTGAAGTCTAGTCACGTTTAAGTTGCAGTGAGCAAGTTGTTGAAATTAGTATAAATACAAGACATATGGACACTGAAGATCATATAGTCAACTTTTCCAGGTGTATACTATTTTTTGTAAACATAGTTAAAATTTATATAATCTATCTAATAAAAGTACGTAGAAATTACAGAGTTGAATTCGTAAATATTAAAAATTTCTTCATAGCTAAATTTTCTAGAATTAATCTCATGTAATCTAGCGATATGCCAATATCACATAATTAAAGTTCTCTTGCACTTCTAGTAATCATACAATGTGAGATGAAGATATTTCTTCCACATGTCATTCTGTATGATAAAGTGCTCCACATCAAAACATATACAGACTGTAGATGTGACGATGCATCTTGCAAAAATCCTATGAATACACTTCAATTTTTTATTCATATGTTTTTACTATCGTTAGTAGAACAATTGTAAACACTATTATATAAAAGAGTTGGTGGAAGTACTATGTCTCACAAATTATAGTTCCCCTAGGCGTAACATTGTCAAAGTACTTTGTACAACAAATGTTAGCTACTTTGTATCATCTCCCGAAATACTCCTCCTCATACTAATTGGATTACAAATAGTCCTCATAATGTACCTTGTTGGGTAGCAAAGAGATATGATACTAAAATTCTGTCCCATCAGTGACAGTTTCTACAAAACTATTAAGCATTTAAGTAAATTTTATGGTTTCAGGTGTATCAAAATACACTAATTCTACAAAGCGAAAACAAATTATTACTGTTCTTTCAATTTAATGCACGAGCAAACGTGGTGAGTAAACCCCGTTTCTGAGGACGAGTTTTTTTCTCTGGAAGAAGAGCAGGAACGAAGGTCGAATGTCCACAACTGCGCTTACGAAGGGCTGCCTCGGTGTCGGGATCGTGGATGCCTTCCCATGTCCCATTCCCAGCTCCACACGGAAGAGCTGGGAATCCAGGAAAAGGCTACGCCCCGTAGACCATTGTCAGGGCCATGGAGTCGAGGGGGCTGCTGCTCTAGTAAAAGTATATATCTGTCCGATGCTGCCGGAGACAATTCGCTGGATCGGTTGGATGGGTTGGGACGAACGACCCGTTCTGCTGGTACTTGGGGGACGACGTGCCAGACTCAGGGAGGACCGGTGTGGCCTCGGCTGCTCGGCTTGCATGTGCACGAAAGCTCGAAGGCAGAGCAATGCTCGAGAGCTAGTAGGTGTCAGTGTATGATCGACTCCGTGCGGAACACCGATTTCGGACCAACAGCGCGGAGGTGTGTCTGGATTGTGATGTCCTTACCGCTCCGCAATTCTCCCAGCGCAAGAAGAAGAAGCGAGCTTTGACCTTCCCCACGGTGCCGACACATCTGCTCGGGAGACGTACTACATGTAGGAGTTCTGATAACGTAATGTGGGTTGCGCATGGCAGTGTTTTCTGAAGAAACTACTTTGACAGTTGCCGTGTGTAGATTTCCCCTGTGACAACATCTACCCATAGGATGCTCCGTACTTCCCAATTGTGTCGGACGATCTGCTCTGAGCAGATCTGACATATAGAGAAAATTTTGTTCATACTTTAAGTAAATGCTACTTTAAATTCGTCTCGAAACACATGGTCGACTATCTGATGGAAGAAAGTTAATGCAGATGTTTTAGGTTGTTATGTGGGCATCTGGGGGAAGCTATGTCGCCTATCACACATCGCTTCGTGAAAACAAATGGCATCAATATGCACATTGCCGAAGCAGGATCAGGTTTGTTGGCCCAAGACAGCTGCAAAACCTGTGCTTGCAAATCACTAGTTCCAAAAGTACGTGTCGAGATTGTACTCTGCATTTCTGTTTGCAGTTGTTGCGAGAACTAAATTTTCTCTGAACTGCTTGACCCAATGCAGGACCTACAGTAATTTTGGTGCATGGGTTTCCAGACTTCTGGTACTCATGGCGTCACCAGCTATCTGCTTTAGCAGGGGCCGGGTTTCATGCAGTTGCTCCAGATGTTCGGGGCTTCGGTGAAACTGATGTACCGATAGGAGCAGAGAATTATACAGCTTTTGATATAACTGGTGACCTTGTGGGGCTTATCAACGCTCTTGGCGACGAGAGGGTAAGGAACAAACGCATTTGTTTTGTCAAGTATGATTGTTTTGTCGTATTTCACTGAAGATATCTCTCGTATCATTGGAAGATGTGGACAACAAGAAGGTCATCCATCTTCGCAGCAATTACCAAATACCAACATAGGGTTCAGTACATATCGTAGGGAACTATTTGAAGGTTCTCATGTTGCTTCGTTTGTTGACTTTCTCGTCGCAAAGCTATGGTGAAAGCTCTTCTCATTGTTGAATGCTTCAGGATGTGATTCCTGCTTGCGTTACATTGCAACCTGAAACTCAAGGATGATGCATATGCATGGAAGGATACTCTGGACTTCAGGAGGTTGACAGTGTCATATTTCGCATCCACGATCTGAGGTAACGTCGCTAGTTTGCTATCGAAAACAGGTTTTCGTGGTTGGCCATGACTGGGGAGCAGAGCATGCCTGGAATCTAGCTCTACTTTGGCCGGATAAAATACGAGGAGTGGTCACTTTAAGTGTTCCTTACAGCCCCAGGCAAGAAAAAGGAAGCAGTCTGAAAATTCTGGGATCGCGATTGGGCGATGGATGGTACATGAGCCAGTTTCAGGTATGAAGTCTATTTTTGAGGAAGACTCTCTTTTGCATCTTGAACGTTCCTGTGTACTTGAATCGTTTAAAATTCTTCACTTTTCAGACGATTCTCCTTCAATTTTCTCGCCAAGCCAGTTGAATACGTCTGGTGTGAACTTGCAGAAACCAGGGTACGCAGAATCTGAGTTTCGTCGCATTGGCTTGTCAACGTTTCTCGGACATGTTTTACTTTCTTCATCAACCAAACCCTGGGTTATTCCCGAAGGCAAAAGCCTCGGTGATGACATGCAGGGACCTGTAGAGCTAACTCCGTGGTTGACGGCCGAGGATTTAGATCGTTATGTCGAGGCATTTGAGAAAAGTGGTTTGACCGGACCAATCAACGTATACCGTGCTATAGAGAGGTATAATCACTATGACGAGATAAGTTGTACATATCTTGTACTGACGATCCTCTGTACATTTGTTGAAAATAAGGAATGGTCTACAATTAGTTGAAGTGTGTTGACACTTGGATTGTTCTGGAGATAATTTGAGGTATCTGACTGATTCAGAAGTTTTGAGCATCGGAATTGAAATGTATACTTTGGGCTTACCCGGAAGGCATAGTTGCTGATAGGTGGCAAAGTCAGTAGAATACAATGGCTATGAAGAAATAATTATCGTAAGCAGATCTCGTTGATGTGAGACTTCACTCCTTGATGTCTAGTGTGTGCATCATTCGGTTGCTTTCTAAAGGTCTCATTTCTTTTGACATCCGATTCTGACTTCTGTAACTTTGTAGAACATGGGAGCAACTAGCTCCGTACACCAAGGCGAAGATTCAAGCACCCGCATTCTTCATAGCGGGCTCGCGGGATATTGTTTGGCATGTTCCAGGCACAAGAGCCTACGTGGAGGGAGGAGGCTTGAAGCATTTTGTGCCCAATCTCAGAGGATATGTCGTTCTTGATAGCGGCCATTTTATGCAGCAAGAGAAGTCTGAAGAGGTGAATCAGCTACTGATCAAGTTTCTCCAACAGGAATTGAATCAACAAAGCAGGCTGTAGATATGTAGCTTATTAGCGATCACGTCGAAATTGCATACAAATTTGCCTACTAAGTGGTTGGAGGCAAGGGTTGAGGCTCCGTCGTGATGAATGACATAGCAGTGACATGTGAATTCTAAGCAGTTCTTGTTTCCAAATAGGTGAATATTACTGGAATACAACAATCCAACTGGACATAGTGCTCATACGAGGGGGGCCTTCCAACTTAACTATGTATATATGAAGGCATTGTTTCCTGCTCTTAGAACTTTTCCACCGCACCACACAACACACCCCCTTATGATGAGATCTGCTGGTAGTATCAAAACTCTCCACAATTCGTGCCTCGGACCTCTATGTCCCTCTGTAAATTAATGATACTGTAACAGCCAACCCAATCAATTCAAATAAGTAAACGCCACCAGAGGCTCACTTTACAATTATTCTAAATTTGAATTGACAGGGTTTGAAGAACTTCGTCTTTTAGCTTTCCAGACAGTGGAATTGACTTCCACTGTGGCAGACACATTCCATTTAATCTCCCATTAATGTTCGAGTCACATTTATTTCAGATTAATTCAGAATGTTTTACAATAGAGCTTATCTTCGTGACACATATGACTCAGTTCTCTTTAATATCAAGGATTTATTGAGTTAAATTGAGCAGAATGCGAAAATTACCACCACAGAAAATGTGAGTAGGTATCTATTTGGAATTTACTCTTCTCCTTGCCCTTACAATGGCCAAGGTGATGTATTGCAGAGCGCAGTACCACAAAGAGCTCCCCTGACCTCCTCTAACTTAAATGCACCATATGAATCCAGCGAATGATGACATCAGTCTGTAACAAGCTAATTAGAGTACACTCTCACTAGAACAGTAGAGAAGTCTTTAATTCTGGACACAACCCTGGTATCTGTAGTAACATTTCAACTCACAGCAATTTAGGCCTGTTATGAGTATCTATACAAAGGAACAAGTTCCGCGAAGTAAATTTCAAAGTTTCCTAGTCTCTGGATTTTTACTTTTAGAGGATTGTACCGAAACAAACTGGAAGGACAGTGATTCCGTTGCTTCTTTCAGCATGGCTAATTCACGACCTTCAGGAATGTCGACCGAGTATAGAGGTCCACTCCACACGCACATTTCCAGCTCTAGACACCTTAGGACGGTAACATACATTTTGATGAGCGGACTTTACTCTGCCAAACGTGATTGTGAATCTCGTCTTCAAAAGAGAGGGTCGCCGAAGACATCACATACTTAAGCTACTTCCCGTGAGAATTCATCATTAAAACGGGTTGCAAGGCTCTGGAGTTGAATCTAGAAGCAAAACCAACTCCTTCCATCAGGTTTCTGTTCCGTTTGTGCTGTCCGTGTCTGTGCTCGTGATGCCTGGAGGTCACAGCTGTAGTGCCTCCTTCCGCCCTTTGGGGACACTCCACGGGAGCTTGTGGGTACCGCTTCACATCGTCACAGTAAGAGTACCACATGTACCTGCTACGAGCCCAGTGCATAGCACGTTTCTGCTTCTCGTCTAGGGTCTGGAACGCAACTTCATCGAGCCGGTTAAGAGCAGCCGAGGATGAGAAAGCGCACGGTGGCTGCTCTGCAGCTTCGTTCCACACGCAGCCTTCCAACTTCAGGTCCTTGAACGAGGCCTGGAACGGAGCCAAGTCGTAGTTCACGGGATACTTGCCGCCTTGTGTGGCCCACTGGGAACCATCCCAAATAGTTGAATACAACGACATGGGCTTCGCTGGATACTGCAGCCCCAGCTCCTCGGACCGCACCATTTCTCTTATGGGAATGTCGTCCACTAAGAAACTGCATCGCATGATCAGGACCAATAAGTCGAAGTCTCATCGTTAAAAACAACTCACCTTACAGCAACTGCGCTAGCTTCACAGTATGTCCATGCGTATGGGCTGCAATGAGCCTCTAGTAGAAGGACAACTGCTGTGCCGGATATAAGGGTTGGTACGCAATGCCCAGGTCATCCTATAATTCAAGAATACAAAGCCCAGAAGCTTAGAAGATTTGTTAAAGAGCCTCAAGACCACCAGTTCTCGCAAGCAGTTGTACTTACACTGTGTGGTATTTATTCCACAGAATGCTGTAATGGTGGTAATCTTTGGTGGGATCAAACCAGAGGTGGAACCTCTCTTCCCTGCCTGTTTTCGTACTTCCGTCGCCATATATATTCGTCTGCAAGGTATAGGGAGAGCCTGGCACTACCCCGAGGAACTCGAAATCAAATTCATCATGAGTCTTCGGGTAGACGTCCGCATTCGAGGTCTGTAGGATGAGAGAGCCCATTCAGTAAGCAGGTATCGTCGGACTATCTTCTTGCAAACTATTGAGCGAAGTACAAGGGCGGGATTACCGAGGGAGTGAAGGATAAAACTCTGGATGGTCTATAAATGTGCACATGTAAGGTTACAAGGAACGACAAAGTTCGACATATAGAATCCTGAGATTACTGATCACTAATCTGATTCGCGCATTGTTGGAGCAGATGAAGATCTTAGAGAACGTACGTAGAAGGCCGTAACGACTCCTGCCGAATAGTTTCCAGGGAGTTTGATTTTTGCGCTGAAGAAGCCATGGTAAAATTTATTCTGGGAGGAGAATCCACCACCTGGTCGCCAAACGCGGTCACCAGATCTTTGAGTGTACAAGGAAGTGAAAGTAGGAATTGGCAAGAAAGGAAAGAATTCTCGCACCTCTCATCAAGAACAAGATCAGTCAGCACGCACCTCCACTACTACGATCGAGTGAGAGCTGCACGTGTTGTCCTTCGACGTCCAGCTTTCTGGGAGTGCCCCAGATAACGCTATAGTGATCGTCGAAAATTCTATTTTTGAACTGGCTGACCACTCCCGGCACTCGCGGGCGCAACGGCAGCGCCTGCGCGTCGACGACGACTGAATAGACGCATGCTGCGGCAAGAAGTACGGCGACCCTAGCAGCTGCTGGTGCCATGCTACGTGCGTTCTACGAGGCAATGAGAACGATCCTGATGAAATGATCTTCCACTTTCGTCGTTCAAAATTAGGCTGCGCTTCTGTCTACAGACGAGTTCGTGTAGTGACGACAGAACACACCGAAACCACAACCACCTACACCATCAGCAGCATTGCCTGGCCTGCATGCCTGCCTGCATTACGCGTATCGTCCGTCGACAAGACCAACAGCATTCAACACAGGCTGTCGTTCACGTACAATCCGAAGCTGAGCTTTGTGCAAAGCACCTGGCACTCGGTCAGTCCTGAGCAGTGCACGCAACTCTTGCAAACGCTTCGCTCGCCAGATCACAAATGCTGGAGATTGCCGATCTCACGTACGTAAGAACACGCCCAATCAAGAACGAGCCAGAAACTATCCCGCCTGCGCCACCTCCCTCCTGCTCCGCTGTCCGAAAGAAACCGCAGTGAGCAATCGGAACGAGAACGGACACAGAGTTTCCAGGAACTGCGCGCAGCGCAGGACGAGGACGAGGAACTTGGGCCGGGGCAGTCAGTCGTCCACCGGACTCTGGACGACGTCGGCCATCCCGGAGGCCCTGCATTACCGCCAACGGCACGAACGACCGGCAGTCGTAACTGCATCCCGAGGCAAATCCAGACCTGGCCGTTTCATCGCTCTGCTGCCACCCGGTTCCTCACCGTCTGTGGTCGCGGTCGACCGTCATGGCATGGCACGTACGGGGCGTACCCTCGCCAGCCCCAGTACAGCACAGTGCGTACCGAGTCGTACTGGAAAGAGGAGCGTGGCCATGGAGACACTCAGACCCGGCAGATTCGCGACTTCCTTCGCGGAGTCGAGCAGGTCGAATGCGAACATTTGCGATCTGCAGGCAATAATCGCTACCCGTAGTGCAGAACGTCCTACCGGATACACCTGTAATGTACCCGATAGAGATAGCGTAATGCAGAAGGAGAAATGTTCGAGTCGGGACAGGAGGAACTGCCGGCCCCCGGTCTGAGATCCGCTAGCCGGTGCCGTGTAGTTTTGGACAGGGCCAACCAGCGAGGGATAATGGGACTTGAATGCGAAGACCGCGCTGATGTTCTTTACTTACGATCTGACTGCGACTCCATTCGACCCATCGATCGTTTCCGGCAGCGCCGCTTCGGCGTACACGCCACAATGACTGCGTTCCCGAATGCCAGTCCAGACGTGAGACAAAATCTGAACTCTTCCATCGATGCACGCGCGCGGACAAGTGCTCCGAGTCGTCGATCTCCTATGCCAGAGGACGATTAAGCGGAATCTGGACTCGAGCTGACGCGCAGGACATTCTAGTAATCGCAGATGTGTCGCAGTTGTGTCTCCTCAAATGTAAGGTCCGGATGGATCCTGGTCCCGGGACCGGTGCAGAGATTCGTCGTTCTGAACACAGAGCAGAGTGAACAGTAATGGTGGCATGATTCAGGTCGCCCTGTGAATTCGGCAACATTATAGTGCTGCCTGGCCAGGGTTTAGGTCCTTTCCTTGCATTGATCGTTGTCGGTAAATGTAGCACTGCCGCTGTATGCAGACGACTGACTAGTATTTACAATTTGCATGAGGAGCACGTATCTAGCACGTACGGGAACTGTACAGTACAAGGTTCAGTCAATTATGAGCCTGTGACGAAGATATCTAGACATGTAACCCTACGGGTACTGCTCGTATGCAGCAACAAGAAGGCGGATTTCCCGGCAGTTATTCACAATCCCACCAAAAGCTTGCAATTGAGTGGGAATATTTTCCAGCTGGGAGGTCGTACGAGGTGGCCGTCACTGATCCAGAGAATGGTTGTGCTGAGTTCATTGCCTGGATCGATCACACACGCATCTGGGCTACCTTGGAAACTGCTCTGATCTGCAACTTACAAACAAGTTTGCAAGTTGCAAATAGGCAAGAGTTTTTCCTACATTGCTACAAAAATGACTCATCGAAAAAAGGCTTATATGTATTGCAAATTTTGAGATAAAAGTAAGGACGGCAAAGATGTAAGGTAAAATTTTCGAAGCCTACATTCGGAGCAAAAAATCACATTCACATGATTTCATGAGAGAGCTATTGCTAGAATCTGCAAGAGAGCATGTTGTCAAAATTAAACTTTTGCTACTTGCACAATAATCACTTTCCATAGCTCTACTATTTACTTGTTCTCACGAAGCAGTATGAAGATTTCATTTTTTTGACAAAAACATCAACACACTCTTTAAAGTATTCAATTTTGCAACCACTTTTATATTTGTGATTGTCTTCATGTCATCTGACCAAACATCTTTTTTTTCTAATACTCTTGATATTTTTTTATATATAGATTTTGTCTTTGTTTTTGAACCAGCTCACTTTTTGCGTAAAGATCTTATTCTCATCAAAGCATTTTCTTAACAATTCATTGTTTCTTGGGTTTTAGTGATCAGAATTTAAATGATTGGTCCCACACTTATAACCAAATTGAAAGCCAGTTTCTATATTAAAGACCCAAAAAAAGTACGGAATAAAGTAAGTTATTCGTTTGTTACTTCTTTATTTAAATTTTATACGAGAATTCCTTGTACAAGAAATGCACTTCATCAAGACATTGACAATTCAATTTTGTGAATAGGTTATATAAATCTTAAATATATTGCGGTTTAAAAAACATCAACGAATTTTTATTTTTTATTTGAAGTCACTTCAAGAAAAAATAAAATTTATCATTAATAAATAATACTGTGTATTATTTATTCAGAATTATTCAAAAAATTTGTAGATTTATGTTTCATATCTCATATTTTTATAAAATTTGAAAGTGAAAAATTTGACACAATGTAAAAAAATCCAAGTACATATTGTGGTCAATAATGGCAGAATGTTTATTTTTTAACATTTTAAAATTGAAAAATAAGAATATCATTCGTTATTCTATCAAGTATTCTACTCCACAACTCATTGTTGCTTATGAGAATCTCAACAGAATAATGTTAAAAAGATGCACAATATGTGGAGACAATTTAATTTACAATATGAATTTTGAACAAAACCTGTCAACAACATAGTGTATTTGATTAATATATTACTTCTAATGTAATGCATCTTTTAACATAATTTAAATTAAGAAATAATCAAATGATTAATTATAATGTTTTTTGAAGTTTGTAATATATTTATAAATATATTCTAATTATTTTTTTGAAAAAGTTTGAATTTTACTCATTAATAGATCAAAATAGTCAATAATTGTACAATAAACAAAACTCAAACAATTACAATTAATCAAATGATTAATTGTTATAGTATTTTTATTGTATAATCTTTGATGCATAAAGAGATTATGAAGAAGTTGTATAATACATGAATTATTTTTTTATAGACTTGGATATATTTTGATGTAAAGGATGATCATTTATGAGATTTTGTAATCTAGAAGATTATTGTTAGATTATTGTGAAATTTTCTTTTATCAATGAGTCTATATGATCAAAGAAATTTAATGATATTAAGAAGTATAAATCTCCACTCATGTATGATGAGGCATATTTTAATAATTATGAATTTAATGAAATTCACAAGTATAAGTTCTGATAGAAATATTTTTTATTTTTTATTTTTTTTCAAAATAAAAATAAAAATTTTCAATTAGAATTTTCTATTAAGGAATCATCAAATCAGATTAATAAAATTCCTTTAAGATATAAAATATGGACCGATTTATCTGTTCTTGATGATCACGATATTCAAAACTAAAAACAATAATGGCAATGAATTGATATAATAAGAAAAAGGGGTCGTATAGAATAACTGAAGCATGTCACAATAAGGGAGGTGAGATTACTGCTATAGTACATGCAATGCAGATCTTGGTTGATAACAAGAAATTAAAATTAGTTAAACTTCCAAAAAATTATGTACTAATGAAAAAAATATTGGATGTATAAACTGAAGCACAAATTAAAAAAAATAAAAAATTCAAATTTTTTATGATGGTTTGAAATTTCAAACAAAATAAAATGTATTGTTATAAGATCTATATAAATCTGAGTAGATTTTAAATTAATAAAATTAATAAAATATTATAATGAATTCATTCATCTAATTTATGCCAAATGAATATAACAATAAATGCACACGTTAATTGAATTGATATATTTTGCAACAAGAGAAAAATATGCATCTTAATGAGATAAAAAATTGATTATGAAAAAAATTTCAAAAGATAATTGATCTATGGATTGTTGAAACTATTAGATGAATTCAAATAATGTTTGATGAGTGCATGAAAACACACTATTAATCACTTAGTGTACATGATTCACATGTCTAGATGAAAAATGTGAATAATGAATAATTATTTCATCTTCTGGTATAGTATATGTACGACATGTGGATGAATGACATTTTTTAAAAATCAATCAAACATTAATAGATGCAAGTATAGACTTAATTTTGCATTCAAGGTTAAAGATTTGAACAAATCCAAAAAAATATTAGCGATGGATTTAGGAATAAAAATTTGAAAAAGAAAAAAAAATTAAGTCAAAGCAAATATTCATTCTCCACTTAACAATTCTAACATCATAGATTTTCAAATAGATTGGATAACTTTGACGTTACATTTCAAACTTTCTAGTGCTCAATGTCCAATTTATGTCATTGAAATAAAAACATGTTATTGATTTTTTATGAGGAAGTAGTAGATTGACTCATTTAGCTTAAACAATATAAACTATATACGTATCTAGCTATGGATTATATATGAATAGGTAGATATCAAATCCAAGAATTTTGCATGGTGAACATATTGTGAGTGGCAATTTTTTAGATAGAAAATATAGTAGTATTTTTCAGTTTTTTTGCAAAAAATACCTATTAGATTATCCTAAATAAGATCAATAATAGAAAAGTTTAGAAATAGTTATCTTGGCAATGGATCAGATTAGATAAAAATCGATGGCACTTGCCATCTCATGCATATGAAAGTTAAAGTAAGTTGAGTAACTTTTCTCATTTAAGTTGTCTTAATTGTAGCTCTAGAATACACTCATAAATGTTTATCACCATAATTTTTCTGGGGTTTACGGTAGTAGGTTTATAGCACTCAAAATCAAATCAAATGGTGTTGGTGCCGGAGGTTTGTGAGAAGAACGACAGCGTTGCTTGGGAAGACAAAGGTTCGGCAAGAGGTGCTACAAGAAGACCCGACAGTCGTGAACGAGCTTTGAACCCTCCACAACCGGTTAGCACTGAAGACGTATCTGGAGACACCATAGTCTTAAGTGATGACGATCATGACACCTTGACTTCAAAATTAAAGTTTGTGGATTCGTTCAGAGAGGGTGAGAAGTGTAACCTTATGGTGCCTTCTCTTCCTTTTAGCCGACCGGAGGTAATGCTTATGTCGACGCATACGCTTGAAGACCTCATTCCTCTTTGAGGGAGCTCTACATATAGAGTGCACAGTGCAGATAGTAAATTGGCAGTTGAGTACACAAGTAACAGGAGTGAGGAGAAAAGCTCTAAGCTCTTGGAGCATGAAATACGCTAAGTTGGCAAAGAGGTCAAAGGTGATAGGATTACAAGATCTGGACATATGTCAATTACGAAAGCTACTGGTTCAAGGGAATTAGTAGAAAGTCTAGAGAGATCCAAGAGGACTCTCCAATCACCTCTTTGCTATGAACAAAAGAGATCAAGACTGTCCTTAGCAGATGGATCACTCAAAAGTTTGGGAAGGACATCCTTGCATTCTGGCTCATCTCTTCGAGAAATTCTTCCAGAAGAGGTAGCGCAAGTAAGTGGTGCCGAATTGTTTCATGAAGTAGGAGATGACACTCATTTGGGAAGCACTAAGTGTGGAGATGATGAAGACGTCTCCACACTCTAAATTAGGTTCACACGAAGGAGTATACAGAGATATATGCACGGAAGCTAGAAGTGAGCTTGATAGTGAATACCTCCTTGTTAACAGTAAGGTTGCCAACTAAGAGTATTCCTTGCAAGAAGTGATTCAGTTAACTGACCCCGATGATAGCTCTGGTGATAATGACGCTGCGACTAAGGAGTTGGTTGGATCCATGAAAGCTTCAAACAAAAGGTTTGAGTCTTTTGGCAGGGAGTCAACATCCAGAAAGCACAAGGAGCAAGAATCTACGGAAGAGAGTTGCCGTCACCTCCAGTATGATATGCACAAACATGAAGTTAAGCTTCAAAAATAGGCCTGATTTGGCAAGTTTATTCTTCTTATGAAGAGAACCAAGATGATGATGCGACCAAAGTAGGGAGCATACTAGTGGTTCATCAAAAAGAAATAAGACAAAGTGATCTGTCGAACATAGGGATAGAGAGTCCTGTCATGC